GCTGTGGAGTTAGGTTATAGTGTAGAAACCTCTTGCCTGGGATAGGAAAAAAATTGATCTTAAACTAAAAAACTAACTTAAGATATTCCATTTCTAGTAATATCTTTGAGAGTGGAAGAATTACATTCTGATGGGCCCAGGTGTCAGATTAATGTCCATATTTCTCAGCAGATTGTAAACTTTTAAACTTTCTGTTTTGCATTCAGACCACAAGTGCCTGACACTTAATAGATGTTCTATAAATATTTGCTGATGGACTCTTTATTGCTCAGTCCCTAAAATCCAGCCATTTCTTCCTTGCCAGAATTCAGTAATTGAACTTGCTTTGAAACATCCGATCAGCCACCTCGAGAGGGCAAGTTATTTTAGCTCCTGTCTAAATAAATTAGTGGGCTCCAGTCCTTAAACCACTATTTTCTTTATTAATTCCTCAATTGCAGACTTTTGTATGTATCTAGTCTTTTTAAACCTGTGTATAATGACTTATTAATGAGGTGTAAAATAAATGTAGTGAGTTATATCCTACATAAAAAAAATAGAAAATGCCAGGCACAGTCACTCAAGAATATAATCCCAGCTACTCAAGAGGCTGAGGTGGGGGGACCTTTAGGCCAGGAGTTTGAGACCAGCTTGGACAGCATTGCAAGACTCTATCTCTAAAAACAATTTTTAAAAACTAGCCAAGCATGGTGGCATGCCTGTAGTACCAGCTCCTTTGGAGGCCAAGGCAGGAGGATTGTTTGAGACCAGCCTGAGCAACATAGTGAGACCCCATGTCTATAAAAATGTAAAAAATTAGCCAGCATGGTGCTACACATTTGTAGTCCCACCTACATGGGAGGCTGAGGGAGGGGGATTCTTGACACTTGAGCCCAAGAGTTCAAGGCTGCAATGAGCTATGATTATGCCACTGCATGATCCAGCCTCGAAAGAAATAAAGAAAGAGAGAGAGAGAGAAAGAGAAGAAAGAAAGAAAAAAGAAAGAAAGAAAGGAAAGAGAAGGAAAAGAGAGAGAGAAGGAAAGGGAGAGAAAGAAAGAAAGTGAGAGAGAGAAGGGAGGGAGGGAAGGAAGATAAAAGAATAGGAAATATCAGAATGCACAGCACATAAGTACTTTTATTATAGGCACATATTTTGCTGTATTGCAATAAAAAATGTACTTTTTGACCATCCTACTCTACCTGTCTTCAGAAGGACACCTCTGGTGTCCCTATTGTGGCATCTCCTAGCCCACCTCTCTATAAAAGTTTTGCACTTCAATATATTTGTGTTTTATACATCCTTGGATTTCCCATAGCATAAGGTCCTAACTGGAGCTCAGTCTTTCTCAGAGCCATCACATGGTATCCTAACACATGAATGAATGCTGAACAGAAAGAGCCCTGCTTGCATATATGCAGGTAGTGTGGTGGAAGGGAAATCTAGACGTCATTTCTGAGTTCTGACCTGCTGGATCATCGCCCTCTGAACCCCCAAAGCCTTGGCATACAGCTTCACACTGTACCACCTATTTTGGTGGTCCAAGTTAGGTGAGGGAGAGAACCAGACACAATGCCCACCATCACCTAGCACTGGCCCTGCTACCAAACAGTCATTCCTTTTAGACCTTTGTTCCCCACCAAAAGCATTTCAGGCAAAGCGCCGGCTCATGAAACTTGGCCTCTTTGAAGTGGTGAGTGAGTGCCCCTGAAACCACCACCTTATGTATGGTGGTGCCTCTCCTGCTGCCAGAGTTTGTTACGGGGTCATGCTCCTTTCCTCTGAAATCTGTCATGTATATTCAGTTTTAAACTGGACTTTTTTTTAACAATTGGACTCGGAACAATCTTTAGGGTGAGGAGGGGATACTAGTGGTTGTGGGGTAGATATGTGCCCTTGAAAACTGGATTCTTTGTTGGAAAACTGCTGACACAGGCTAAATGACAGAGAACTAAATGACTCTACTGTTTCTACCTGCTCACAGACTCAGCCTTGGGATGGGGCTGAAATTAGCCCTCACCACATGGCAGAGACATGCCTTCCTCTTATTTTTTCTTCTTTCATACAAATAGGGAGTAATTTTGTGCCTGTCAAAAAATACAGCTTTGAAATATAGATAATCAATAAACAATAGTCCCACCCCCAACTGGGAAAGCACATGAGTGCTGATCTGAATAATTAGAGAATCAGTAACAAGTAACCTACCTGTTGAGAACAGGTCTGAAACCTCTTTCATAATTTGTGTTCTTGGGGAAACGCTAATAGACAAACCCATCCAAGCTTTGGAAATGTACTGATTTAATGAGGTCCAAGGAGGAGTGACCAACCCAGTGGCCAGGCATCCCAGATGCCTAGGAGTCTCATGTTTCCATACATTTCTGCTGTTACATCCCTTCTGTGAGCAAGAAGGCTTTGAAACATTGCAGCCTTGTCTTGGAGAGATGAGATGACACTGTGCATTTCAGTCCTGTTTCCAATGCTGTTATCTGTCGGAAAAGGAAGCTTTCCTACCCAGTTTGTAAGCATACAACTGGTAGGAGCTGTTGCAATCTCATTGTCTTCCGATCAGCCCCTCCTTGGCAGCCATCAGAGTGGAGGCCCCGTGAAACACATTGTGGTAAGTTTCAAAATAAGAGAGCTCAGCCTGAGTGCACCATCACACTTCCCATCCCATAGAACCAGCATTGTTAACTGTGCCACATCTCTATTCTAAATTTAGGCATCTTTTTTTTTCCTGGGCAAAGATTACTATGCAAACATTTAAAAGAAAAACTTTGCCCAAAGTGATTTTTCCCCCCAACTTCTATTTGGTTTCCTGCAATGTTTAGATGACTCATTTTCTTCCAAGAAATTTTAAAGGAAAGAGATCCAGGCTGTATGTTAGTACACAAAGACTGCTCTGTAATTCTCTTTTTCTTCCCTGTCTAGAAACCCCTTGGCTTTTTATAGAGAATGGAAAAGCTCTACAGTCTTCATTGTCACATACTCCACCTCATCAGGTTTTGTTGTTCCCAGGAATAAATGTCCCCTTGTCTTTGGGTGGGGGCCCCCTTGTGGCTTACTAGCTCTGTCAACCCTGCTGTAGTGGCCAGCACGGAAGCCCTTCTTGGGGCCACGCTTTTCCCCAAAGGCACACAGTTAAGGTTTCTGAAACAGAGAATGAATGAATGGCCTTTTATCATCTGTGAAAAGGGAGACACTGGCAATTTCCTGCCTCTGGCCTTGTGTCAGAATTTCTCCTGATTGCTAGAGGCTGTATTGTACATTTTAAGTGGGCTCACTACACATGTATTCCCAGCCCAACCCTCAGCCAGAGGGAGCGGTAAGTCAGATCACTTGAGCAGCCTGTTCAAATAAACAGGGATAATAGTTGAGTGGTCCTCCCAGCTAATCAGGACATGAAAGGAAACATCTGCCTGGGCTTAATTGCCATTTTTTTTCGTTACACTTTTCCCTCTTCTTCTTCCCCCATTCCCACTCTGGGGCTAAGTTATTTAAGTCGTGAGTAAGCAACAAGGTAGAGGATAGGAGCGGTCTCCTTTAACCTCTGCGATTCAAACATAAGGAGGAGTTAAGAAAGGATAGGAAGCTGGCAGGAGGAGCTGGCCCAGAGGCAGGAGGGCAGGGCTGTAGGAAGTGATACTCATGGTCACTTCCTGACCCTATTGCTGACTCTGGGGCTGGAGGTGAGTCATGTTGCCTCACTTCATCTCCTTGGGCCTCTGTTGCTTCAGTTGAGCTCAGCTTTCCTCTCAATGGGAAGGAGAGGCTAGTATGTGAGATCATAGATGAAAGGCATTCCCTCTTGTGGCTTCTTCTAGCAGTTGAGGTCATTGAATGAGAGACCCTGGAAATGATAAATTTAAGACTGGCAAGATGCCCCTGAACTGGTCCATTTTGTAGAGTATCTGGGTCCCCAAGGAGAACTTACTCATCTTCTGAGCCAACCAGCTGTACATTAACCAGAGTGATGTTTGAAGCTGATATGAACTCTAGAAGCCAGGCAGAAGATCATGTAGAATCATAGAATGGCAGAGGTGGAAAAGGACCTTAGAAATGTTTTTTAGCTGAAGGTTTTCATTTTATAGAAGGGAAAATAGAGGGCCAGAGAGGTTAACCAGGTTGTCCAGAGTTGTCTCTTTGGTAATGCAGGAGCCAGGAATAGAAAGAGAATCTTGTGATTGCTAATTTAGGGCTCCTTCTACCCCTTTCCCCACTATCGGGTATAAAAATTCATGCCTACTCACGACAGGGGTCACACATAGGTTATATTCCATAATGAATACCTTAATAGAAAATTGACAGATCATAAAAGAAAAATGAAAATGACTGATAAACAGTTTTTAAAATGCTCAGGCTCACTAGATATATGGTTAGATGTCAGCCCTGGGTGGCAGCAGCAAGGAACTCAGGAGCCACCACTTCTCAGGATTAACTAATTGGAGACCCCTTAACATATATGATCAGCATCTAATAACAGCTAATCTCTCAGCAGTCAATATTGAGATAGCACTGCCTTGGGAATTTTGGGTAGAAATAAAGCAAGTAAGAAATATAGTTCCATCCTGCTTGGAGCTTTCTATTTAGGTAGGGACTTAGAAGTCCCTGGATGTTTACATACTTTTTCCTATTACACATCTTGCTTTCCTTTGAAATCTTCTGGAATGCTTGACTGCAAGTATCTGAGAAACCGTGTTCCACCTAACAAAAGTTGCTAGGTAGGATGTGGCTTTCAGGCCTCCTCTTTGGGGCCCAGTATAAAAATCAAAGGCTACCACCCTTTTTCCCTCCACACAATTGCCTTTGCTAGGCTATAGAAAGGGCACATTTCATTTTATTAAAACTCTTTGAGTAATCTGACCATAATTGGGTCTGATTGGAATGGTTATCTGATTTGCTGGGTTAAATAATGGGCCTTAATTGAGTCTGGGTTATTTGTAGAGCCAGTGTGGCTTTTGCCTTCATTGCTCCCTCCTCTCTCTTCTGTTTCCCAATTAACCTTCATTTCACTTTCCTTGCAGAGTAAAGAAGTCGGCCAGCAGCTCCAAGATGATTTGATGAAGGTCCTGAACGAGCTCTACTCGGTAAATCAGATGGGTTGCTTGGCTCTTTAGTAAGCAGAAGGAAGCAGCATTTGGCAGCTTGCAGCCAGTACGTCAGCGCAGAACTGAACTGAGGTTGAGGACAAGTGCATGGTCCCCACTGGGGGTGACCCCACCCATCTTCTTTTTTCACACTCATCTTTTCAAAACTGAATGAGTCAAAAAATACTTCCTCAAAATAAGTTTTTTCCTCAGCTGTGCAAGCTCACCCTGACTTTATTTGGGGCATAATTGCTAGAGACCAGCCAAAGTCTAGGTCACTGGCACAACGGACCCCATTAGCAGCAAACAAGGGACCCTGAATCTAACAGCAAGGAACATAGCCTGCATTGCACTATTAATATGTGCCTGTCAGAAAGACTTTATCGTTGTAGCTTTTACATCAGATCTTGGATTGATCTGCTTTGAGACTAGAACAAATGCTCTAGAGGGCAGCACGGAGTCCTAAATGCCCCTAATAAGAGGGACCAGTTCCGGCAGAAAGAGCTTTGCATTGGCTTCTTGGAGTTTTACACAGCCAAACCTCAGTGACGAGACAGGCTGCGGGCTTGGAGAAGAGAACACAATCTGTTCTGAGATGACTGGTGCTTCAGGCACGTGATGCCTGTGGCTGGTGTGTGTTAATTCATGCACAGAGAGGTGGTGGTAGTGGTTCCCCAGCCATGTTTTTCTAATTATAATGAAAACAAACACGCACTCACACACATACACACCAAGAAAATTCCTGTTTTTATACAGGGAATACTTAAGTTGTACAGCTCATGCCTTTCAAAGGCCCCTTCTCCAGCGTGGATGTGCCAGCCTTCTGTGTCATTTTCTAGGGTTTCTCCATCCTGTTTGGAGGTGATAATTGATTTCTGGTGTTTACTTGCTTATTTGCTGCATTTTTTTCTTTCTCCGTTTTCTTTCCTTTTCCTTCCTTTCCTTTCCTTTTTTTTGATTCACAGAAAGTACAGGCAGTGGTGACATGTGTGACAGGCGTTTGGGATCAGAGAATTCCATGTTGCTGATCCAGAAGCCTAGGTGTGGCCATATTGTCATGGCAACTCTTAAGCAAGTAAATAGGGTAGAGTAGTCATTTGACTTGTCTCCAGTGATGTTCAGTTTGTTTTGAATTTCTAGTTTGTGACTCTTCTGCTCTGAAGCCAAGTATAGATAGATGGTACCTTTGGTTCAGCTCCCAAGTTTTCATTTCTCTCAAATGAAGTTAAGAGTTTTTAAGAACATAAACACATCGATGTTAACCATTTTCAGACTGGATGGGTTTCCTGAACTCTGTCTTTTTAATGCTTTACTTCTGCTCTTTTAGAGCATTTTCTCAGCACCAAGAAGAGCTATTACTCCTTTCTCCTGGCAGAGAATTCCCTAAGATAGAAAGTGACACATGTAGTAATTATATAAATTCCTTTATTTCCTGTAAGTATCTTGACCTTGTACTATTTGCAGCTGTTTCTGGGGAGGAGTAGATTGGATAACCAACAAACCTTGCCACTTTGCAGTGGGACTCAAGGCAGCAGAAGACTAGTGTCTAAGGATCTGTTAGCTTTTACCCAGAGTCCTATGACTCTTCATGTGCTGTGCTTTAAAACAAAATAGGTGAGATAGCATAAGCTGTGTTGTAGTGAGGAAAAAAACCCTGGAACTTATTTCTCTGGTCTGCAGAGGGCCGGCCTGCTACCTCTAACTGCAGACTTAAGACAGCCCAATATTGGCCAACTGCTTTACTGGCCATTTTGAGGCCACAGTCAACAGCATAACATCTTCCCATTGATGTTCAAACTGAGAATTGCCTGAGTGTGGTGTCCCCTGCCAAGAGGTAAATTGGAATACATCCTCATAATGTATTAAAGGCCAAAATTAAAATGTGATGTTTTCCTGTAGCAGGCAGTGGAAAGAGGAAAAAAAGATTAGAGTACATTAGGAAGTTTCAGAGAGGTCTGAGCATTCTGGTCCAGATGGAGTTTTAAGCAGAGGGAATTTTATCCCAAGGGACATTTCGGCAATGTCTGAAGACATTTTTGATTGTCACAACTGGAGGAGTAGAAGGTGCTACTGGCATCTAATGATCTAGAGGCCAGGGATGCTGCTAAAATCCTCAGTGCACAAGACAGCCCCCCACAACAAAGAATTATCTGACCCACAGTGTCAATATACCAAGATCGAGAAATGCTGGTGTAGTAACCAGAGTCTTCTGAATTAGACAACCTAGATTCTACCCCTGCCTTAACTACTTGCTGTATGAACTTGGATACCCCAGACCTCTATGACCTTGGTGTCTACATACACTCCATGCACTGGTGTTTCTATATCCTGGTGGGTGGAGTAGTTGGGGGAATTATACTTCCTGAAATACTAGACTATGGCTAAGGATCAAGTAGGTTTCCAGATTCTGTAGTCAATTAGAAAGTTCAGAGAATAGCTGGGCATAGTGGCTCATTCCTGTAACTCCAGCACTTTGGGAGGCTGGGCAGGTGGATCACCTGAGGTCAGGAGTTCGAGAACAGCTTGGCCAAAATGGTGAAACCCCGTCTCTACTAAAAATAGAAAAATTAGCTGGGCCTAGTAGTGGGTGCCTGTAATCCCACCTACTTGGAAAGCCGAGGCAGCAGAATTATTTGTATGGGGAGGGGGAGGTTGCAGTGATCTGAGATCATGCCCCTGCATTCTAGCCTGGGCAACAGAGTGAGACTCTGTCAAAGAAAAAGAAAGAGAGAGAGAAGGAAATGAAGAAAGGGAAGAAAGAAAGAAAGAGAGAGAGAGAGAGAGAGAAAGAAAATTCAGAGAACAGAATTATTTCTTCTGGAGTTTAAGGTAAGTTTAGGACTGGTCTGAATAATGCGCCAGGGGATTAGGGTGACTGCTGTCCCTGTTTGCTACTGCTGAAGAGTTTCCTGGAAAATGAAACTTTCAATGCTGAAACTTGAAAAGTTCTTGGTTAAAAAGGGTAATTGGTCACCTTGCATGGGACAGTGGTTTTATCAGGTGGAAAGCTGGGACTGTTACATGCTAGCTTTGGGAAGCTACTTGCTGCATGCACACCTTGAGGAGTCAAGAGAACAAGGGAGAGTTTCTTTCTTTTCTTTTTTTTTTTTTTTTTGAGATGGAGTTTCACTCTCGTTGCCCAGGCTGGAGTGCAGTGGTGTCATCTTGGCTCACTGCAACCTCCGCCTCCCAGTTTCAAGTGAGTCTTCTGCCTCAGCCTCCTGAGTAGCTGGGATTATAGGTGTGCACCACCATGCCTGGCTAATTTTTGTATTTTATTTTTTTATGTAGAGACAGGGTTTCACCATGTTGGCCAGGCTGGTCTCGAACTCCTGACCTCAGTTGATCCACTCACCTCAGCCTCCCAAAGTGCTGGGATTACAGGTGTAAGCCACCATGCCCGACCCGTATGAGTTTCTTATAAGTAGCTTTCCCATTATTTGCTTGTCAGGAAGGCAGGAAAGGGCCTCTCATTTCAATGACATTGTAGGCAATAGAATTTCTTTGGGGGCACTGGAAAAAGGAAACAAAGGATGTAAGAAACCCACCCAGTCTTTTCAGTGTCATTGTTACTTCACATCTGCCCCTAATGCCCATGAATACTTCTTTTTAGGGGACTAGTTATCCAAGGGTTGGTAATTTTAGTACTTTCGAACCTTGATGATCCAAGGAGCACAGTCCAGGTGTTCCCAAATAAAGATGCCTTTGGGCAGGAGGCCCAGAATGCCACTCTAAGTGGCCAGCTGCCCCTCTGCACCTTCCTCTTTTCTGCCTGAAAGGCCTTTGATTTCCCTGACTTGGCATTCTGTGCCAGAGACGGCTTCCCACAGCTGCTATTCAGAGAGCAATCCTAGCAAGCATTCTTCTCCACGTGTTTCTCCCCTAGTAATGAGCTGGCTAGTATGTAAGCCATGGCATAAGTGGTTTTCATTTTCTGACTCATGCACTGATAATGCCTTTGAAGTCAGGACACACTGCTTCCCAAAGAACTCTGAGATTCTCTGCCTCAATTGTACTCAGAGGTCGTGTCTGGAAAAACCCAGCAACCCCCCACAGGAAGGAGTATACATGGAGGCACTGAAGCCAATGTGGATTGGCTGAGTGTGAAGAGTCAAGGAAACTCTAGAATTGAGAAAGAAGAAACATTGGGACACTCTCAAGCTGATGTTATCTGCCTTATGCTTCTGTACTCCCCCTGAATATATATCCCCTTGGCTTGGAGCAGCAGCTGTTTGCTGGCAGAGCTATTTCAGACTGGTATTTAGCATCTGTTCCCTTGAAACAATGGCACTTAATAGTCCCTCAACTCTACTTGCTTATTTGACCCTGGCATAGGCACTAGGGAGACAAGAACAAATAAGAGATGTTCCTAAACTCAAGGCATTTCGTTTTGATAGGGAGAGACAGAAAAGTAAAGCATCAAGTGAAAAGTGAAGTGACAAGAACTCATTTACATGTCTGCACAGAGGACAGGGATGAAGTCAGGATCTTTGAAGAGATACTTGAATTGAATCTTAATTGCCAAGAAATCTCTTCTTGTTCTCTACATGTTCCCTTTTTGGTTCCATCCAACTCTTGTTTAATGAGGCAGTATCATTTTTTCTCTCGTTTAGCTGTCCAGGGCTATTATTGAAAGACTGTTTTCAAACTTCTTGCTGTATAATATTTCTTCTAAATTGCTAGTTTTAGTCTTGGTCTTTCATATTAGACATTTCCTTTAAATGCCTGATCATCCTTTGCTGCCTGTTCACACTTTAAAGTGAGGCACTAAAAGATTGTGTATCAGCTGTGGCCTTCACAATAGGGTGTTCTAAGTGGGCTGTGTCCTTGTGGAAGCTCCAACATCAGTATTTCTAGGTCTCTTAACTTGGATGGTCATGTTGCCAAGAGAACACACTTTTGATCTCCCACTCATGTCTGGGGGCTGAGTTGTAAAGAGGCCTGGACCATCTCAACATTTAACATAGACTTTTCAGCTAATCCTCCTGTTGAAGTTCAGTATACCCCATCCTCAGCGAAACCTTGTATCCCCTAGTCCATGGACACTCTCTCATAAAATAAACCTCTCATGTAGTCTTTCACTGCAGTGGGAGAGGGGATGTGGGGTCTCACTGTTCTCAGACTTTTGATAGCTTCTTCGGTGTTTAGCTTTACCTTAATCCCACTGCCACTTCTTTCTTTTTGGGCTTCTGTGATCTAAATCTGATTGCTTCTTGGCTCACTCTAGTTTTGGTTTAGGACTCAAGTAGATCAGTTACTACCTGCCCATCTGCTTTTCAGCTTCTGCTTTTATTCTTTTAGTTTTGCTCAGTTTATACCTAAAAGATAATTTTAAAACCTTTTTTTTTCTATTATTTTAGTGTGGCCATCATAGGGAGCAGAGCTAAATACATGAATTCAATATTTAGTTTTTGAAGTAAAGTAGAATTGAGAATTTAGATTTTTTGATTTTTCCCCATAGTTTGTATTTGCCTCACTATCTACATGTAGATGTATGTATATGTATATCTATCTGTACACTTACTATACATATACATATATGTACAGCTTTGTCTAAGACATAGATATGTAGAAACACATACATTTATATATTTATATAGATATATATAAGTCCTACCTTAACTTTCTCTAAGTCCTATCTTGACTATAAATATATATTTATAAATATAAATATTTTATATATGTATATCTTTATATACATACATATTTCTCTAAGTCCTATCTTGACTATAAATATATATTTATAAATATAAATATTTTATATATGTATATCTTTATATACATACATATTTCTTTAAGTCCTATCTTGAATTTCCTATTTTCCCAGTTGTTTTGGCATCACTTATTTAAGCTTCAGCTTCTGGGTTCCTCAGATTTCTCTTGAGCTGTAAGGCACTAATAATGCTTCTTCCATATTTACCCAGAAGAGAGATTCAGTGTCACTCAGTCATTTGGGCAACCACTTTGTAAAACCACCATTGTGTATGTGACATATTTCTCCACTGTGAAAAGAGAACACAAAAGAAGTGGAGCTTACCCTGAAGAATGTAGAGTTTCTTAGACAAAGTAGTGTTTTACTCTCTTTTAACATGACAGTTCTTTAAGTTTTTTTAGGGAAAAGGAACAACGTACGTTTTTGATTTTTGTTACTTCATTTGTTGACTTGGTGGCACTATTCTTTGACCTCTTTTTTATCTCATGTTTATTCATAGTGTTTCCTCTTTATCATGCACCTTCATTAAATAGGAAATCACTTTAAAAAAAGAAAAAGCATTCACTTTTGTAACTGTTCACTAAGCTTTTGAATCCCATGGTCAGGGTCAGGCAAAAGAAGAGAAAAAAAGGAGCCTCCTATACACTTCACCTGGGATAACAGATGCCTCTTTTCCACTTCTTAATCAACCTGGAAAGCCGGGGGTCTGTCTGAATTACTTAGAAAGGCTTTTAAATGCCGTTGGTTGTTAAATATTGTTTCTTCTGTATAGAAAGTATGAAGGGTATTATCCTGGTAAAATTTATGGGAAGTATTGTTAGGTTCAGAATAAGGTGAAGCTAATTTAAAACATTCTGCATCCAAAATGAGACATAATTTAGGCTCTAATGTACTTTGATTTTGTCAGTGTTCCCATATTCTTTATTCCTTCGTCTGCCTCCAGCTGATCATAGGGGCTAGATTAGTATACCCACGAAGTCTTTCTAAGTTAGGTTTTCTCAACTTCAGCATCATTGATTGATATTTGGGCCAGATCATTATTTGTTGTGGGGGGCTGTCTTGTGCATAGGGTGTTCAGCAGCATCCCTGACCTATACCCAGTAGATGCCAGTAGCATTCCCCAAATTGTGGCCATCAAAAATGTTTCCAGACACTGCCAGATTTCCCCTGGGGGCAACATAGTCCCCAGTTGGAACACTGCTCTAAACTCAAGTTCATAAATGGAACCAGTTTCTCTTTTCAGGAACATCTTGATCATACTTAATCTTTCCTCCCAACCAATTCAGCTCCATTCCTATCCAAAGGAGAGTCAGTGTTGCTTGGTGGGTAAGAATGTAGTCTTTGGAGTCTGACAGACCTGGGTTTGAATCCTCATTCCGCCATTTCCTCATTCCATGACCTTGGGTATAATAGTTACTCTCTTTGAGCCTTATTTCCTTATCTTTAGACATAAAAATAATAGCATTGTCTTTCATAGAGTTGTTGTAAGGATTAAATGAGGTAATGTACATAAAGCCCCTGGCACACAGCATTTATTAAGTGGTAGAGATTAATAATGTCATACCTTTGCACTCCTCAGTTGTTCACCCCCCCAAACAAACACACACGTGTACACACACGCACACATCCACCCAACTTCTACTCTCTAGTTCTCTATCTCAAAGAAATCTTAAGGCATCACGCTTGAGCACGCTTAACTCCCTGTGTGGAAACAGAAAGCCCCCACAGAGTAGAGAGCATGCACTAGGTGGCTGGAAGTAGTATGTTTAGGACTGGAAACAAGCTTGAGTTCTGGACTTCCTGGCTTCCCTGTTACGATAAAGGATTGGACTCCTAGACAGTTGCTTTGATGGAAAATTTGAAAATTACATCCTTCACCTTTTATACTACTTCCCTCCTGCGGCAATTCCGGTTATACTTGATATGGATTTTATTCCTTCATAGACTCTTACCTGAATTGTTTTGAAGGCTTACAGTCTTCATAGGGTTGTTGTCCAGATTGTGGAACTGCCATAAGGATGAAATGAGAAACTGTGTGTGTAGTACTTGGCATGAAGCCAGGAATATTCTAAGTGCTCAGTAAATGATAATTGGCATTGTGATTGCTGCTGATACTCTAGTTCTGCGAGGGAGAGTGTTTGATCTGGATAAAGCAGAACTGACAGATCACCAGAATCTGTCAGTAGAAAGAGCATTTAGAACCTTTTCCTCTTCCCTGTTTTATATCTGAAAGGTACAGAAAGCATAGGCTACTCCATAGGCTGCACTGTTTTCTTCAGGGTTCCTGACCAGTCTGGGAACTTTGCCCTTGGGGTCTGAGAATGGTGGTGTTGTTTCCTATCTACTTGGTATTATGAGGTGACTAAGTGATAGAAATCACCTGGCCTATATTAAAGAGACATTATTACAAATGATAATGAATAGAAGTAAATAAATACATGATGGATAAACAAAGTTATTTCAGTAAGAGGAAATGTTGGTTCAGTTCACATATTGCTTTCCCGTCCTTTGAGAGGTCTTTCATCTGTATTTGCTGAACCAAACACTTCTGAATTTTTCCCTTAGCGTTGTGAGGATATTGCTTCAAGGGGGAGAGGTCCAGCTGAGTCTGTTAGTTTGTAAAGTAGAGAATTGACCCGATTGGCTTGACCTCTGGGGGTGGGGGTGGGCGATGTCTTGCAGGTCATGAAGACATATCACATGTACAATGCCGACAGCATCAGTGCTCAGAGCAAACTAAAGGAGGCGGAGAAGCAGGAGGAGAAGCAAATTGGTAAATCGGTAAAGCAGGAGGACCGGCAGACCCCACGCTCCCCTGACTCCACCGCCAACGTTCGCATTGAAGAGAAACATGTCCGGAGGAGCTCAGTGAAGAAGATTGAAAAGATGAAGGAGAAGGTGCGTATGCTCCCACAGCTGTGGATGCTGGGAAGTGGCATTCTGTCAGACATGACTGACAGGAATTTCCCAGTAGGCACCAGGAAGAGCAGACTAGGAAGCTCTGGGTTCTTTTAGTACCTAAGGAATAAAAATGAGTCCTTGCTCTGTGCCTTGGCAGGAATACCAGGTATTGGAAGAACTGGGCACGTGAACTCCATGCTTTTAACCTCTAGCAGAAACCAAGAAACGGTAGTCACCTTTCCCAATACATTTTCCAAATAGAGCCCAATATCCTATTGCTTTGGAGGGGTTTGGGGTGACTGTAGACCAGGGTCTGGTTTCAGATGTCAGGTGTTTGGGGGCAAGAGGAGTGGTACCTCCTTCAGAGTGGCACTGCAAGAATGAAGAATGGTATTTGAAGACAGAATCAAAGTGGGGCACGCATCTTAAGTAGGGAGCCTCATTAACCTTTCCTGAATTGATCTACATTATGCCCTTGAATCTCATTAAACAGAATTAGAACCCAATTTAAGGCAGATGTGCATAGGGAGTAGCAGCACAATTGTAATTCTTGAAAACACTGTACTTTTATGTTTTAGAGAACAGTCTCCCCTTAAAAAAAAAAGTAAAATTGAACCTCTGTTCCTTTTTTAGCGCCAAGCCAAGTACACGGAGAATAAGCTGAAGGCCATTAAAGCCCGGAATGAGTACTTACTGGCTTTGGAGGCCACCAATGCATCTGTCTTCAAGTACTACATCCACGACCTATCTGACCTTATTGATGTAAGTGCTTAAAGCCGAGGGCCTGAGGGCACCTCTTTTCTAGTTTCAGAATCCTGGTCAGACATTCTCCGATACTGTTGTTCAGGAATCTGGGACATTTTGAGAACAATTGTAAAGATAACAGCCATGATCCATCAGCGGGCTTGCCATGTACCAAGCACCAGGTGAAACACTTCACACTATTCAATCCTTACTGCAATTCTGGGAGAAAGGCATTATTATCAGTATTTTTACAGATTAACAGAGTTTAGATGTCTTACTCTGAATCGGTTTGCCTCTGAAAGAGGCAAAATTTGTACCTTTGCACCTAGGTCTGATTACTCAACCCAGGTTTATAACCACTATGCTCGTCTGTCTGCCAGGAAATACTATTGTTTTTTTTTCTCCTTTTTTTTGAGATAGAGTCTTGCTCTGCCTCCAGACTGGAGTGCAGTGGTGCCATCTCTGCTCACTGCAACCTCCACCTCCCAAGTTCAAGTGATTCTCCTGCCTCAGCCTCCCCAGTAACTAGGACTAACCACCATGCCCAGCTAATTTTTGTATGTTTAGTAGAGACAGGGTTTCACCATGTTGGCAAGGCTGGTCTTGAACCCTTGACCTCAGGTGATCCACCTGCCTCAGCTTCCTAAAGTGCTGGTATTACTAGTATGAGCCATTGTGCCCGGCCTAGGAAATACTTGATTACATCAGCTTGCTTCTCTTGCACAGAAGTGAGTGGCAAGAACTTAAGAGTTACAGGGCAGGTGTGGTGACTCACGCCTGTAATCCCAGCACTTTGGGAGGCCGAGGCAGGTGGATCACGAGGTCAAGAGATAGAGACCATTCTGGCAAACATGTTGAAACCCTGTCTCTACTAAATACAAAAAATTAGCCAGGCATGGTGGCACATGCCTGTAATCCCAGCTACTTGGGAGGCTGAGACAGGAGAATCGTTTGAACCCAGGAGGCAGAGGTTGCGGTGAGCCGAGAATGTGCCATTGCACTCCAGCCTGGGCAACAAGAGCGAAACTCCGTCTCAAAACAAGAGTTACAATGCCATACCTTACATGTGTATAGCACTTAAGTTCTCTCAGTGTTCTCATCTGATCGTCACATCACCATTATGGGTAAGCATTGCTATCTCCATTTGCTGAATAAGGAAGCTCGGGATCCAGAGGACTATGAGACTCACCTGTCCAAGGTTATGCTGAAAATTAGGGTCCAGTCAGGAAGGTGTCTAGCTGCCCCGACATCTGGCCAATTTTTAAAAATATGCAATGCAAAGGTGATTGAGGAAAGCAGGTTAATAGGCACATGTGTTTTGCAAGAGGCAAGCACAGGGATAACTGTGCTTTTTGTGTTTGGCCTGTAAGTTATTCTTGGCCTTGTTTTTCCTGCTGCTTCCCCTTACAGTTAGGTCTTCTAAGCCCGCTCACCTGCAGACTCCAATCTGGCCCAGGTCCTCAGCCACACCTAACTGAAGCTATGTAATTACACCCTTTCTCATCACTCCCTCCAGTCATCAAAGTGAGGCATCTGGTGCCTGCTGATTTAGCATCCCAGTCTCTGGAGCTTTAAGTGTATCTCCTCTCTGTGGGCTGCCATTTGTTTCAGAGTCTTGGTGGCAGCAGTTGGGCTTTGCAAAACTCTGGCCAGACCACTCATGCTTTCCCACCTTGGTTTCTCCACAAGCAAACCTACTACACCTCACAACATCATATAGGGTTCGGGTCCGAGTCTTGCTGTAACATCACTGCCTGGGTCATCTAAGCTTGTCACTGAATTGTTCTGGAAGCCAGCTTTGTTTCCCACCCCACTCCCAACCTCCTCTAGCTAACTGAAGAATTGTACTAATTTCCTGGTATTGAAATCTGGCCTCACATAAGAGTTGCTTGGGGAACTTTTATGAAATACAGATTCTAGTCTCCCTTTAGCGAAGGATTTTTGATTCAGTAGATTGCAGCCACTTAATGCCCCAGTTGTCATTGTCTCACTGGGTTAGTGGAGCCTTGTTCCTTGGTTCTGGTACCTCTTTGTTCTCTCTGCTTGTTGATGACAATCTGAACACTGTCCTTCAATGGAGGTCAAAGCCCTAAACAAGATCCTTTTTCCTCCTCAGGGAAGCAGCTCCTCATTGTTGGGAGAGAGAGGCCTGTTCTCAGCATGAGGAAGACAGTCCATTCTTTCTTATGTACAATTTCAGCTATTTATCTCGCATTTAGTAAAAGTTCAGACTGTGTCGTCTGCCACACCTCTACTATTGGTTTGCCCTCTTCTCTTTTTTTTTTTTTTTTTTTTTTTGCACTCAAGCAACTTCCCTACCTTTTTCACCAAAATGCTGATCTCAGGGAAAGGGAGGGGCTACTGCTGTATCAGCCACCACCTTTTCAAAGCATAGATTCTCCATCAGGTATAAGCAAGTATTTTCAGATCAGTCCAAGAAGTGGCTGGATGCAGTGGCTCAAACCTGTAATCCCAGCACTTTGGGAGGCCAAGGGGGGCAGATCATGAGGTCAAGAGATCGAGACCATCCAGGCCAACATGGTGAAACCCCATCTCTCCTGAAAATACAAAAATTAGCTGGGAGTGGTGGCACGCAGCTGTAGTCCCAGCTACTCAGGAGGCTGAGGCAGGAGAATCACTTGAACCTGGGAGGCAGAGATTGTAGTAAGCCAAGATCACACCACTGCACTACAGCCTGGTGACAGAGCGAGATTCCATCTAAAAAAAAAAAAAAAAAATCAGTCCAAGAAGCAAGGTATTTTGTACTGTACTTCCATCATTAAAAAGAAAAAAAAAAGTCTGTTAAGAGCCTAATTTCACAGGATGTGGTATGAGATGCCACTGAAAAAAGCTGCCCTAGTGCTTGGCAGGTGCAGGTCTAGATCACTGATCGAAAGACTACACAGGTGGTAAGAAAGTTTCGTATGTTTCTTTGCTGCTATGTTTTAGTGTGTCTTGTTTTATTTTGTTGGCTGCTTGGGTTTTTGTTGTTGTTTTTCCTGAGATGAAGATACATTCATTACTTTAAAAAAAGAAGTTGTATTATTCTGCTCTGTAAATGTTCAGAAAGTATTTGTTTAGAGAGAGGCCAGGTGCTCAGTATCAGGGGTAGAAATGGAATATAGTAGTTCTTGCCCTAGAGGTATTCATAGACACTAAGACAGCATTTTTCAAACCATCAGTCAGATCCCTTAGGGAAGCCAGGAAATCACTTTTATTGGTTTAACCTGTGTTTTTCAATGACTAGACAAGACCAGAATAAGAGAGAAAATATTAGAGTATGTCACATCGGTAAGATTATGTGAAACTTTTATGTTAGATGTGTATGTACACACTTGCACATCTGTGGGAGGTGTGTGACAATAGAAGATGTGTTTCTTATTGTGAGTGGGAGCCAAAAAAATGCTTGTGAGCCACTGTTCTATGAACAGAGGAAGCTCTCAGTCTCCTCTGTTAAGTTCTGTGAGAGCAGGAACCAGGAGTTTTCTTTAGCTTAGCAGCCTTCACTGCTTAATATTTAGCTGAGCACATAGTGTGTTTACTGAAGAAAGAAAGGAATAGAAAGAGAAGGAAGATGATCATTTAAGCTAAGATTGGTTTTTCTTTTTGTACCTTTCAATATTGTTTTGATGTATAATTTATATACAGTAAACTTAAGTATTGCAGTTTCAAGAGTTTTGACAAATTTGTCAAATATTTGATATAGAATAAATATTTTTATAAGCGATATCTTTCCACTGGACAGGCGCAGTGGCTCACGCCTATAATCCCAGCACTTTGGGAGGCCAAGGCAGGTGGATCACGAGGTTAGGTGTTCAAGACCATCCTGGCTAAGATGGCGAAACCCTGTCTCTACCAAAAATACAAAAATTAGCTGGGCACTTTGGTGGGTGCCTGTAATCCCAGCTATTCGGGAGACTGAGGTAGGAGAATCGCTTGAACCCGGGAGGCGGAGGTTGCAGTGAGCTGAGATGGCACCACTGCACTCCAGCCTGGGCATCAGAGCAAGACTCCATCTCAAAAACAAACAACAACAAAAAAGAGATATCTTTCCATTGCCTCAGAAGGTTTCTCTTGTCTCTTCCCAGTCAATCCCCCACCCTGAGGCAACCAGTTATGATTTCTTTCAACATAAATTAGTTTTGCCGGTTGTAGAACTTCACAAAGATGGGATTATCCGTTTTTGGACCTGGCATCTTTTGCCCAGCGTGATGTTTTTGAACTTGGTCCATGTTGTTTGCATCTCTCAGTAGTTTCTTACTTTTTCTTGCTGATCTATGCAATAAAAAGGGCCAAAAGGATGCAGTTAGAGCAGGACTAAGTGAGGAGCCTGGGATATTGGCATCCTGATCTTAACAGTATCCAGAACTTGCTTTTACACATGGGATGAATCCTGTTTCAGTCCATTGCCATCTGTGTCATGTACACCCTTCTGCCTCCTTCCTAGTGGTTTTGAAGCCAAATGTGTGCATAAGGCATTGAGGATAAGTGAAAAGAAGTTATTTTTGTTGATGTCATTACATTGACCAAGGACTAGCCTCTGACTTCTTTTTATAGTAGAGTGTAAGATTTAAACTTCAGACTGTAGGAATCCACGAGGCATCTGCCACATTGGGGAAACCTTGACTTCAGGCCAAAAAGACGTTCTGAGCTCATTTGATAGCATCTAAGAACTGTAGGCTCACTGGAATGTAATTTTCCTCCCCCGTACTCTTGTGGCTCTCTCAACCCAGGAGCAGATGGATGAATGAAGAACAGGGCATTGTCCTCATGCATAGCTGGAGTGTTGTGAGTGCCGTGTACATGTGTAGAAGGTCTGTGACGCCATGTGCACCCAAGTCTGAGATGAGGGAACTTGGCTGTTTCAGTGAGAAATAGCATTAAGGGCAGTTATTTTTCTCTTCTGTATGAACTTGAAGTGGCTGTTGTGAAGCATCCATTTTTCTTTTCCAGGACTTCTGGAGTCTCTGGGTGAGGATATCAGCTGGGAAAGGGTTAATGAGCTATGAACTCAAGTCATCATACATCTGGATGGGCGGTCATTAAATTCTTATAAAAATTTGATTTCCCCTGAGAGATTTTTCATCAAACATTTATATAACTCAGAAATGGCCAGGGGATCCCAGCGTGGCCACAGAACTCATCAGAAGCCATGGAAAGCATGCTTTGTCCCCATTGTGGGCAAAATAATGTGCTTCCTCTACTTACTGGGATTCTCCTCGGAACAGGATGAAATATTCAAATCTCATTTACCTAACCTTGCCAGATATTGCTTCTTTGCTAAAGGCTGGGTTTCTGGCTGTTGCCCTTGCAGGTAGGTAGATAGTCAAGGCTCTGGAGAACCTCTTCTGAATCTGCCTGGTTGGCTAGTGGTGTGGAGGAGCCAGGGGCACATTGTGACTCAGACCCTCATTCACTGGCACAAAGAAGCTACAGAACAGTTATATAAACAGAGACAGTGCTCCAGCCTGAGAAAACTCCCAGCCTTCCTTTGGCCAGAGAGTGAGCAAAACAAAAGGCTTCACTGGCTCCATCTACCCACTTGACTTAGGTCAGTATTCAACCTAAGTGTTTTATTTCCTGAGAGGCTGGAATTTGTACTTGTGCTGTCAGTCACTGAAATTAAGTGCCTACTGTGAGCAAGGCCTATTGCTGAGGGACGTAAAGAAGGGTTAGAAGCTAGTCTGGTTTGGGTGATATGACATGGCAAGTCATAGAATGAAGAAGCATTCCTTGTCATATGAGAGCTACAGGTTAGTATGGTTCTAAGTAGAGGCCAGGGTCATTAGAGTCCAGGATTGCAGAGCTGGCTGGCTTCTCAGAGGCTGAGAATTTTAATTTGGATCTTGAAGATCTGGTCCAATTCCAATAGGTGAGAGGCATAGGAAGCATTTAAGGAAGAGGACATTCTGGGAGCTGAAGAGGAGAGATCAGTGGATTTGGAGCTATATTAGTATTTTTTTAAGTGTCTACATGGTACCAAATATATGTAAATATATTGCCTGTTAGCCTACAAAACCTATGAGGCTGGTGTTATCCTCATTTGAGGCCCAAAGGGATTAAGTAACTTGCTTATGGCCATGTAGCTGATTTGAAGCCCAGAACTCTGCCCTAAACAGAGAGTATGTTATTGGATTAGAGCAGATGAATCTGAGGAAGAAAATAAAGGGAGTTGGCGTAGGATGGTAGATTGAAGACAGATTGCAATTTGTTCTGGCCACTGAAGCTGTCTCAAATTATTTACCTTCACTCAGCCTCAGCTTTCGAACCTGGAAAATTAGATAATATCAACCTCATTGAGGTTATTATAAGGATTAAAATGTAGAATGTATATAAAGCCCGTAGCACATGGACTGATGTATAGTCAGCACACTTAGTGAAATAGAAGCATTTTTTTTAATTTTAAAACTGGGGAAGGTGGATTTTACCTTGGGGGAAAAAAATGAAAGGTATTTTAGATTCTTCAACAGGAAAGTGCCATAATTAAAGTCACATTTTAGGACAGTGAAGCAGATAGCACTGGTGTAAGACAGTAAGGGTATGAATAGGGGTAGAGGTACTGAGAATAGAGAGGAAGGGGGAATTACCAAAAATAGTTAAAGGCTTTTTGAAGGGCACCTTTCCTCTCCCATATTCTACCCTCTGCTCTCACCCTCTTTACCCACACACATACTCAGTGGGCAGTATTACTTCTGTTCATTAGTCTTACAGGCATAGAGCTCATCAACATGGTCTACATAGAGCTAGTCAGGAAGGTTTACAGGTTCAAGGGCAGCCTGGTGAGACTAGCAGCATCTCCCAGAGGGCCCGTGCACATGCAGCCTCCTAATCAGCCACTTTTGTCTAGCTTCGATTTGCTCTTCCCTCCCAACTGAATTTAATATCTTTCCATCCTATGCCTCTAGTTAAGCTGTAACTGCTGTTATTCTGCTGTAGCCAGGCAGCTGCCAGGGCCTGTTGGCACTAAACCCAGAGCCCAGCCCAACTGATGCTCTCACTGAGCTTCTTGTCAGATGCCAGGAAAGAGGAGGCATGTCATATGCCTTTTCTTCCCCAATAGTGGCTGCTTCCAATGTGATGATGCTGAGAGGAAAAGGCTGTGGGGAGGGTCAATTTGATGCTTGCTTGTGCAATGAAATGGCAATCAGGCAGATGGCCTTACTCTGTGCATGGATTCTTCTCTGATGTTTCTTCTCAGGACCTGGACCTCAAAGCTGCTTAGCAATAGAGAGGATGGTGATGGATGGCCAAGGAATTGGGATCTCTAGGTCCTTTGGGAGGGATGGGGAATGTTATCATAGCGTTACAGAATGCCATTGCTGAAGAAGGCCTTAAGGATTACATTTAGTCCAGGGATTTTCAGACTTTTCTCTAACAGAAGATTTCTTTCTTCAAACCAGACCTTATATAGAATCCCTAAATATTAAATAGAAAAAAAAGAGCAGAGCTGGCTTGGTTGAAGGAGGAATAGAAGGCTCCAAGTCCTAGCAGTTGGGTTGTCCTTTTACCCACTTCTCCAGGGCAGCTTCAGTGCCAGCACTGGTCTACTGCTTGAAAGCCACTGGCCTGGCCAAATCTGTTCATTTTACTATGGAAGAAACAGGTTCAGAGAAGGGGAGTGGCTTTTCTAAGGTTGCTTGATTCTGCCACCAGTGCTTTTTTTTAATACAGTTGCCTCTTTCATACCATTTTTCTTTTTGCATTTTGTTGTAAAAAATCAAGAATCCTTTACATGGCATGAATTTCCCCAGTAATATTTATGCATAGAGCTTTTTAGTCTTATAAATGCTATTTCTGTAGTGCAGGGGCATCTGTTGTCAGATGCCAGGAAGGAGGAGGCATGTCAGAAATCCTAGTCTGCAGTTCAGGCCTATCCTAAGATGTTGGGAGTTGGTGGGGATGATGAGCCAGAGTCAGCTCCCCATTCTGTCCTTCTCCCACCTAGAGTTGAGCTTGCATACATTAGCTGCTGTTGCAACACTCCTGCTTTCAGAACCCTGAAATGGCCTGGCTTGGTTGCTGTATAGTGATTTAACCACAGTAACCCTCAGTGAGTGGCAGGTTGTATTTTTATTGTTGAATTTTGTTATAATGGTAACCCCAGATAAACCTAAAACTGGAAGAGGGTTCTGTTTAACTCTCAATTCTTCTCATGTTTATGAAATTGCACTTAATTAAATAATGCCATTTTATCCTTATGAATCTTCTTCCTTCTAACCACCTCACAGCCCTCAAATGGTGTGTTTAACTAGTGAATTGGGAGTCAAGAATGGAAAACTCTCACCTAGGCCTTAGAAGTCAGGATGTCAACTCTCTTTTACTGCACAGCCAGGCCTATTGATGTGGTCAGATCTGCCCTCTGGACCACCCTCCCTTTCCACCAAGCCTTGGGGCTGTCCATGGTGTGCTCATGTACCTTCTCCTTCCCACAGCAGTGTTGTGACTTAGGCTACCATGCAAGTCTGAACCGGGCTCTACGCACCTTCCTCTCTGCTGAGTTAAACCTGGAACAGTCGAAGCACGAGGGTCTGGATGCCATCGAGAATGCAGTAGAAAACCTGGATGCCACCAGTGATAAGCAGCGCCTCATGGAGATGTACAACAATGTCTTCTGCCCCCCTATGAAGTTTGAGTTTCAGCCCCACATGGGGGATATGGTGAGGCCTTCTTCCTATACCCCCATCCTCAAGGGGCTTGAGTGGACTCGTGTCTAAATTCATTACACAGAAGCCACATTATTCTGGGGTGGGAAAGGCCTGGGCCTGGCTTCTTGTCAGGTGGGTGAGGCACATTCCACTAACTGAGCAAACAGCTAGTGAGTGCCTGCTGTCAGACACTCTGGCTTGGCTGCAGATACGAGGAATTAAAGCCTTCGGGGAGCTTACAGTCTGGGGAATAAGGTCACTAAGGTTTGGAGAGAGTTAGAACTATGCATAGAGAGGGGGCATCCAAAGGGGCCCAGCAAGATCAACGAAGGTTAAAAATAGCAGGTGTGTTCTAAAAACTACCAACAGTTCAGAATGGTGAAAGGAAAGTGAGGAAGTGGTGAGGCTAGAAAAAATGAGAGCTGAGGTGGGCCCACATCCTAGAGGCTTTAGTAGGGAAGCGAGGGCTAGGCAGGGAATGTTGTGATCTTTTGCCATTTGGCAGAGTTCGGAAGAATCTTACTGTCCAGAGGTTAGAAGATTGTGATAAAGTGTAGAGTTTTGCTTGGGGTATTGAACAAAAAAGAATAGGTACCTGCAGGAAGGACAGGAGCTAAGATGCCATCCCAAAGGCCTGATGCTGGTTGCCCAGATGGAGAAGCATGAACATGGGGCTTTGTTTTGGACTCTGCCTCCAGTGACTGGACTAAGAAGGGCCTAAATAAAGTGAGAGGCAAGAGAAGCCCCTGGGTTTTCATTGCTCTAAATCTTTTGGTTCTACTTGTGTGGTTGTGTGTACAAGTCAGAGTGAACCTCATTCCTGTGAGTAAGAGCCATCATTTCACCTATTGGTGAAATCAGAAGGAGGTTGTATAGGCTTATGTGATAGAAAAGATCAAGATGGACCTTTGGGTATAGTTGGTTTTAGGAGGAGGAATTTTACCAAGATACTGTTTTGCTGTCTCTGTACCACTTCCTGTGTGTTAGTTCCATTCTCAGACAAGCCATTCTCCCATGGAGGCAAGGTGAATGCATTTCCAGCCTTTCCTGGTAGGACGAAATCTAGTGGAAAGAGTATCTGCCTCTCTCCTCAAAGCCCCCACAAAGTTTCATGTGTCTCATTGGTTTTGATTGGGTGAAGTGCTTATGCCTGCATCCATGCAGAGCACATGACCTGAGTTGTAGAGTAGGAGGCTCCCCCCGCTGAGGACAGTCAGACCAAAGCTACCAAAAAGAGACGAGTGGAAGCCAGAGGACCAAAAAACAGCAACATGTGTACTACTCAGGAATGATGCTTCCCTTAAGATTAGTATCCAGAGTCTAGAAATCCCTGCTCCAGAATGACAGCTGTGGCAGTGGAACCAGAGGATTTGCTGTCATCAGTCAGCCTCTATGGAGAGTGAGACTCTGTCCTAGAGACAGAAATGTGGACATCATTTCCTTCCTTTTCTTCTTGGGGAAAATCAAACCATTTACAGTTCATTTCCATTGCTGTGGCTTAGGAAATGTTGTCAGTGTCTGAACAGATGGAGAAGTGAGATGGCAGCATGTGCAATTAGAGTTGGGGGAAGGGGTGTCACCAAGCCTCAGGAAGCCCCATTCCTCACCTGCCCTGGCTTCTGGTCAAACTTGCCTTCCAAGCCCCTTCTCCAGCTGTCACTGAGATTCCTTCCCAGGTATCTATGGAACTTGGGGACCAGCTGAGTGGAGTGATATATTTTCCGGTGTTAGTGATTGAGTTGCCTTCTGAGCCAAACAGCTTGTCTTCATAAAGAGGGAATCCAGATGCTGGGTGCTCAGGGCCCCTCCTCCCACTGTCAGAGCCTTATTTTCATACTCCAGAGTGCAGCTGGAATGTATTACCTTGCACCCCGGTAGCAGACCACTGCCAAAGCATGCATCATCATCAGCTCTGCTACTTCTTAAAGGAACAGGCTTGGAGGTGGTTTTTCCCTCCATGATTCCTCTCTGCTAGGTCTGGATTACTTTAAAAATCAATAGCTTACTCCTCTGCTGGGGCCATCCCTTTGTGTGATATAGCTGATCAGTGGCTGAGCGAGGCAGGGGCCAGGACCAGTCCTGGAGCTTGTAAAGATTGCACATTCTAGCCTAGCCTTCATATGAGTGAAAAATAGAAAGAGAAGAGAGGGTGGGTCATTCTTGGCCTCTACAGCCAGTCTATCCCCATCAGTGTGGGTTGTCTGCAGATTGTGGAGGCAACAGGAGGGAGCTGCCTGGAAGTTGTTGAAATAGGGCCAAAGATTGGGTGGCATTTTGACTGGAAGCCTTGAAATTGGCCAGGATCCCACACTAACTGGTTTTCTGGGGTGCACAGCACATGAATTGATGCCAAGTGCTCTCAGATGTACTAGGAGGAGGTGCTTGGCTCCATTTTTGGTGCCCTCAGAAGCTGTGGGACTCTGGATGCCTGACCAGTGACATCAGGCAGCCAGAGAGTTTCACTCTTGGCACTAACCGGTTCTGGCCACTGAGCTTTCTCCATTGCATCTACTTGTCCAAGAGTTAGAGTGAAGTCAGCTCTCTCCAGATCTGAGAGCTGGCTCAGGCTAGCCTCTCAGCTGAGGGAGGAGGTCAAGTCAGTTGAGAGCTAAAAAACCAATGGAGGAAAAGGTCAAGTCCCAGCCCCCTCCATGTGAAGAGAGGTTTTGTCCTTTCAAGCAAGGGAATGGTCCGTGGGCATGTGAATGTGCCCACTCATTGCTGAGGAGGAAGGAGGCCATTTCTATCCAGATGTCTGTCTGCAGACAAGAGGCTAGAGGACGAACAGTAATAAGGTGACAGGAGCTGCCTCCACATGGGTCCTGCCTCCCACCTCTCTCAGCCTTCTGCTCCTCATCTGTCATCCAGGGGACTGTGGATGACCTCATCCCTTAACTACATCCCCATCAGGAGACAGTGGAATAGCCATTCCCTCACACAGGAGAAAGCTAATTGGCAATAATCCTTCAGCTAAGGGCAGACTTCTCTCTTACAGATCTAGGGAAGGCCTGGGGTAAAATGATGGCACTTTGGAAAATGCCAACTTCCTCCAGATTCCATGCCCTCTCAGTCCCTCTAGCATAGGCAACGAACTTGTTCTTGGCTTCACACTTTCTCATTGAATCAAAGCTCTCATGCATGGCCTGGATTTATATACACATGCTGGCTGCCAGCAGTGACAAGTTAGCCTCCTGACCTACTTCTCTTCTGCTTTCACTCTGGTGTAGGAAGGGGGTTGAGGGAGGAGCCAGAGAGGTGGCCACTTGGACCTTTGGCAGGAAATCCTCACTGTGCCAAAGCATTGTGTTTCTGGAGCTGGGGCTGCCTGAGGCACTCTTCTCCAGCCTCCTCGGCCTTCCATGAAGCTGCCAACCCTGCACAGACCTACTCCTGCCGGGCTCCAAACAGATTCTCCTCCCCATTCCTTTCATGTACTATTTGGTCCTGGAAGAGGCTCACATAAGTTGGCTTTGGATTTTGCTTCAGCATAGAAACCACAAGCCTTATACCTTGAATATGGGTAGTTTCATTGCCAGTAATAGGAACTCTGGAACTGCCAAAGGAACTGTATTCTTTTTCTGACCTGGTGTTGCTTTCTTTTGTTAGGCTTCCCAGCTCTGTGCCCAGCAGCCTGTCCAGAGCGAGCTGGTACAGAGATGCCAACAACTGCAGTCTCGCTTATCCACTCTAAAGATTGAAAACGAAGAGGTGAGTTTCCTGCTTAGGAGGTTCAAAGCCACACTCTTAAGTTTCCCTGTTGAAACTTTTGCTGCTGCCCGTCTGGGAGCAGGTGGAAGGAGCATGCAGAGAATGTCCGGGCGGCCGCAAACATTTCCTAGCCAAATGTAGGCTTGGACTTTCCCCCTCTGCTACATCCTGCCCTTGAACTTCAGGAAGTTGCTCTTGCATTGCCAAAGGTTGTGCTCTATTTTGAGCTTTTGCAAAGTGCTTTTTTTCCCCTCTACACATTTAATCAAAATGGCACTTGGCAGCTGTGTGAACAATATTGTGTCTCCGAAACCACCCCCTCATGCCTAGCTTTTTCCAACATGTTCAAACAAACAGAGGCCTTTGACTTTGTCACTTCAAACATCTCCGTCCTCTTAGGAAAGGGTGAGTTTCTTCGGGACTCAGTGTATTTGCCTTCAGAAGGCAGTTCAAAAGGGCAAGTGATCCAGCTTTCTGTTGAGCTCAGACGGCTACTTACCTTGTGTCTCAGTAAATCTTACTTTCCCCATGAAGATCAGGAAGAAATAGGGATAGGTCACTTAGTTTGCAAATGAGCAAACAAGTTCATCAGTTTGTTGAAGGTCATGAAACAGAACCTGAGGCTTTGCGATACTAGGCTCATCACACATTTTAGTTAGCTGTTTATATGATGGGATTGGTTCAGATTTATTTTATTCCCTTTCCCTTAATACTTGTATTATAATGCTAATATTAAATTTCAAAAGTAAACATTAAAAGATCTGGGTCAAGTACATAGCATGAGAGGTTGTAATGGCTTTTAGGTTTTCACTGTAGAGAGGAGCATGCTGTAGCAGAGTCCACGTGATGTTTATCTCTCACTTAGCACTGTCCAATGGGAAGCAAAGCTGCACACTCTGATGGCATCCTCTGGCCTTCCCCAGCCCACTCTCTTCAAGCTTCTCCATCACCTGCTGTTTTGCAACCCTTCATGCATTCTGTTGGCCCTTGTCATGGCAGGTGAAAAAGACAATGGAGGCCACCCTGCAGACCATCCAGGACATTGTGACTGTCGAGGATTTTGATGTGTCTGACTGCTTCCAGTACAGCAACTCCATGGAGTCTGTCAAGTCCACGGTGTCCGAAACCTTCATGAGCAAGCCCAGCATTGCTAAGAGGAGAGCCAACCAGCAAGAGACAGAGCAGTTTTATTTCACAGTAAGGGGGTGCTATGGCTTTTAAAGAGTGTCAGCATGTACTGCAGCACACAAGGGAGATTTGAAACTCAGAGTCCTTGTTAAGTGTCTAACGGACAGTTGTTGAATATCTCAGATATGAATGTGGGCATACATAGAGGCCATCCTTGCACTTAAAGGTGCAAACATTTACAAGTTGTATGTGACTAACATGGCCCCTACAGAGAAAGATGCTCCCAAGTATACCACTAAGAAGATTTTCTTTTTTAAGAAATTTTTAACAAGTTAGTAGGCTTTCATTATTTCCTTCTCAGGCACAGTGGGTTGTGAAAGGGGAACTTCTGATTATTGCCAGAACTTAAAGGATGGGTCATATGCAGCATTACTGTTTTGCACATAATTCCAAAACATCGTATTTTCTTACTCATGTGTCTCTAGTCTTCTTTTAGCAGTTGGACCCTTTTTTCTTTTCTGTTTTTCTTTTTTAAGTATTGTTAACAGTCCTTTGGGAGGTTGCTACTGGTCTTTGGTGCTTTTTAATAATTGAGTTATTTTGAGCTTGCCAAGTAGGATCTTGCCTGGACTAAAACTTATTTCCTAATCTTCTGATGACCAAGAAGGGAAAAATTAAGTTTGTAGATGTGACATGAAATATAGCCAGTGAATATGCATACTGATTCTGAATGAAAGGAATTAACTTTTCAGTCAAGAAACAGTCTGCATGCAGTAAATTGAATTTTTCCTGCAACTGGAGCAGTTTGTTTAATTCTTCTTTGAACACTGCCCTTTCTCTATTTAAAGAACACTAATGATTTGCTAATGTTTTTTAAAGAAATCTGTTTTTTTTAATTAAGCTTAGACTTCCTCATTTGTTTTAATCCTAGCAAAAACTGCTAAAAGGGATAGTAATAGTATCCCTCTTAGTAATAGTAATTTGTCAGTACTATTCTTCTAAAACAACTTTTTAAAAATTATGATACGAAGCCAAATATGCTCATTATATAAAATTTAGAAGCAAAAAGAAGGAAATAAAAACTGTCCATAATTCTACCTCCTAGAGATAATGCTATTAGAATATATTATTTTCTCATCTTTTTTCTATGTGTGCACAAACACATATGTGAGCATACATTTATAATTTTATTATAAAAAATAGGATACTGCTATACATATTGTTTTACAATCTAAGTCATATAATACTCTTTAAGCATATTTATGAGTAAAATATTAAAACCTATACCAAAAAATAATAGAATGCCATTTTGGCTCATTCTTTCATTTTTGTAAAATATTTGACAGACTTGCCTGGTTTGTAGTGTTCAATAAATGCTAAAAATTTATCTTCACCATCATCATTATATTTATTAATCATTATTAAGTTATTCATTGATCATTTTTTGAGGATTTATTATTGGCCAGACGCTGTGCTACAAGCCGGGAACGCTGCAAGTATAAGATAAAGAGGGACATGATGGGGGATAGGTCATATAAAGGGAGAACTTATTTTTACTTCATGTGTATCTAAACAGTTATACTAGGTTGATTTTTGTAATTTAAAAAATGTAAAATGTAAAAATGCATACACTTGTGGCAGCCAGGATGAGTGGAGTTGGGGAAGCATCACACACAAAGTGACTTTTGTGCTTGTTCTTGAAGAATGAGTGAAGCAGGCAGGGAGTCGGGAGGAGAATGGCATTCCTTGAGGAAAGAGCAGCATGTGGGAAAATATAAATGCACACAGAAACCTGGCTCACATGTTAAGAGAACTTTCTGACTATAATGAGGGACGTGCCGCTGCCCCAAGCTTCATTATCTAAGGAGCTTGTTGAACACTCTCTAGAGGCTTTTAATAATAGGATTGTTTAGCTGGTCTGTCTGGACTGCTTAGATATAACACTATTTAAATGACCCAATCTCATTATATTGCTAAGATTTCCATTTTTTAGGTTAACTAAGAAATTTTGGAACTAAAAATCTTGTATTTTAAGATAGTCTTTGTCAGAATTGCTTTTTGGCTTAAATGAATTCTGTAACATTTGTATTCAAAGTTGACCTTTAGTAAAGCAGGAATGGCCATATTCAAACTGGTAACCTCTCAAATCCTGCCCATCCTTTCACTTTCGGTCTCAATACATAGATGTCCTCTAACCCATTTCCTGTCTTTTGTGCAAATTTCCTAACAGAACAGTTTTGTCTGGGCTTGCCCAGCACTGGAATTCTGTGCGAGTTCATCATTTCTGTGACTGGTGCTTGAAGTGCATCAGATGATTAATTTTATGATAAAAGGGTTTTTTTGGGTGGTGAAATAGACATATATGGAAAATGGGATACCCACATTAAGCAGAGTAACTGCCTGTTTATCGTACAACCCATACAAAGCCAATACAACTGCAGATGTGCTTTCTTTAGTCTGTTGCCACCGCACACATTGCCCATGTGTTTCTCTATGCCCTTCAAAAACATCAGAGCATCCTGGAAGATCCTGTCTGTTGGAAGGTTAGGAAGAGGTCCCTTGTCACAGCTCAACTCCTAGGTAGTGTGCCTAGTGATCAAGAGCGCTGCTAGGAAAGCTTTCTGACCATGTGTGGCCATCATTGGACTGATTTGCCCAGATAACATCAATTGGGAATTTGGACATGACCTATAAAGTTGCTTGCAAGAGTCTCAGGAAAATAATTGTGGAGTTAAGAAACTTTAAGTGATTTAAAAAAAAATTATCTAATCCAACCTTCTCATTTGAAAGATTAAAAAAATAAATAGGCCAGGCATGGTGGCTCATGCCTGTAATCCCAGCACTTTGGGAGGCCAAGGTCGGTGGGTCTCTTGATGCCAGGAGTTAGAGGCCAGCATGGACAACATGGTGAAACTCTATCTCTACTAAAAATACAAAAATTAGCCAGGTGTGGTGGTGGGTACCTGTAGTTCCAGCTACTCAGGAGGCTAAGGTGGGAGGATCACTTGAACCTGGGAGGCAGAGGTTGCAGTAAGCCAAGATCATGTCACTGCACTCCAGCCTGGGTGACTGTGAGACTCTGTCAAAAGAAAGAGAGGGAGAGAGAGAGAAGAGAGGGTGGGGGGGAGGGAGGGAGAGAGGGAGAGGGAGGAAGGGAGGGAGAGAGGGAGAGAGGGAGGGAAGGAAAGGAAGGAAGGAAATAAAGAAATAAAAAAAATCCAGAGAGGATGGGTAGCTCACAAAAGCTGTACCCACCACTCTGGTTGCAGGGTCTCTGGTCACAGGCTGCTACTCTACACCCTGTGGAAGAAGCAGAGGTGAAGGGAAAGGCTGAAGAACAGCTTAGCAACTTTCGCCTCTTATTTGCCCTCAGTGGGGACATGTTTCCTGATCTTCTTGTCTTTTTGTTTATCGCTTATCTTCTGTAACACATAGTTCAGCAATGTCTACTTTTTACCCATTGTCTTTTTTATTGTGATTGTTAAAAATAGACATTTCTAAAGGATGCAAAGATTTCAAAAGGGTATACAGGAAAGTGTACTATAATGTTTCTTCCCATTCCTCACTCCCCTCTCTCTGCTGGTGATTGAAACAAACCAGTTTCTTCTGTGTCCTTCCAGAGATACTCTATGCATGGACAACAACTGACATATCTGTAAATACCCTTTAATACAATAAATTACATTAGAAATGTAATGAAAAAAATGGAAGCCAAAATAGAAGTATTCTACTTATACAGTTCTTACCTTTTTTTTTTAACCTGTACATGTCAAGGAATCTTACACAATTCTTTACTTTTGTAACGTTATTTATCTTACTTTTATGTTAGTCCAAAAAGATCTTCCTCCTTTTTTAATGACCGGACAGAATTCCACTGCATGAATGTGCCATCATTCGTTTAACAAACTCACTGCTCATAAATGGTGATGCTTGCTGTTTAGCCAAGGTTTACCAAAGCTTTATAAGGCTGGCATTTCTCCTAAGTATTTCCTTTTATGGGGAGATGAAGAATTAGGTTCTTATATGGGGGATAGAGCAGTGAAGGGGTTAAGGATTATGACCAATCAAGTAACAAAGCTAAACAGTCTGAATTCTTAGGGACAGGTTTGAGGAAGGTAACAGGAGAGGAGGCAATGCCTTGGCCACTGGGGCACTGAGAGACCACTAGACTTAGAACTTGTGGTCTGAGATCTTTTTATCTTGATAGTCTCTTGCAGGCCCTTGGTAAATGTGTGCTAGCAAGCGCAAATGAGTGAATGCCCCTGTGTTGTCAATTAAACCGGGGAGACGTGCTCCATTTAAGGTTTTCTCTATTATGGATTCTATCTGACAGCTGTTTCCTATTTTAAAAATTGACGGGAGGAGGGGAAATGCCAGCGTGCTTGTGTGGTGGGGAAACAGCCACTTTAATGACATCTGTGTATCTCTGAGCATGGGCTGGGTAGGTGTACTCATTCCTCCTGCCTTGCTGCAGTGGATACTTAGGGTCTTGGGTTCATACAGATTAAATCCAAGGCATAAGCAAGGTCCAGTGAGTTTTATACCCCCATGGTAAGAGTGTATTTAAAGGGAAGAAGTTTTTAAAAATGAAATTTGAAATGCATTCTAGTGTCTCTATATTTTTTAAGGCCCCAAACCTTCTGCTTTCATGCTGTTTTTATTTTAGCACAAAGCAAAGAAGTTTAGGAAAGGGATGCTTTGAGGTTCACTGAGGAGGTGATTCAGGTATAAGGAACATCTTTTTGAGTGCCTGCTCTATGCCAGGCCCTGTGCTAATCATAGTAATGCTTGTTAACCAATTTCGTTCTCAGCAACCTTGTGAAAAAAATATTATTCTCATTTTTCAGATGGAAAAACTAAGACTCAGGGGGTTAAATGATTTGCTCAAGGTTAGAAGAGTTGGTGAGTGGTAAGACTAGAATATTCCAACTCATGCTTTTTCATTTTAATGTAACTAAATTGTCTGTCAAGGAAGGAAGGTGCAGAAAGAAAAGTTATTATAGTAATACTTTTCAATAAATAAAGATCACTGCTGACAGTTAATAACCAATTAGGAATTATTAGGAAATGAATTAATGAGATCATAAAAATGGAAAACTGAAATTTCACAATGGCATTAAGGAAAACATCCAATATATTTTTGCTTCCCTTCCTACTTTTTGAAGAAATTCTCAGTTTTGATTATTTTAAGTATGAAAGTTGTTGGGGGTGGGCAGTGGTTAGACTGTGTTTTAGGAACCTGATTTTATTTTGGTGATACCTAGAATAAAATATTACCCTTTCTTTTGCTTCTTCATTGAGGAAAATGAAGTTTTAGGTGTTTGGTAAAGGAAGCTGGGTGTAGGGAATGGAACGAAAAAGAATTACCTATTGTTGGAACATGCCTTTAGTAAAGAAAGTGATCCATGTTGTCCAAGGAAGGAATTTGGAGGTTAGAGATGCAGTCCTTTTCCTGGCCCCCTGGTCTCCAGAAATCACTGAAAACCACCTGTTCTTCCCTTGCCTTCTTTAGCAGTCTCACCTCCTTTCTCTGTGTGTCTGTCCAACAGAACAGAAGCCTTCTAATTCACTTTCAACAATTAAAGATAAGGTCACTTAGCCCCAGCGAATCTCTCATATGGATGAGTGCTGACTTGTGGATGGGATGGGGGAGTGATAAAATAACATACATGCAGACTCTGAGATGCCTTTACATTTCCATATCTGGCTGGATGGGAAACTCCCAACTGTGGTTTCCATGCCAGTATTAGAGATGCAGTTCATACCTTGACACAGTTATGATCTTCAGGATTTAATGGAACCTGGAGAGGTAATTCCTCATACCTCTTTACCAGGTTATTTATTTTAATGGTTCATCAAGTGACAGCCAGAGTTAACTAGTGAATTGTGAACATGAATTAAAAATATGATTTCCAGAATAACAAGTGAAAACAGGAGTAAGAGGAAGGAATTTACATCCATATCCTTTTAGAATTGTGGCTGTTTTCTGAGCAGTCTGGTCTTGTTTTGAAGGTTAAGACTTCTCAGTGACTTTTCCTCTCTAGGAAACTTTTAGAGTCCCCTGGGATAACCTTCCAAAGAGAAGCTTTTGAGGCTTGCATTGTTGGCAATGGATATTTCCTGAAGGCTTTCCACCTCTGGGCCCTCAGTACTGTTCCAAGCCCACAATTAGGTATTGGTTGGGGATTAAGATATCACCCAGGGAAGAATGACAGCAGGTGAACTGGCATCTGGAGCAGATGGGAAAGGGAAGGTGACAGCAGAGTGTCTTTTTTTGCAGATGTTCTTATGGAAAAGCATAAAGGGACAGAGGGAACAGATCATGAATAAGGCAGAAGAAATGATTTAGTTTAAGATTTGATTTTGGCTTGTTTTATTTTTAATTTAGAGAGGACGGGCACACTACGGGCTTGGCTTGTAACTGCTGAGGAAAGGTCAACTCAGAGGAGAGTGAGACTGCTCATTCATTTATTCATCATGCATTTATTGAGTATCTGCTAGGCGTGGTACTAAGGGATGCAAAGAAAAATGAATGACATGGTCTCTGACCATAGGGAGAAAGCAGTCTGGAGAAAAAGACATATGAGTAACAAACCCTCCGTGACAGGGCTGTATGAGAAGTGCTGTCCTGGAGATTTGCAAGGTACACACAGGACCATCTGGGTGAACATGGGAGGGCTAGGGACTGCATCCCAGAGAAAGCAGATTTTTCTTTTGTTTATAAACAAGAGAGAGAGATCCAAGCTCTTATCTAAAAGTTCACACTGTACAGAAGAGTATAGAGTAAAAAGTAACTCATATTTGTTCACTTTTCTTTTCCTTTTTTGAGATGGGAGTCTTGCTCTGTTGCTCAGGCTGGAGTACAGCGGCATGATCTTGGCTTACCGCAAGCTCTGCCTCCCAGGTTTAAGCAATTCTCCCTCCCCAGCCTCTTGAGTAGCTGGGATTACAGGCGCATGCCACCATGCCCAGCTAATTTTTGTATTATTTTGGTAGAGATGGGGTTTCACCATGTTGGCCAGGCTGGTCTCAAACTCCTGACCTCAAGTGATCCATCTGCCTTGGCCTCCCGAAGTGCTTTGATTATAGGCCTGCGCCATTGCACCTGGCCCTATTTACCTTTTATTTTTATCACTCTTAATCCTAAGTGGTAATCCATGAAATCAAAGGTTTGATGTATAATTGTGTGTTTTGCTTAAAAACAAATTTTATACTTTAAAAGACGGAACTATTACAATTTAAAATGGTGTATCTACCTAACTACCTCCATGATCTCACATATCATCAGTAATTCATGAATCATTTTGGAATACCCAGCCATTTGACTTCTGCGTTCAGACATAGGCAGATGGCCCCTGATTTGGAGGATGAACCACTGCAGCAGCAAACAGTCAAGGTAAACTAAGGCCCCAAGAGTGGCTGTGGAGGAGAGTGGAAAAGATACTTTGTTAAGAGTCCAAAGGCCTTGGGTAGGGCCTGACACTACCACTCGCTAGCTTACAACTATCAGGAATTTATTTGATACCTCCCCTTCCTTGAGATCATCTTATCTGTAATAAGGAAATAATATCTTCCCTATGTGCCATACAGAGTTATTTGTATAAGAGTCAAATGAGAGAATATGTGCTAGAGTGCTTTAAAACCTCCTATGTTGCTGCATGTATAGAGTGTTAATACTATGAAGTTTAGTTCTGCTTCTCTCCTTCTGCTCTGTACCATGATGGATGGGGCATTTTGTTATAATAGTTAAGAGTACACACTGTATTGTCAAACTGCCTGCATTTGGGTACTGACTTCACCGCTCACTTACTGTTTGACCTTGAGCAACTTAATTAAACTCTCGAAACCTCAGTGCTCTCATGTGTAAAATAGAGATGATGATGATGATAACAGTCTAGGGTTGTTTTGTAGGTTTGATGAATTGTCTGGGGACATATGGTCTCTCACTGGGAAGACAAGGGTTGAGTGAGAACAAATCTGAAAGTGCAGCACAGCAATCGTATTTTGACTGTCAGAACAGATGGGATCACATTTCCAAAACTTCATCTTGCATTTGGGCCTGGATGTGTGTTTGCAAGTGGGGGATGGCAGCCCCTTCCACTGAGTGCTCAGAAATCACAAGCTTTCCATAAAGACTCCATGCAGAATAGAGAAGGAAGCTGTTGAGGATATGGCTCAAACAAAGATGCTCCACATGCCGGGCTTGCAGCTGAGGCAGGGACTGAGCCTGCCATTGGCACTGCTTCTGGTGTGATGGAATGCCCCCCTTCAGGGCCAGGGAAGGGCAGGATGTCAGTGGAGGTGCCAGATAGCAGGTGTGTGTCCTCACACCAAGAAGACCGGGGCTCGATGAGTTCATCCGCCCTCCCTGCTCTTCCTCAGTGAAACTGCAGGCGGGCTCTAGGAAACAGTTTCTTTACACTGGTGATCATGTAACTCCCAGGAAAAACATTGAGGAGGATATTAATCCACCATGAAAATCAACAGCTTCCCATATACTCAGGGCCTTAAAGAAATAAAAAAATGGACTGGTGGAAATTGGGTCAGAAACAAAATGACCTCTCTGAAGGGGAATTGTCCAACTAAGCATCTATGATTTTTTTCTTCTTCTGGAGTCTGATTGCTCTTTTTCCTCCTCCTCTCTTACAGAAAATGAAAGAATACCTGGAGGGCAGGAACCTCATTACCAAGTTACAAGCCAAGCATGACCTTCTGCAAAAAACCCTGGGAGAAAGTGAGTGTGGGAACCCTCTGCTGGAGGCTTGGCAGTGAGGTCAGCTGGAGCTTTCTTGCTGAGCACACGCCTCCATCCTCAGCCAAGTGGACCCGATCTTGTTATATGAATGCCTTTCTTTTCCTGGCCTGTTTGATGTGGAAGCACACGCCCCAAATGAATGCTTGAGTAATGGGGAAAGACCAGTGCTTAATGAAGCACTAACATGCATCATCTATTTGTTTAAATGGAGCCTGCCAGCTCTCTACTTAGTCTCCCTGCTTTCGCCTCCTCTGCCACAAGTAGGGTAGAGAGGCTGAGGGGTTATTTATTGTCCAGACAGTTTGTTAAAACTCCTACCTCATCTGTGGCAGCATTGAGACTGCAGCAAGAAGTTACGGAGCTGTGAGATGAGATACACAGCTGCTCTGAGAGGAGAGAATTCTCAAATGCCGGAGGGATGGACAGACTGCTGCTTTCTATAGCTTCCAGAAAGAGCATCAGTTTCCTTCTGCTTTGAAAGCTTCTAATGCTGTTTAAGTGGCAGCCCTCTCTCCTGTGGCTATGCTGAGGCCATGGTGCTGAATGGACTGTCTTGTCTCATACAATGATTTTAACCAGACCCTGGAAAGTAGCGAGGCAGAGAACTGGACTGGCACTCTGGACTTTTTCTCCTCAGCTGTCAAACAGAAGGTGGAGGTTGAAAGAGAAGCTTCCCCAGGGTTTCTTGGCACCCTGCCCAGATTTCCTGCCTAGCTCTCAGCATCCTATGATTAATGGGATTCCCAGGTTGGGGATGCCTCTGAATGTCCCACCACTCCTCCCTGCCCCACTAATCTCCTCACTTACAGAGAGGAAGGGAGAAGCTGCAGGGAATATGTGCTAACATCAGCTACAGGCAAGCCTATACTTACACAGATATCCAACATTTTAAAATAAATTCTTGAGCACTCTCTAGACAAACTGCAAAGTTTAGGAAAATGTGTAATATTCCTTGGCTCTTTGGCCCCAGGAATTGGAACCTCACTTATTATTATACCAGAGCCGCCTACCCACCTTTTTTGCCCTGTCTTTTTCATGACTTGCATGATTTCCCAGATGATTAATTTTTCTCTAATCTTTTATCTAATGACTTTCTTTTTTTTGAGTAGGAGTTTTGCTCTGTTGCCCAGACTGGAGTGTAGTGGTGCTATCTTGGCTCACTGCCAATTCCACCTCCTGGGTTGAAGCGATTCTCCCACCTCAGCCTGCTGAGTAGCTGGGATTACAGGTGTGTGTCACCATGCCCGGTTAATTTTTGTTTTGGTAGAGATGGGGTTTTGCCATGTTGGCCAGGCTGGTCTCAAACCCCTGACCTCAGGTGATCCACCTGCCTCAGCCTCCCAAAGTGTTGGGATGACATGTGTGAGCCACCACTCCTGGCCAATCTTAAGACTTTTTTTTTTTTTTGAGATGGAGTCTCACTCTGTCACCCAGGCTGGAGTGCAGTGACACAATCTCAGCTCATTGCAACCTCTGCCTCCCAGGCTCAAGCCATTCTCCTGCCTCAGCCTCCTGAGTAGCTGGGACTACAGGCATGCACCACCACACCCGGCTTATTTTGTATTTTTAGTAGAAATGGGTTTTCGCCATGTTGGCCAGGCTGGTCTCAAACTCCTGATCTTGGATGATCCACCTGCCTTGGCCTCCCAAAGTGCTGGGATTAGGGGTGTGAGCCACCGCACCCGGCCAGATCTTATGACTTTTAAGGTATTTTCTTTTATGTGACAAAAGCCTGTTAGATAGTTTCTATTTTCTCTTCCTCACCACCAAAAGGACTCAAACTAAACAAGTTTGAGCATTGAGAGCCAAACTTTGTTTATAGAAAATCTTTACTCTTGGGTTATCAGATTGCTCCAGGAGAATCAAGACAATCTAAGCACAGTCCATAAGTAAGACAGAGATCAGAGTGTTGGGTCATACAAATGCGTGCATGTACGCTCACATTTGTGTGTGTGAGTGAATGGGTTTACTCACACATTTATGTGCCAAATGTGCTACTGTGGAGGCACTAAGGTTGACCATTCATTAGCACTGCAAATTGCCATAATCTAAAGATGAAAAGTTCTAGCAATAAAGAAAAAAAATACTATAAATCTTCCTGTGTCCAAGTCATCATGTCCCTGCCTTCTGAATGTATTTGTCACCATAATGCAAGAGCCCCGTGTTCTTGCCATGGAGGGATAATTGATGTGTATGAATATTCCGGAATGGAAATGGAACAGATGTTGAAAATAATGGCTCAGAATAATATTTTTGCACGTAAGAGCTGAGCCTTTGGTAATGAGAGACAGGGGTGGCGGATGGCATTACTTAAGATTGGCTGAACCGTAAGCAACAATTAGGAACCTTTAAAGGCGAGGAAAGGCCCTGCACTCCCTCCCCCAGCCCTTGGAGTTGCCTTTGTAAGAGCTTGAATGAGGAGGAATGTGGGAGCTGATTTCTACTTCTCCAGCTCAGCACCTGCTAGGGTTTGCCCCTGGTTTAAATAATGCAGGTCTAGAACAGATCAAGCTTCATTAACTGTGGGCCCAAAGAAAGCAATACATATTTCATTAATACCCATATAGATGTATATGTATATTTGTTTAAAACATGAGAATACTTCTTATGAACTTGAAGATTTTCAGTTTCATTTTTTAAAAAGCTAGCAGTGACCCATTCAACTCTTAAGGTCTACTATTGGATTGAGAACTGTGATTTGATAGCAGTATCAATATGTCTCTCCTATCTCCCTTGCCACCTCAGTCAAACCTAACAGGAGAATTTCTTATGAATCTAAAACTAGAACATCCATGTCTTCTCTGTTCTCTCCCATAAACAACTCCTCTTACTTGTTCTCCCATGCCCCAGCTGTGTATGTGTGTGTGCATATGTGCACGTGAACATTCATATACTAGGAGCAAACAAACTTGGCTTTCCACCCCTCCACACGCACATCCAACATAAGAGAAGCTAAATTTCATCTCTGGGAGAGCTTCTAATCATTTATTCTATTAAGTATGATCTGTGTTGCTGTTGTTCCCCTACATCTATTCCTATTATCCCATTGGGAAGCAGACCCTAAAGTTTAGGGGGACCAACAACCCTGGACTGGGAATCAGCATCACAAACACTTCTTGCCCAGAAAGAGGATCTTGGTGCTTTCTCTTCTCTCTGTCTCTCCTCTCTTTTGCCACACACTGTTATACTATGGCTGTCTAGGGGAGATGGGCGTGGTAGTTACTAGGAGTGGGTCTCCCTCCTTCACTCCTTCTCCTTTAACATAATGCTTTTTGCCTTTGTCTTTCCAACAGGTCAGAGGACAGATTGCAGTCTAGCCAGGTGAGTGTGGCCCGGGACAGGCCTGGGAAGTGATGGAGGCCTAGGAAGGGGTAGAGCAATCAGTCTGGGAAAGAGCCAAGGAATGAGTGAGGGCATCAAATAACTTTGCAAAGCAACGGCTTGGGGTGGAGGTTGTTTCCTTCCCTTTGCCTTGCTGATCCCGTCTGATTTCAGATAGAAATGAGGTTTTCGGCCAGGCGTGGTGGCTCACACCTGTAATCCCAGCACTTTGGGAGGCCAAGGCGGGTGGATCACAAGGTCAGGAGATTGAGACCATCCTGGCTAACACAGTGAAACCCCATCTCTATTAAAAATTCAAAAACAAAATTAGCCATATGTGGTGGCACGTGCCTATAGTCCCAGCTGCTCGGTAGGCTGAGGCAGGAGAATCGCTTGAGCCTAGGAGGTGGAGATTGCAGTGAGCCGAGATCACACCACTGCACTACACTCCAGCCTGGGTGACAGAGCGAGACTCCATCTCAAAAAAAAAAAAAGGAAAGAAAGAAAGAAATGGGGTTTTATGGGACTTTGAGAAGGAGCTAAGCAGAACTGAGTGAAAGGAATTATCATTTGCTGAAATAGTCCCAGAGACCCCCAAAAGCCAGTGCATTGCAAGGAACATAGCATTCAACTATAGAGGATCCTGGTAACCTAACCTTAGCTGCTAAACTTCAACATACGGGCTTTGGGAAGTCTCTGACCCAGAGAAAAAAGATCAGGAGATGGCATTTGATTATTTTTATGCCCAGAAAAGAAGGCAGCCTCTAATTAGTAGTGACTGTTGCTGGATAATGCAATATTACATTGCATTGGCTTGCCAAAGAGCATTGGTAGAAATATTTGCTTGATGTACAAGTATGCACCCCTCCCAATCTTTCCCCACCTTCCCCTTCCTCCTCCACCCCAGCCAAATATTTTCCCTCTCACTCATGGTGCTGCTATGAGATTTGTGAACTGGTGGAGAGCAAAGTATTCATTCAGCCAGCAGTTCTCAGATGCCTAGAAATGTGCTGATTTAACTAGAGAAAGGGCTTTAATGGGTTAGACTCCTTAGAGACCCTGGATTAGCCCATTATATCATCCACTTATATCTCCCAACACACACAATAATCATGAGGCCATTTACAATTATAGGCTCATTATTTACAGATAGCTTCATTTGCCTTTCATTGTTTTGTCATTGTGAATTACAATAAAGATGCCGTTATTATACCAGTCTTGATGATGGGAGGGAACCAGGATAATAGGATTCTCTGGAACACATCTTTTTGGTGTTAGAGTCTTGGTGTAAGTTCACCTGAGGTCCTGACTCTGCGGAAGGCTCTGTGGGACTGAAAAGAGCTGAGTTGGATTTCCTGATGCTGAGTTATTTTGCTGTGAGACCTTGGGCCACATCTTTCCCCTCTCTGAACTCTGGTTTCCTCTTCTATAAGACCAGAGCACTTCACCACATTCAGGGAGCTCTAGGATTCCAAAGGGGTTCCCCAGGAGTGGCCTGGTGGCAGGGGCAGAGCAGTGACCAGCAGCCAGGTTCTGGTCCCATCCCTCTGGTCGCATGGAGCAACACAGCCCTGGCTTCCTTGGTTTGGGTGTTGTGCCTCTGAGTCAGATTCTCTTTGAGAAAAGTCTTCTGAGGCTAAATGCAGCTTGGAAAAACATTGACCTGGAGGATCCCTGAGGTTCTTTCCAAACTGGATATTCTACACTCTAAATCCAGAAAAATTGCCCTGTGTAAAGATAGCGATCTTTAAGGATTTCCTAGAGAAACAAAACAAAAGGAAAACTGTAGCATCCTTTGGTGTTTACCAGTGCTTCCTTGCAGACAAAAAAATACTCTTACTGTCTAACCCAAATATATTTTACTACAAACTGAACCAGTTCTCTCCTATTCTAATTCTGAGTAGTGGTAGACATCAAATGCCAGGGACGTCTGTACTTTTGTGGGGGAAAAAAGCTTTATTGTGGAAATAATGTATCAAGTCTCTTAGCCATTTCTGGGACTGAACTGAATAATGTCACATGTTTCATTAGCCACCACACAGATTGTTTTTAATTATCGAAAACTTTACTTTTGGGTTTAAAAGTGGTTGTTTATCTCAGTTGTCCCAATTTTCTCTTTTTCTTCCTCGTTACTGGATTGGTCCACTCTGATTCGGCGGGATTGGTCACAGGCGCAGCTCAACTGTGAGGAAACAGGTAAGAGCCCAACCAGGACCAGGCTGGTCTGGCCTGAAAAGATAATGCATCCCACAGGCATTTATTGAGCACCACTGTGTGCAGGACAGACACTCTGACTTCATGCCTGCATTTGGAATGTATCATTTAGTCAGTATATTTCATACCGTGGCAGCATCATTGATTTAACTCGTAGTTGAAGTGGCCGTAGTCTTGTTCCTCTCTTTTCTGGTCATTTATCCTCTTGCATACTAAGGGTTTGGTTTGATTGGTGCAGATTATTCCAGAACTGCCCATGGCATCCTTTTCTGAGACCGCAAAAGAGGCTTGACACTTCCTACATATGTGCTAACATATCAGTAACTCAGCACCTAATTACCTAGACCAGACAATCTCGCTTTAAGTTGGCAGATTTTGTTTGATTGTTTTTGGTGGTGTAGTCATTCTAGATGGATTCCTAAGATATGCTAACAATGCAAAGATTAAATCCAGTCTAGGAATGATAGGCAAGAGCTGTTCAACTCTGCAATTTGGTACATGATCTTCAGTGTTGTATTAAAATCTGCCACTGGGCAGCCAGCTCTCTTTACCCATATTAGGAAGGATCTTAGAGGGTGGTGGCATGGATAATCCACATCGATGGATAATCTAAACAGCACTTGTGCTTGTTCAAAAAACATTAATTGAAGTATTTTTTGCAGTAGCAAATTTGACTTCCTAATTATACTTTATGGCGAACACTGAAATGATTTTATGTCCCCTAAGCTCATACCAGCTATGCAGTAGACAGCAAGGAGGGCAGGTGGAGAGAGCTCAGAAATATCTTTGTGTCTGCTCAGGGGAAAGCTAATCCAGGCTTTAAAAAAATCATTTTGGGTAATTCTCAGTGGCTCTAGCGACAGGGAGATAATCGAATAAAGAGGGCACATGGTTTCTGTGGTATCGGCAGCCCCAGCGTTTCTTCAGCTCATCTCACTGCTCTGATGGGGTGGACTATTAAGCTGGGGAACTTGGATGATACAGGCCTCACTTTTCTTAGCTTTGCTGTCATTATTTTCCCCTTCTCTACTTTGGATCTTATCTTAATGCAAATGCCATCAGATGCAATTATACATTTTTTAAATTATAAAAATTTAGTTGCAACTCTCCTTCCTCTTGTTTCTCTCTTTCTTTTTCCTCTTTCTCCCATAATTTCATTTAAAACTAGAGAGGAATGGAGTGACTTCTAGGGATAATTTATTGCATTTAAAATTAATAGGTGCATATCTTGTAGAGGGAGCAAGCCATTTTCCCTTTAACACTAAGAAAAGAAATGAAAGATGCCAGGTTCTTTTCAGTTCCTAGGCTGAAACTAGACATCTTGCTTATCAATGGAGCATGTGTGCAAGGGCTTTGCAGCCTCCACTGTGGCTGCAGGAGTGCCAGAGACCACAGTTTGGCAGGTGATATGTGTCCTTGGTTAGGCTCACCATTGGAAGAGAACAGCACCCATCTGGTTTGCATCCTGCTGCCCCTAAGCAGTTTTAGGCAAAGTGTGTTTGCCTGGTGCTAGATTTGCATAGCAGTTACAGGATACGCCAAAATCCCCAATCAAATAAAGACTTTGTTTTCATTCTGTTGCCCCAGTTTCTCTCTAGCAGTTCGAATCACTAGTGGATCAGCAAAAAGTTTTCCTAAAATGGTCAGGAAGGTAAAATAGTAAGTTACTTAGATGATGAGTCATCTCGTATAAGTAAGCAGGAGATAATTGTTTGTGTGTTTGTTTGTTTATGGCAAATCAGGCAAACAAGAGGAAGAAGCTAGTAACTTTTGTTTTTGAGGGTCCCTAATGGGTTCCAGTCATTTTTGACCCTGTCAAAGAATAGGTTTAAACCGTTCCAGATCTTTTTTAAGAAGAAGACACTTCTACTGCTGCTTCCAGACCTTCCCTGCTCCCTGTAAGCTCAGCATTATTTCTCTCCTGGCTGTGACTTCATATCTTCTTTGTTGGCCTTTCTTTCTCCATTTCTCTAAATTTAGGCATTTCTCCAGGGCTCTGTCCTTTCATGATGTCTCTCTGTATTCTTTCCCTTGTCACTCTTGTTCCCTTAGATGAATCTTTCTCTTCTCCCCTAAGCATTCTTTTGTTCTATAATGCTGTCCTTTTGAGTCTTTGGGTATAACTCCTCAGTGATCGACTAGACATTTATGCTTGAAAGTTGTGAAAGCACCTTCTGCCTTCAGCATCGGTCTCACCTTCCCGCATCACATTTCGATTTGCATAGACCCTCCCCTCATGTCTCGATTAAAGTTCAGGGGGACTCCATTTGTCATAGTCTCTGAGGCTCCAAATCTTATTTTTGATGCTTTTTTTTCTCGTTACTCACATATAATTTGTCAGGATTTGTATTTTCTTCATTGGTGAAAATGAAAATTGACAAATGTACAAATTAGTACCTAACAAAAACTCTAACCTTCTTACTCATGTGAAATTATGTCAGATAATGCATATTCAGACATTTTCTGGCCACCTTTCTGATTTTCTTTTTCTTTTTTTTTTGAGACAGGGTCTGGCTCTGTCACCCAGGCTGGAGTGCAGTAGCACAGTCTTGGCTCACTGCAGCCTCCACCTCCTGGGCTCAAGCAATCCACCCACCACAGCCTCCTGAATAGCTGGGACTACAGGTGTACACCACCATGCCTGGCTAATTTTAGTTTTTGTTTTTGTTTTTTTAAGAGAGACCAAGTTTCACCATGTTGCCCAGGCTGGTCTCAAATTCCTGAGCTCAAATGATCCACCCTCCCTCAGCCTCCCAAAGGGCTAGGATTACAGGCCCAAGCCACCTCGCTGGCCCTTTTTGATTGCTTTCTCCTGCAAATCACTGGACCACTGCTTTATTCTGTTTTCTAGCTTAGGCCCTACCTTTCTCCCTCCACTTTTGATTTAAAATTCCCTTTATCTGATTGGGTGAGAATTTGGCCTGATTCCTTGAAGGCCCCTTTTAAACCTGAGATTTCATGACCAAAAAAAACAAAGTGTGTAAAGGAATTAAACTGACAAGAATTTAAGAGAAGGTAAAAAGGAAGAGACATAGTGCATAAAAATGTAGAAACTGCTCCGTCTGGGCTCATGCCTGTAATCCCAGCACTTTGGGAGGCCAAGGCGGGCGGATCACCTGAGGTCAGGAGTTCGAGACCAGCCTGGTCAACATGGTAAAACTCAGTTTCTACTAAAAATACAAAAATTAGCCAGCCGTGGTGGTGGACACCTATAATCCCAGCTACTCGGGAGGCCAAGGCAAGAGAATCACTTGAACCTGCGAGGTGGAGATTGCAGTAAGCAGAGATCATGCCGTTGTACTGCAGCCTCGGCTACAAGAGTGAGACTCCATCTCTAAATAAACAAACAAACAAACCAAACTCCATCAGGTCTATGCAAGGACAATGGTGAAGTGCAGGTTTTCTTGGCACCACAGGAGCTCACAGGCAAATCCTGGGGAAATGAATTTACTCATTGCTCAGAAACATTACAAGGGGAGAGGAGGATGGCAGGAGCATTCAAAGCCTTTGTTTGTGACTTTGTCCATTTTGTGCCTCTACTGGACTCTTAGACTCCACTGGAGCAATGGGGACTAGAAAGGTGCTTGTGCAGTAGGACAGGTCATCTCTAGCCTACCCTCGTCTGCCACAGGTTATCCAATGGGGGCTGCCTGTGAGTGCTGCTGGTAACCACGGACGTGCAGGTTAATATTTTTGATGCCCTGCTTCCTTCCAACCCTTCGTACTTACCTTTAACTACCACTGACATTCCATTTTCTACACATGAAGGCCAAATTTTATACTCACATAATTTGTTGAAGCCAGTAGCCTGTAAGCTTTCCAACTTTCCTCGCTCTAGGTCATACATAAATCTAGGATCAACAAAACTATGCAGACACTCATATCCCTGTCTTTATTATTACTGCTGCTACTGTTTTTAATAATTTTTATTAATGCACAATAATTGTATGTATTTATGGGGTACGTACACTATTTTGATACATGCATGTAATTTGTAATAATCAAATCAAGGAAATTAGGGTATCTATCACCTCACATTTATCGTGTGTGTGTGTGTGTGTGTGTGTGTGTGTGTGTGTGTATTGGGAACACTCCACATCTTCTCTTCTAGCTATTTTGAAATATCCGATAAATTATTGTTAACTGTTGTCACCCTGCTGTGCTATCAAACATTAGAACTTGCTTCACCTATCTAACTGTACTTTTATACCCATTAACCAACCTCACTTTTTTTTTTTTGAGGCCGAGTTTTGCTTTATCACTAGGCCAGGCTGGAGTACAGTGGAGCTATTTTGGCTAACTGCAATCTCCACCTCCCCAGTTCAAGCGATTCTCTCTGCCTCAGCCTCCCATGTAGCTGGGATTACAGGCAGGTACCACCATATCTGGCTACTTTTTGTATTTTTAGTAGAGATGGAGTTTCATCATATTGGCCAGGATGGTGTTGAACTCTTGACCTCAGGTGATCTGTCAGCCTTGGCCTCCCAAAGTGCTGGGATTATGGGCATGAACCATTGCACCATGCCCAAACTCAACCTTTTTTTTAATTTTTGAGACAGAGTTTCACTTTTGTTGCCCAGGCTGGAGTGCAATGGTGCAATCTTGGCTCACTGAAACCTCTGCCTCTCAGGTTCAAGCAATTCTCCTTCCTCAGCCCCTTGAGTAGCTGAGATTACAGGCACCTGCCACCATGCCCAGCTAATTTTGTATTTTTCATAGAGATGGGGTTTCACCACATTGGCCAGGATGGCCTCGAACTCCTAACTTCACGCCATCCACCCGCATCGGCCTCCCAAATTCCTGAGATACGGGCATGAGCCACCTCACCTGGCCCAACCTCACTTCTTCACCCCTCCATTCCCTGCTATCCTTCCCAGCCTCTGGAAACATCATTCTACTCTCTGCCTTCATGTGATCAACTTTTTTAGCTTATGCATACAAGTGAGATTATGCAGTATTTATCTTTCTGTGCCTGGCTTTTTTTACTTAACACTATGTCCTCCAGTTTCATCTATGTTGCTGCAAGTGACAGAATTTTATTCTTTTTCATGGCTGAATAGTATTCCATTGTGTGTGTATACTAAGGTTTACCCATTCATCTATTGATGGACACTTAAGTTGCTTCCATATCTTGGCTATTATGAATAATGCAGCAATAAATGTGAGAGTGCAGTTATACTGATACTTCAATATACTGATTTATTTTCTTTTGGATATATATTCAGCAGTGGGCCTGCTGGATCATATGGTAGATCTATTTTTAGTTTCTCAAGGAGCTTCCATACTGTTTTCTGGGATGGCTGTACTAATTTATATTCCTGCCAGCAGTGTACAAGCATTCCCCTTTCTCTGCATCCTTGCCAGTGTTTACTTTTTTGTCTTTTTAATAATTGCCATTTTTTAATTGGAGTAAGATTATATCTCACTGTGTTTTTTAAAAGTTTACATTTCTCATGATTAGTGACATTGAACATTTTTCTACATACCTGGTGGCCATTTGTGTGTCTTTTGAGAATGCCTATTCAGATCATTTGCCCATTTTTTTAATTAGATAGGTTTTTTGGTTTTTTTTTTTTTTTTTTTTTTTGCTATTGAGTTGTTTGAGTTCCTTATATATTCTGGTTATTAATCCCTTATCAGATGGATAGTTTGCACATACTTTCCCCCATTCTTAAGGTTGTCTCTTCACTCTGTTGATCGTTTCCTTTGCTGTGCAAAAGCTTTGTAGCTTGAGATAATCCTATTCGTCTATTTTTACTTTTGTTGCCTATGCTTTTGAAGTCTTACTCAAAAAAATCTTTGCCCCAACCAGTCTTCTTGAAGCATTGCCCAGTGGGTTTTTTCAGTTGTTTCATGGTTCAGGTCTTACATTTAAGTCTTTAATCCATTTTGATTTGTTTATCTATATAGTGAGAGATAAGGCTCTAGTTTTGTTCTTCTGCTGCCATTATTTATAAATGAGAAATATAATAACAAGTCTGTAAACATAAAAAGACTTCTCCCAAATTGAGCTTTTTTGGCATTTTTATAGTGGAACCCAGTTTCTTCCTTAGAGTAAGGAAGACAAAGATTCTTCCCCTGAGATCACCCTAGCCTAATTGGCCAGTCAATGATGCCAACAAGAGGGCAGACACTGGCTGCTATAGCTGGAAAGCTGGAGAAGGCAGATGGGTTTAGGGGTCATGAAGATGAGCATTTGGGTCGCTGAGACCATCCCGACACCAACTCCCCTTTGGCTTCATCCCTGGTTCCCAGAAAGCTTGAGAGCTAGAGGCTAAGCCAGTTCTTCTCTCAGCCTGACTTCTTTGTGAGGCCCAGCTGCTTGCCTAATAGTGGCCAAACCCTATGGCTGCAGTGGCAAATTCAGAGCCAGGGTAGGGATCCACGCAAACCTGTCAAACAGGCAGAAGCCACACGGACTCATCCCACTTGAGAGTCCAATCTCTGTCCTAACGTCTAAAGCCCTTTCTAGTTAAGTTTGGGCCCCTCTTGCTGATCTTTCTTCCACACAGCTGAATAATTGTAGATTCTGCTGCATTATAAAACCCTGCTGGTTTAGACCAGGCACGATGGTTCATCCCAGTACTTTGGGAGCCCAAAGCAGGAGGATTGCTTGAGGCTGAGTTTGAGACCAGCCTGGGCAACATAGTGAGATTCCATCTCTATGAAAAAATTAAAGATGTGCTGCGTGTGATGTGGGTACCTGTAGTTCCAGCTACACAGGGGGCTGAGGCAGGAGTATCACTTGAGATTAGTTGCTCAAGATTAAATTGAGTTATGGTCTCACCACTGTACTCCAGCCTAGGCTACAGAGGGAAACGCTGTCTCTAAAAACAATACATTAATTTAAAATATAAAATAAAACCCTACTAGTTTTGTGTAATATTTGGTATGCACACCTGGCAACATTTGCTGAACTCCTAGGGTGCAGTATGGGTAGTGGTAAAGTGTTAGGTCTTCGAGGGAGATTGCCTGGGTTTGAATCCTGGGTTTACCACCTGCCAGCTATGTGACCATAGCAGCTACTTAACCTCACTAAGCTTTCATTTCTTCACTTTTCTTTTCTTTTTCTCTTTTGAGACAGGGCCTCACTCCACCACCCAGGCTGGAGTACAGTGGCTTGATCTTGGCTCACTGCAACCTCTGGCCCCTGGGCTCAAGCAGTCCTCCCACTTCAACCTCCTAAGTAGCTAGGACCACAGGCGTGTAACACCATGCCAGGCTATTTTTAGTAGAACCAGGGTCTCGCCATGTTGCCCAGGCTGTTCTCACACTCCTGATCTCAAGCAATCTGCCAGCCTCAGCCTCCCAAAGTGTGGGAATTACAGATGTGAGCCACCACACCTGGCTTCACTTTTTCATTTTTCAAATGAGCATAATAATAATAATACCTACTCCATAGGATTGTTACCAGCATTGGTCCATCTAAAGGAGTTAGTACGTGGTCCCACACCTCTTTAAATTTCTCTACAAATGGTAGGCACTAATGTTCATGTTCTAATAGGAAATATTACTCTCTTTGCCTCCAGTCCCCTCCTCAGTCTGTAGAAGGCAAATTGAGTCCCAAAAAAGTTCAGTGTCATGAGCCAGATTTTGAAGCAAAACAACAGAGCAACAATTGACATCTGGGAGGTCTGCTTCTTTGCTTAGTACCTATCAGTCCCCGCTATTTAGTTTTCCTTTTCTTTCTTACCTTTATAACAAACAAACCCTCTTTCTGAAGCCTCTGTTAGTTCATCCTGCTACCTTCAACTGAAAATAATTGAGCACCTCCTATATGAGAGCATCATGGCCAACCCTGGACACCCAGGAATTGACACAGGATCTCTGCCCTTATGGAGCTTGAGCTGTAGTGGTGACAAGTGCCAACAGATATTTACATCCACACATTGAAGTCACAATCAGGATTGAGGAGAATATGCCCTCAGCAGGAGCAGCTCATGCAGAGCCACGAGGGAAAGGAGGACTTTGCAGAACAGAAAGGTGGCCAGCATGGCTGTAGCAGAAGCTAGGGGAGAGGACAGACAGTGGAACTGGAGGCAAAGGCAGGATCTCGACATGCAAGGCTGTATAAAAGAGAGCAATGAGAGGTCTTTGAAAGAGTTTAGATAATGAAATGTACACTTTTAAAGATTACCTAATCATTATGTGAAGGAAGAGAAATGTGGCTCAGAAGATGGCAAGGATGGGAATTGAGGTACTGGTAGATTGAACTGGGTTGGTGGCAGTTGAGATAGAGAGAAGTGAATGGATTTGAGAGATATTTAGAAGCCAGACGTGACAGAATGCATTGATTGATTAGGTGGTGGGGAAGGCGGTGAGAAACTGGTTTGGGATAAAAGATTATCGATTTTATTTAGGACATGCGGACTTCAAGGCATCTGGGTAGCATTCCATGTAGATGGTTGTATTTTTGTGCTCTGGAACTTGGAGGACAGGCCAGGTGCTTCTTTGTAGACTGACCACTGATCCACTGAGACAGTTCTGCACAGTTTGGCCCATCTTCTCTGACCCTGGGCTATACCTATTCAAGGATTCTAATGTTGTTTCCCTTTGGCTTTTCAGGACTCCAGCCAGGCAATTCCTCTGGTGGTGGAAAGCTGTATCCGGTTTATCAGCAGACACGGTAAGCAGGATGACAGCCTTGTCCATATTTGTGCAAAGATTAGAAAGAACTTCCAGGAATTCTTTATAAAGTAAGAATAGAGATTAACTTTCCATCCTGACATTTCCAGAAAGGAATAAATTCTTATTTGTCCATATAATGTTTGATACCTCAGGATAGCCACACCTAGACATTGAAAGAAAGGCATCACATATTTTGCCCCAAAATGCCTCAGCCACTTATCACACAGCATTTATTTAGCCTGAGAGTCAGTTTTAAATTACAGCTGTTATATAAATACAGCTGCTCTTACATGGTAACAGACCGTTACTCAGTCTTGGCAAGTATGAGTTATCTCCCATTGTACAGCCTGACCATTCTGTCACTTTCTATACGAGACTGGCTGGAAAACAACTTCTTTCCCAATGTTGCAGTGATTCCTTATAATCAGTTTTTGTTCTGGTTTGGTCTCACTGGATACAGTGTGGCCAAGAGCTCAGTTAGTAGCTGGTCTTAAAGTTGTATCCAGCTTTTGAGAATCTGCAAAGGCAGGTTCCTTCTTGACCTAAGTGAAATCTTATTCTCTTCTACTTGGATGAAGGTGAATCTTATAAACGCCATTCCTCACCAGTTACTGGGCTCATTGGACAGAATTTAACAATGGAAATAATTGCCAGAGAATTGATTTCCCAAGGATTAGAGTGTTTAGAAAGGACAGAACTAGTGTTATGAAAATTTCTAGGAACTGGGCATCAGAAATTGTTTTTAGATGCTATCCTTTCTGGATAGTAAAAAGGGCAGTGTGACCTTTCTGGAGCTAAGAAACTATATAAATCTTGTCTAAATTCAGAGGAAGCTATTCTCTCTCCCTCCCCTTGCCTTTTTTTCTCCCTGTAAACTGGGACATTGCTCAGGTTCATTTTTGGAATAGTAATTATTATAGCATGGTTACAATTTATTTCATTCTAATCAGCTATAATTTTTAATCTTATCCTCATTCATTTAAAGTAACAGCATTGTATATCAGTATTGAACAATCAACAAATTTATCAAGTCCCTGATCAATGCTGGACACCATGCATTGCCAAGTAGGAAAACAGAAACAGGACTAATATACTTTCCCTGTCTGTAAGTGGTTTTATGATACAGTTGGGAGAAAATAAGTAAGCAAGTGATAAGTTAAATAAAAAGAGATAAGCTGTGTAATTTAGAAGAGGAGTATAAGAAATTTCACAAGATAGTAATGATTAATAGTCAAGCAATTTGCAAAGATAAGTCCAAATTGAGTTCAGGGGAGGACAAATTATTTGTGCCTAAGAGACAATAGGAAGAAGCAAGTCTGAGCCACTGTTCATTCAGCATACATTTCATTCATTCAGCAAATACATATTGACTGCTTATTATATGCCAACAAAAAGTTTCTGGCTTCCTGACTCTCACATTCCACTGAAAGGTGGATAAGCAGATGACCAGTTGATCAGCCAGTAAATGCAATATGTCAGGTATTGTTGAATGTCATTAAGAAAAGTAAAGCAAGGTGAGGGGATGGAAAAGGGAGAGGGGACACTGTTTGAAGCTGGTTCAGGGAAAACAATTCTCCTAAGGTGGTGTTAGGACAGAGTTGTGAGGGAGTAAGCCTTGTGGATATTTGGGGAAGAGTATCTTGGGGAGAGGGAACAAGTGCAGAGACCCTTGCCATATGCAGGAAGCCAGCATAGCTGGAGCAGAGCAAGTGAAGAAGAAAGTGACAGGAGATGAGGCCAGAAGCCAGACACTTAGGGCCTCATGTGCTAGGATTGGATTGGATTCTGAGGGACAGGGGAAGCCACTGGAGAATTCTGAACAGGGAGTCATCTTTTTAAAGGATCCCTGGCTGCTCTATGGAGATAAGACTGCAAGAAGGAGACAGGAAGCTACTGCAGTAACCCAAGGAGGACATGCTGGTGGCCTAGACCAGGGTTTTAGCTGTGGTATTTGCTGAAAAGTGGACAAGTTCCAGATACTGTGGCTGAATGTACCTGTTTCTGCCCCTTACAGGCACAGTGCATGGGGAGACAAAAATGTAGAACATTATTGTGGTGAGGGTCTGGGGAAACAGGCACACTTTTATGTTGCTGATGGGAGCACAAACTGATTCCCTTCTTTTGGAAGGGAATTTGGCAGTATCTGCCAAAACTTTATGTGCATTTAACTTCCAATCTAGCAGATTCTAGGAATTTGCCATGAAGTTATATCTCCAACAGTACAAAAATGCATATGCACAAGGTTATTTATGGCAGCATTTTTTGTAATTGCAAAATATTAGAAACAACTTAAATGCCCATACTTAGAGGAGTGATTGAAAAAACTATGGTACATTCATTCAGTGGATGCAAGAATGGGAAAGATTTCCGTGAACTGATGTGGAGAGATCCCCAGGATATGTTAAGTGAAAAAAACAAAATATGAAAGAGTCTCCATCATGTAACCTACTACAGATGCTCCTTGACCTCTGCTGGGGTTGCATACAGATAAACCCATATTAAGTTGAAAATATAGTCAATACACCTAACCTAGGGAGTATCATAGCTTGGCCTAGCCTGCCTTGAATGTGCTCAGAACACTTGCACTGGCCTACAGTTAGGCAAAATTATCAGGCACACAATACACTATAGAGGGTTGTTTACCCTGGTAATCACATGGCTGACTGGGAGCCGTGGCTCTCTGTTGCTGCCCAGCATCACAAGAGAATATTGTACTACATTTTGCTAGCCTAAGAGAAGATCAAAATTGGAAGCATTTCTCCTGAATGCATATTACTTTTGCATCATCATAAAATCAAACAATCCTAAGTCAGACCATTCTAAGTCAGGGACTATATAGATAGTCTTTTGCATTTTATTACCTTTCATGTAAGAGAGAAGAATATATATGAATATCCATGTATCTTCTCATTTCTGCAAAAAGAAATGCAGGAAGGATTAATCTAGGAACTAAGGTTTAACTGGTTACCTATAAGGGATGGATGGAAAAGAGGTGAAAAGAATGGGGCAATGGGAAATGGTAAGGAGTGGCATTTCTCTTGGCATATCTTAGTATAGTTTTGACTTTTAGAACAACATTAGTATTTCCCATACTCAAAAGATAAACAAGCAGGCCAGGTGCAGTGGCTCACACCTATAATCCTAGCACTTTCAGAGGCTGAGGTGGGCAGATCACTTGAGGCCAGGAGTTCTAGACCAGCCTGGCCAACATGGCGAAACCCTGTCTCTACTAAAAATGCAAAAAACTTAGCTAGGCGTGGTGCTGGGCACCTATAATCGCAGCTACTTGGGAGGCTGAGGCACTAGAATCACTCAAACCCAGGAGGTAGAGGTTGTGGTGAGATCATACCATTGCACTCCAGCCTTGGCGACATGTGACACCCTGTCTCAAATAAATAAAGAAAGGCAGGGTGAGGGTACAACCCAAAGTGGAATGCAAACAGTAGTAAATAAGCCTAACTGTATTACAAATGAATAACATAACCACAATGAAGAGAATGAAGAAGAAAATAACCTAAGAAATTTGCCTTGATATATAATATGAATCTGAAGGTAAAAAGATTTCTAAACAAATATTTTACAGTAATTAGTAATTTTTAATTACGTAGATATGGATTAGCAATTCTAAAAGTATTTTAATATATATTCTAGGATTAAGCAAATAAGTATATTGTGGATTTTTTTTGTTTTGTTTTTTGAGACGGAGTCTCACTCCATCACCAGGTGCCAGGCTGAGTGCAGTGGCGTGACCTTGGCTCACTGCAACCTTCACCTCCCGGGTTCAAGCAATTCTCCTGCCTCCGCCTCCCGAGTAGCTGGGACCACACCACACGTGTGCCACCACACCCAGCTAATTTTTTTGTATTTTTAGTAGAGATGGGGTTTCACCATGTTGGCCCGGATGGTCTTGATCTCTTTACCTCGTGATCCACCCACCTCAACCTCCCAAAGTACTGGGATTACAGGCGTGAGCCACCGTGCCCGGCCTACTGTGGATTTTTTTTTTTTTAATTTAGCACATAGTAGCTGTTTTAAAAACATCTGTCCCACTAAATTGATTTTTCCCAAATAGGGGCTTAAGGTCCTCATAAACTCCCTAAAAAACCATGGTAAAAATTTTTGTGTATATGCGTTTAATGAGAATAGAGCTTATAACTTGTGTCAGCCTTGAAAGAGTCTGTGGCCCACTGAATGCTGGGGATTTTCACATCCTAACAATCCTCAATTTCCTTGAGAGGTAGACATTATAGTCCCCATTATATAGATGAGAAAGCTCAGTGGTAGGTGAGGGTGATCCAGGAGGGCTTAAAGGAAGAGAAGGGATTTGAGGAACAATTGAAACTGAAACATGATGGAAAAAGCAAACCACCATTTTCATGAGGAAAGGAGCACCAAAACATGAACATGAGATGACTGCTGTAGAAATCATTTCAAGAATTCTCCAGGAGAACAGCTTTTGGCAATGGCTGGATCTAGTGCATAATGGAAGTTTTTGTGCCATTTCCAAATAACTTCTCCAAGCCCGATGAGTTTTATACTTTCATCTTAGTGTGAACTAAGAAAAAATTTGAAAGATCATGGATGTGTCACTTTGGTTATGCAAGGATTCACCTGCATTATAATAAAAAGCCAACTGGTTTTTCCCTTTACTTTCTGGAAACCAGCCACTTATTAATGTTTCTGCTTCCAGAATCTAGAGGTTCTGTCTGTTGAGCAAGAACATATGGTAGTCCCTCCAAAGCTTAAGTTCTCAAGAGGAAGCAGAGACCAGACCCAAAGAGAGCTCCGTGTGTTCCAGGCCTGCTGCCTGATTTCCAGTGAGCTCTCCTCTCATTTCTTCTTGTCCTGGACTCCCAGGCCAAGGCTGCTTTTCCCTGGTGTTCTAACCTACCAAAAAGTATCAAGATGGTGACTCTCTTTCAGGAATTTGTGCAGTGGCTTCACCAACCAGAACATAGTGAGTAGCCTGGTTTCTGAGATGGCATTTGCTTATACCATGTTGTGACATGTGGCTATTTCTCTCAGAGCACTTGTTGTTTACATATTATATTTAAACAACATTATCTGGCTCTTACAGCCCATTTGTAACTAATATTGTAGTCGTATTACACTGGTACTAATGAGATTTTAATGTTGCCTGCCACTCTGTGAGGAATATTCTGGAGATTCCCTTACAGGAGCAGACAACTTAAGACATATTACAAGCCAGGTAACTACACTTCCTCTGCTTACTTCTTAATGTTGTTTCAATTGGATTCAAAATTTCAGTCCCAGCCTACATGGTTTACCTCCAAAGATCTAACTGATAGAATTCATCTGCCCCGTCACTGAGAGACCCTCAAACAGTGGGCAAAATGTAGCATTAGTCTATTTTGTTTTCCTAAAATAAATTTGAGATTTCTCTAGCATGTCAAGGTTTTTGAAAGATTGTGCTATAACAGAGGGATTTTGACAAAATACCTAAGATTGAAACCCAGGGATCCTGAGAAAAACTGAGTGGTCTGATGCAATCAGAGATGCTAATTCAGTCCAACCCCTGGGGCTGGCACTGATGATGTGCTTCCTGCATTTCTGACCAGTTTTGCAGTTGTGTGTGTGGTGCTGTCTGTAAGCCATGTCCATGCTCAGACTGACCAGTGTGGTTCCCAAACTCTGCAGTTTCACTCCACTAGGCTCCACAAGCCTGATGTTGAGGACTGAGTATGATTGCAGCCCCAAGGCCTGGGTTTGAGTCCTGGCCCTGGTTCTTACTTCCTGTACAACTTAAGGCTGGTCAACACTCATCAATCCCCTCATCCAGAAAATGAGATTGTTGCTAACCTTTACCTTGTTGTGACATCATTACTTGTGAGGACCAAGTAATTTATTTCTATGACAGCATTGATTAGCAGCAGTCACTATGCCAGCATTTTTTTCATGATTTTTTTCTACTCTAACAAAACTAAGAAGTTTTTGTGCACATTATCATAGTGTAACATTCACGCATGTTTGTCTTTAGACTAAAGCTGTGGTCAGGAACCAGTGCCTAGCGCAGTCTGGCAATACTATCTGTTGACTGATCATTTATAGCAAACTGTTCAACCCGTGAGCCATGGGCCATGGGCCGCAACACACATTCATAAACTTTCTTATAATATTACGGGTGTGTGTGTGTGTGTGTGTGTGTGTGTTTTAGCTCATCAGCTATCGTTAGTGTTAGAGTATTTTATGTGTGGTCCAAGATAGTTCTTCCAATGTGGTCCAGGGAAGCCGAAAGATTGGACGGACGCTCCTAACTTAGTTTCATGTCCTTTCTTTTTCGTAAGTATTGAAAGCATTGTCCCTTTGAACAATCAAACCATGTTAGAACAGCTAAAGCAATATTATAATCTCAGACCTTATGAAACTCCTCTGATGAGAACTAACGCCTTGACCCATTTCCCATTCTTTTTTTTTCTTTGAGATAGGGTCCACTCTTTTACCCAGGCTGGAGGGCAGTGGTGTGATCATAGCTCACTGTAGCCTGTGACTGCCCAGTTCAAGTGAACCTCCTGCTTTAGCCTCCTGAGTAGCTGGGACTATGGGCATGCTACAAGCACTGTGCCTGACTACTTTAAAACACTTTGTAGAGACGGGGGTCTCATTATGTTGCCCAGACTAGTCTCAAACTCCTGGCCTCAAGCAGTCCTCCTGCCTCAGTTTCCTGAGTACATTTTTCTGTTCTTGACCCTAGATGATTTTTAAAAAGTACCAATGGGTCACTTCCTTGCTTTACAGATGAGAGCAGAGAGGCAAAGACAAGGGAAGGAACCTGCCTCATAGTTGCCCTTGGAGTCAAAGGAATCTCTAACTTGGTGCTTTCTAATGAAAATGAATGCCTCAAGATTATTCCAGTGACTTTTCCAATATCCTTGTACATGTTTTTCTCCTTTGGCCTGAAGAAGAGAGACAGTGTGCTTACATACATACTGGCTGCAGGAGATAGGCATTCAACTAAGCTTGGCACTATGCTTGTGAATTTGCTTTTTCTTCTTGATCACTTTTCTGTGCGTTTCCAGGACTACAGCATGAAGGAATTTTTCGGGTGTCCGGATCCCAGGTAGAAGTGAATGACATCAAAAATGCCTTTGAGAGAGGTAAGGAAACAGTCTTGAAGATAAAACCAAATATTTGCCAGCCCCCTGGGGTATTGGCTCCACCTTTTCTTCCCTAAGAGGTCCCCAGAAGTCAGGAAGCCAGCTTGCCTGTCTCTTCAGGGGGCACCTGCTTTCTTGTACACATTCACCCCATGGATATGCAGGGAAATACCAGGGTACGTCCCAGTTTCCTTCTTCCTTTGTGGCCCTACCCATCCTGCCTCTCTCATGCGGATGATCTGCCAAAACCAAGAAGTTAACTGTGATATCTGGGCGGTTTATGGCTTCATCCGGAACCCTTGGTGGCAGTTAATATCAAGGCTAATGCGCTTGTTCATTGTAGCCCATTTATTATCTTGTGGGCTATTAAGGTAATGGACAAGCGTTGGCAATTTCCGTCACTGTAATGGATATATATAGTTTCAATTTGAGGCTGGTCCTATGATTAAATCTAATTACATCTGATAGGAAATTTTCCATAGGGAGCTCCATCATGATTGTTCTGTACGTAGGTGTTCTTGGTCGCAGTCCAGGAGACCTAAGAGCCCGTCTCAGGAGCTGGCCTCCTTGACCTCATTTTTCTCCCCCCAGGGGCTTAGTCCCAGCCTGGTATTACGATTCTTGTGAGAGATAGTTGCTGTGTCCCATCCACAGCTGATAGGGAATGTCCCTGAGCTAGGCTGGCACAAGAGTTTATATTGATGGGCTCATCTCCTGTCCTTTGGTCCTGGAGCCTCTGAAATGGAGCAGTCTTTGCTTTACCTGTTCCCTGATCTGTCCCACTCATGGCCACCATGCTGGGCAGAGAGCTGATGGACTGGGACCAGGACATAAATGGTTCACCCCTTCCCCACCACCTCTGTTTGTCCTGTGTGTTTTTGCCTCCCTCACTCTTTCCTTTTTGCTGGGCTTGCTTATCCTCAGGAGAGGACCCCCTGGCTGGGGACCAGAATGACCATGACATGGATTCCATAGCTGGCGTCCTGAAGCTTTACTTCCGGGGGCTGGAACACCCTCTCTTCCCCAAGGACATCTTTCATGACCTGATGGCCTGCGTCAGTAAGTACCATCCTGGCTTCAGATTGACTTCTGGGTCAGAGCACATGGTAGCAAGAGATAAAAAGTTTTTACAGGGTCTGTGTGTTCTTGTAAGCTTTTCAATAAAGATTTCTTTTCCCCAGTGAAGTTTCTCCTCATCCTCCTTCATCCCCTGGTGGGAGAGGAGGAGGAGTGACTTTTCAGTAAGAATCTAGGACCCCCAAGTCAGGATTCCTGGCTTTTTTTTTTTGCTTCTGATTCACCTCAGTCTTAAATACTTTTGCTTCTCTGGACTTTGTCTTCTTTTAGTAAAATACCTTTTATTTTCAATACAGTGCTTGTACTTTTAATGGTACAAGGGAGAAAAGCATAAGCAAGCATTGCAAATATTTCGTGCTTATTGCACTAAACAAGACATGGCTTACCTGCTAAATGTATTAATATGTGTTCTAGGAACAAAAGCTCTCTGCACATTTAAAAGTAGTAATAGGATATTTTCCCAAAGACAAAGATATATTCTCTACTTTATCCTCTCAGACGTTCTCTGCCTCTTACTCTAAAATCTGGGTCTTGAAAAGCTGTTCCTAGTCATTTGGTTTAGTTTGTGGTACTGGAACACCCTTTCATTTGTTTGACAGGGAAAACAATTAATGAAAACTTGGATTAATGCAGGTCAGCCTGGAAGCAGGCACCATCTGACTGATGGCTCCAGAGGCTGGGGGGAGTGGTGCCTTTGAATGGAGAAAAGATCCTTCTTCCTAGGTTGACCAGATTGTTATACCTGCTGAGTTTCCAGTTTTACTCAGTATCTGCCCTGAGTACTTGTCCCTCTCTCAGCTATCCTGAGAAATGCCCAGGGTATTAGGGAAGCTGGCTCTCTGGTTTGGTTTGTTGACCTCTGTTTGTGGGAGTCTAGTAGAAGTGAGTTACATGGGAGGTTAAGGATATGATTCCCTTGGGTCATGTCTTTGTGACTTTTTCCAGGACTGGACCTAGGTGAAGTATCTCAAACTGAACTGGAGTTTCCAAGACAGTTCAAGATCCCTTGGCTGCCCAGGTCGTGCCTACAGATACACTCTTCCTCCTAATCCAGGACTTTGCATCTCTTTTCACATAAAGGCACTCAGAGAAAATGGCAAAGTTTACCTGGCACACTGTGGAAGTGAGGGGCTGCCTATGATGGAGGACCTGTAATTGACCTGTAGTTAACCTCTCCACAGCACAAGAAAACGTTTCAGATCTCCTTCCCAATATCACTACATACCCAGGAGCCTGCCACCTCTTGCATCCAGCCACTTTTTACTCATTTGTAATGCAGATAAGGGAGGTGGAAGATAAGCCAGACTTGTCCAGAGGATGAGGTGACATGTGGAGTGAGCAGGACAGGACTTGCACAGCCTCTCCGCCCCCCTGAGATGTAGGCCCTCTGAGGCTGGGTATTGAGCAGTTGTAGCAGGTTGGTGGCAGCTCCCTATCTGTGGTTGTTTGAATAAGAGGGTGGTAGATGCTGTGAGGAACATTTCTAACCCCATTCCCTGTGCCCAAATCCAAACCTGGTATTAATAACAAGATTACAACAACCCTAGTTCAGTTTAATATTAATAATGTGTAATAACAAGTTTGGATTTGGATTTGGCACAGTTCCTTGTGCCCAAGAAGTATACACCTTACATCCTGTATTATAAATATCTGGAGCCCAGCAAGTGCCCTCTTCTAGCAGCCCTATCCCAAGGAGCAACAGGGATGACACTCCTGTCGCTGCACCAGTGCTGTGTGTGGGCTTGATCCGACGCTGTCTGTGCTGTTCATGCTGGTAGTAGAGACTTCTGATCATTAATCCTTGAGATCCCAGTCACAGTGGAGGATAACAGATGGCTTTCTTCTTTTCAGCAATGGACAACCTGCAGGAGAGAGCTCTGCACATCCGGAAGGTCCTCCTGGTCCTGCCCAAAACCACTCTGATTATCATGAGATACCTCTTTGCCTTCCTCAGTCAGTGAGTAGCCTTCCCAGTGAACAGCTGGGAAGTTGTTTGGCTTGGGCTACTGGAAGTTCCTCTATGGACTTATGCCTTTTCATCCATCCCAACAAAATATTTATTGAGCACCTACTGTGTGCTAGCCACAGTGCTATGCTTATTTAGTACATTGTTAAATTAAAGGTGAAAGCCTTGATATCATTTAGTTCCTGTTCCCAGGAAGGAAACAGACAATAACAGATATATCAGCGGGAATAAATGGTTAGAAATAAAATAAAAAAGAGTAAAGAAAGGGGAGAGAGTACAGGGGTGTGAATGAAAGGAAGGAGAACCACGGTACTTGAGGTAGACAGCATAGGCCTGTCTGTGAAGACAATGTACACGCAGCAGCCCAGAGGAAGGAAAAAGAAGTGAGTCATGGGGCCATTCAAAACCTCAGAGTCGTGATAATAGTGAGTTTGGATTTGGATTTGAATTTGAGAAGCAATTGGAATCTTTTTTTTTTTTTTTTTTTTTTTTAAGACAGAGTCTTGCTCTGTCGCCAGGCTAGAGTGCAGTGGCACAATCTGGGCTCACTGTAACCTCTGTCTCCCAAGTTCAAGCGATTCTCCTGCCTCAGCCTCCCAAGTAACTGGGACCATAGGCGCACGTCACCACACCTGGCTAATCTTTGTATTTTTAGTAGAGACGGGATTTTACCATGTTGGCCACTATGATCTTGATCTCTTGACCTCATGATCCTCCCGCCTTGGCCTCCCAATGTGTTGGGATTACAGGTGTGAGCCACTAGGCCTGGCATGTTATTATCTGATTTTTATATGTGTGTGTGAGTGTGTGTGTGTGTGTTTAAGCCAACTGCTTTGTGGATAAGTTACTGGAGAGGGTCGTGAAGAGCAACAGGGAGCCCCTATCCCGAGATTACTGTGTGGTCTGGCCAGAGGTGTTAGTGGCTTAGTCTGGAGGGTGGTAAGGAAGGGTCAGGTCTGTGATACATTTTGAATGTAGCATTAACAGGATTTGCTCATGGATTATACATTGAATATGAAGAGAGAAATCCTAAATTGTTGGCATGAGCAGCAGGGAAATAGGGAGGTCATTTATGGAGTTGGAGAAGACAAGGTGTAGAGAAGGAATCAAAACAGTGTGTCAATGTGGACATGGTCATTTGAGGCACTTGTGGGATGTCCAAGTGGAGATTTTGAACAATTGGACCTAGAATCCAACCCTTGGAGAGAAACCAAGAGCGGAGATGCGGTGCGGGAGTCGCCTGTGTACTGGTGGTATTTAGCTAATCACCTAGGGAATGGGTGTGGCTACAACAAAGGTCTGAAGAGCAGAGGGACCACGGGTATGGATGGGGCATTCCTTCTTGTCCAAGCAGCTTGTCCTTGTGTGGAGCAAGCTTTGGGGTCCCCACATGGCAGGAAAGGCACCAAGCAAGGACATGTGATTCTTTCCCTCTGAGGCACCACTGTCTTTTCACTCTGCCTTTGCTGCAGTTTCACCCTCAACAACCTAGACCAAAGGTTACAAATGGGCACCCTGAGAGCCAGATAAAGCCATAGATGCCTTCCCTTCAGGCATCTGTTGTGTCTCAAAAACATTGAAATCATACTTACATTTGGGGAGATGTCACTTTTGAAAATCTAGATTTTAGCTGCTTTTGGAAAATTGTTAGATCTGGCAATACTGACTCTGAAGTCCCAGGTGGCAGCAATTCTCCATAGAGTAAGGGCTGCCCCCTAGATGGTGTAGGCACTCCCCAATTCACCATAATCCTCAGCCCTCCCCGTTGCCCCCCAGTCTCGTGGCTGAATTCAGTTGCCATTTTTCATCACCCTTGCTTTGTGGCTTTCATATAGTACAAAAATGTTTCTCTGGATCCGTGAATCTATCAAAGTGGGGGAAACTAAAGATAAGCCAAGTGGCCAAGGTGTTTTCACACCTATTTCTTTGTGAAAATGAAGAGCCTTCCTACAAGGTTAGTCTCGGCTTAAAAGGAATACAACTTTAGAGGCCATTTCCTAAGTGTCACCTTGCTTCCAAGTTCGTGGTCAGCCTGACCGTATAGGTATCTAGGTTAGTGGTCACAGATTGAGACCTTTTCTGGGGCACCCACACTATAATGTAGCCCCCTTGCTGGCCCTGCAGAGCTACAGAGCATCCTTGTTCCCCAGCTTGTCTCTTCCACATGGCTGTGTCTGCTCCATTCATTGGCCAGGCCCTGACAAAGCACCCCCACTGCCTTTGGGTTGAATACTCCAGTGACTCACACAGCATGTTGGCATGCAGCCTGGAAACTCTGCTAATTACTCTCAAGTTAGTCCCTTCAGGGCCACCAACTTTGTCTCCCCTCAGATACCAATACCTGCCCTCAACAGGAGCCTAGTCTGTGCCCCCAGAGCTAGGAGCCTGACAGTGTTGAGCAAATGGGGATGAGGGGAAAACAGGGAGGGCTGTGGGACTGTGTGTGAAAGTACAATGGAGAGAAACAATAGAATATGCATCATGCAAGTTGGTGCTTGCAGAGATGGTGCAGAAATGGCAGCCACTATTGAAGAAAGCATAGGATTTGCACCAGTTCCAATTATTCATTTTGTTTTATTTTTATTGGTTTTTTTTCGGATTGAAACAAGATTGATTTGCTCATCAAAGTTAACATTTTAAAAAATGCAGCATTAATAATGAAAGTGTTTCCTAAAATAATAAATAGAATGCAGGACGCATATGATAAAGCAGACCACTTCCGGACAGGGATAGCAATAGTTGGCAGGTAGCTCCTAATGTAGACTCTGCCTGAGCCCAGACTGTGGGATCCTTTTTCTTCATTGCCTGTGGGTCCTGGATGTGTGTGGACTTTATTCCTGGCTATGGTTTGTTCTTGGATTGGACACATTCTTAATCTCAAGGAACCCAAAAAGCCAGTATCTCAGTTCTGTGGGTCGGGAATCCAAGTACGGCTCAGCTGGGGCCCTCTGGAGAGGTAATTGCACATCATAAAAAAGTTAAAAATCCAGAAAAGTACATGCTAAAAAGCAAGTTCCCCACACCAATCCTGGTGCCCCCCAAAAGCCTCCGTTCTGACCACAATGCTGAACATGTTTATGAAGCACAAAAGATGGTGAGTTCAAATAAGTTAGGAGAATTCACTAATAATATGAAATGAAACTACAGAAATACAGTAGAACTCTTTGAGAAAATGACATGAGTGAATATAAGGCGACACCAAAAAGTTTAAAGCAGGGAGTTGTTACTAATGTTATCCATTTTAAATATTTCTTTGTTTTTTTATTTATTTTGTTTGTTTTTTTTTTAATAAAGTTTTGCTTGTCACCGAGGCTGGAGTGCAATGGCATGATCTTGACTCACTGCAACCTCTGCCTTCCAGGTTCAAGCAATTCTCCTGCCTTGGCCTCTCAAGCAGCTGGGATTACAAGCACCCACCACACCACCATGCCCAGCTAATTTTTTGTTATTTTTTAGTAGAGACAGGGTTTCACCATATTGGGCAAGCTGGTCTTTAACTACTGACCTCAGGTGATCCGCCTGCCTTGGCCTCCCAAAGTGCTGGGATTACAGGCGTGAGCCACTGTGCCTGGTCTAGATATTTCTTCAAAAACAAAAATCCAGTTTTTTAATACTTTTACACTAGACACAGCCTTCAGGGACTTCAAAGATTATTAACACCATGATATTTTACACAAAACTTTGTGCATTTGTATGTGCACATATATGAATTTTTCTGGAGAGAGAATCCCAAGTTTTTGTCAAGTTCTTGAAGGAGCTTTTGTCCCCCAAATAGTTAAGAACCACTGCTTTAGGCCAGGCCAGGAGAATCACTTGAACCCAAGAGGTGGAAGCTGCAGTGAGCCGAGATCATGCCACTGCACTCCAGCGTGGGTGACAGAGCAAGACTCTGTCCAAAAAAACCCACTGCTTCAGCCCCTAAACTTAGATGTTCTCACTATACATTGGAAAAGAAAAATGGATTTTAGTCTATATTTTGATGGGAGTAAGAAAAGACCACAGTCCACGAAGATCAGTCCTCTTCAAGCTCCTGATCATTGTAGTCACCTATGAATTGAACAGTCCTTACCTTAGCAGGCTTCCCACCATTTCTCATCTTTCACAGAGCTTTGACTCAGGACCCTCAGGGCTAGAGTTGGTATCCCTTTGACCATCAGGCTTCCCAGACACTACTGGTTTTCCTTTATGTTACCAAAACATTGTCAGATCACTTTAAAGAATCAAGGCCTTCCTCCTCTTTGTCCCTCCATGACACCAGGAACTGGCCAGCCTTAGATTAGTTACAGCTTAGGCCTTGTGGCACATCATGCCTCAGTTTTTCCCCTCTCAGGTTACCAAGGTAATTACGGCTCCTGTCTCTCCCAGTTTTAATTTGACTAGGAAGTAGACTTAGAAACTTTCCCCTTTTTTTTCTAAATCTCTGCTTTCTTTGAACTCAGGATCCAGAGAAGGATTATGCACTTAAATCTTTAAGAACTCCTGTGAAGCAGTCCAATGAGATCTGTAACCTCCCCCATTGCTGGCCTCTCCTGCATTTGATTTTAGGCCCTAGAGAACAGTGATTCTCAACCTTTCTTCCCATCACATCCGTAGTACCACTCCTCAAATCCTGCAGTGATTCGCAAAGGGGCAGGGGATGCATATCGGAATCTCCAGGATGGGAGAGAACTATTGAATCAGAGGAAAATGGACTTTGTAATGTGAGACTGGATGTACACTGTAGAAATCAGTTCTGAAGAACAGCTACTCAGATGGAGACAGCTGAGTCTCAGACTTCTAGTTTCCCAACAGAGGACCTTTGGTTCCTTCTCAGAATCAAATCCTGCCGATGCCCATAAGGGACACTCCTCAGCAGAGCTCACAGCTCTGCAGGCTGTGTAGGGGAGGTATCCAGAGCTGGCCCAGCCCTTGTGCCTGGACAGGCAAGGCCCAATGGGACTCATCAGGTGCAGTGGCTCATTAAAGGCCTTGGGTCCTTGGCCAAGGTTGGAGCTGTGGCTGGAACAGCTGCTGGCTGAGAAGGGGAGAGTTCCCAGAATAAATAAATACCCGAGAATGAAGTCAGCCTGCAATCAGAGGAAGCCCGAGCAGAAGCCAAATGGCGTGCTGACCTTTTCCTAAATAAATCCTGAGTGTAATAATATATGAGGAGATTACGAACACAAGAAACAATTGCATTCGCTATTCTAGGAAGAAATTTACTGGCTTGATGGAATACAGAAGCTAATCAGTTGGCTATTTTCTAGTAAGTCTAGAGGCTAGAAAGGAATATCCCTGATCATTTGATTATTTTGTTATGCAAGAAGGTACACAATGCACAGTGCCTGTGCCTCTGACCATATCATTACAGGGCAGCCTAAGGGTCCCCATCTGCCTTGGCAACTTAGTGTGTTGGTGTGTAGGAGCCATATTCAGCTCTGCAGAGTGACATGTTCTCAAGGTCATGTGGCCTTTGGTAGATAAGATCTGGGGGGTAGAGATGAGGATGGGGTGGTAAGTAGAATTTGAAATGGAAGCTGGAAAGAGAGAAGGGGTCAGAGCTGCAAGCAAGTATCTCTAGTTTTATTTTCCTGAGCTCCTGAATGACCATGCTGGTGATCACTCTTCTTCCCAACTTCTGGAAAGCCACTGACACCCAGAAAGGCAGGTGGCAATTTGTGGACCTTCTGATCTTGCTCTTGGCAGCACCTCCTGTGATTGTGTTTTCTGGGCATTCATGCAAGGGCTTTGCAGCTTGCCCCTTTCCCTTCTCCTCCAGTTTATCACAGTTCAGTGAAGAGAACATGATGGACCCCTACAACCTCGCCATCTGCTTCGGGCCCTCGCTGATGTCAGTGCCAGAGGGTCATGACCAAGTGTCCTGCCAAGCCCACGTGAATGAGCTGATCAAAACCATCATCATCCAGCATGAGAACATCTTCCCAAGCCCCAGAGAGCTGGAGGGCCCTGTCTACAGCAGAGGAGGAAGCATGGAAGATTACTGGTAGGGGGGCTTGGGACTGGAGGAGAGGAGGGATTCACCAGCACATACTGGCATGGGGGCCAGATGGCCACACAAAAACCAAAGGGAAACACCCAGATCCTCCCAACCCCTCACTCCCAGGCTGCCAGGTCTGGGAATGGTATAGGCAGCCCCCACCTCAGCCCGACCCACAAACTTAATGCCGCTTCTTGCCACCTCCCTTTTTGATGAGTTCTGAGTGGCAAAGGACTATTCTGAAAGATATTTGACAGTGTTAATTGTGACACAAATAATCTCTAGGAAAGGATTTTTTATAAAGTTGCATCTAGAAGTGATCTTTATTAACAACAGTGTCTCTCGGGCTTCTACTCTGTGCTCTGTGAGAAAAAACATCCTGGGTCCCAGGGAATTTCCTTCTTATTGGGAAGAGTTTAGATATGAGGTGTAATTTCCTGACTGTGAGTTTGTAAGCTGGCACTTCAGAATGATTTTAGAAATTTGTGAAGAGAAAGAAGGGTAAGCCTTGTTTATGGCAGGTTAGGGACGGTCCTCCCCTGAAGCAGCATTCAGTTCTGTGGGGCTGGTTTTCCATGACCTAGCTTTGGAAGAGAGATCTAAAAGGAATCCTCGGGATATATCTTTTTTAGACCCCTCTATTAGACAAAGAACAGATCAGTATTTACATTTTATGGATGAAGCTGGTGCAATGCAGAGAGGCCAGTGAAAGTATTTTAGGCCACTCTAGTGATGGGGATTTAACCCCAATCTCTTGTCTCTTAGTACAGGGCATGCCCCATGCCACCAGCCATGGTACCATATACAGTGTCATTTTTTCACTAAACACAAAGACAACTGCCTCTCTCTTTTAATCACTAACTTCCCTTACCTCCCAATCCTCCTCCCCCTCCCTTCTTCCCCTAAATAATGTTTCAGCCTGAGCTGAAAGCACAAGCCAGCCCAAATCAGATTCTGTCTGAATTCAACATCTGGAACCAATTCGGCCAGCCTCATTGCTATCGACTGAGGTAGGGGAGGACAGGGGAGGCTGTTTACTTAATTAAAGGCAAATTGGTCCACGCTTCTCCCTGACCCCCACAGAAGAGCCTCTTGCCCAAGGAGTAAAGAAAGTGGCATTTGTGTTCTGTGAACACAGTAATATCAGAGACATCCCTGGGTTCACTCCTCTCTGCTGTACTGCAGATTTCAGCGTCTGGGTCCAAGCTGGAGGAACCTATTCTGGCCAGCTGGGAGAGGAAGCCTTTTGTCACTGACAGATGGTTGGTAGTGACTGGCGAGGTTGTTGGTCACTTTAGGTCTCAGCCTACTGGATGATGAGCTCCAGGGAGCTGTCCTTGTGCATGTGACTTAGAGCGCTGGTTTCCCCCCTTGCATGAGTGATGAAAAGCTGTAGAATAGCATTCCCTTCCTTCTAAAGTCAGGCAGAACCTCTGCCCTCACTTCTCAAATATCAAACCACTGCCGGCTCTGGCCTGGTGCCCAGGGCACAGAGACCCCTTCAGCCCTGGCCCCTGAGTTCCAGCCCAGTGGAGCACAGTCCTGGAGGGGTGTGGCTCACGGTCACAGGCAGATGGGTGCCTTCCTCCAGTTTTCTCCAAGGTATTCTCCGAACCTACCCACCTCTGTTTCTTGTGCACTCGGCATTTATTAGCAGCCTCTGGAAAAACCACAAGATTAGTCAGGGAGCATTACTATCCACAGACTGGGTGGGAGGCCAGAGCACCCGAGGAACAAGAGTCGGCGCCTTTGGGTTGAGAAGGACCTTCCAACCACTGGATTCATACCCACCTGGAAGGCTCATGGCCTTTCCTCTCCCTTCTTTGAGAAGCGAGAGAAGTGCTAGCCCCAGGAGCTAAGGCATTGAAGGAGGTGAATGAGGATGGTAGAAGAGGAGTTAGAGCCCTAAGAAGCCTAGAGAATGGCCAGGAGACCCAAACAGCCATAAAAAGGAGAGCACCAGGCCACATGGTGTCCCACAGCTGTGGAGAGGAGAGACAAATCCATTTCACCACACTTTCCAGCCCTGAAACTGAAACTCAGTTTTCTAGAACTACCTGCAAGGTGGCATGGTGGGCTGCTTCTGAGACCTCAGGTATTAGTGGACCTGGGTGTGTGTGCAAGGGCAAAGGCTGGGGATAGGTGTGTTTCAAGAGAAGCATAGGATTTGAGGGCTAGTAGAAACCTCAGAAAGCATCTTCTTGGCTCTCTCATAAAGCACTATTTTTCAAAGTGAGGTCCCTGGACCAACAGCCTAGAAAACAGTGAGAAATTATGCCTACATTTTTTGACAAAGAGGAATCTCCATTTATATTCTTCTAGAATGTCTCTGGAGCCTGAGAAACCTCCTTGGAACTGACTTGCTCTACATAGGGCGAGTTCTGAACCTGGTCACCCAGTGTTAGAGGAACTTCCCGGGAGTGTAGGATCCATCCCATGGAGAAGAGAGGCTGGAGGGTTCCAAGGTGGAAACTGTGTGGCCTGACTACGGAGTTGAGTGGGTGATGGTGCTTTCACACAGCTGCCTGGAAAGCCTCACCCGTTACTTCCTACTGCCAGAGAAAGAACGTTAGAAATAAGCGGTTTCTCTACTTTTTAGGAAATAAGAACTTCCTGGTACCCATCCTCATAAATTCTGAAGTCCATGAGCCAGGAGATCAGGAATAGAAATGACTTTTCTAGTACCCTCCCTATCCTTTCTTGATTCCCTACACTGGATGATTTTTTTTAGATAGGGTCTGGCTCTGTCACCCAGGCCAGAGTGCAGTGGCACGATCATGGCTCACCGCAGCCTCAATTTCCCAGGCTTAAGCAATCCTCCTACCTCACCTCAGCCTCCAGAGTAGCTAGAACCACAGCATACACCCTGGCTTTTTTTTTTTTTTTTGTAGAGACAGGGTCTCACTCAGATGCCCAGGCAGGTCCCAAACTCCTAGGCTCAAATGAGCCTCCCAAAGTGCTGGGATTACAGGCATGAGCCACTGTGTCTGACCTTTTCCATTTTATGAATTATTTCAAGAACCTGACCCAGCTTCTATCCCCTGCCCTGTAGCCCATAGCAGATTCTTATTCCTCTACTTTACTTTCCTACCCACTCCTGTGACTCACCTTCCACTTTTTCACCAGTACACAGTCTAAACTGCAAAGCAACCTAGAGGCATCGAGCAAAATGAAAAAGAAGGAAAGGAAGTACTGTTTATTAAGCACCCATTCTGTGCCACACTTGTTCCTAAAGTGCTTTATTAAATTCTCACACAACTGAGGATATAGATCATTATCTTCAGTTTATAGATGAGGCAGCTGAGGCTTAAGGAGATTAAATAACTTGCCCAGGATCACACAGCTACCAAGTATCGGAGGTGGTTTTCGGATCCAGTTTTATCTGATGCCGAAGCCCAGTGTTTCCTTTCCATCATGCTGCCCCCTTAAAAACCAGGAATGGCCAGTTGCGGTGGCTCACACCTGTAATCCCAGCACTTTGGGAGGCCAACGTGGGTGGATCACAAGGTCAGGGGTTCGAGACCAGCCTGACCAGCATGGTGAAATCCTGTCTCTGCAAAAGATAGAAAAATTAGCCAGGTGTGGTGGTGCGCACTCGTAATCCCAGCTACTCAGGAGGCTGAGGCAGGAGAATCGCTTGAACCTGGGAGGTGAAGATTACAGTGAGCCGAGATCACGCCACTGCACTCCAGCCTGGCAATAGAGTAAGACTCCATGTCAAAAAAAAAACAAACAGAAACAGAATTGAATTCATGTAGAGAATCAACCCTTGAGGAGTTGAGTTGTTCTCTATTTGCTGAAGAATTTACTTTATACCTTCATAAGGGCTTCCCTTTGTCTCGAGATACTCTAAGATCCAAGTAGTCTCAAGTGATTTCGGTAGCAGGAGATAGACTGGAGAAACTCAGAACTTTGTATTTCATTATAAGCATTTGTCCATTGTGTGTAGTTAGGATATAGAGAACATAAGATGGAGTCAGTGCCCTCACTTCAGGGAGGCTGTATGAAGGGGACGATGAGAATTTTATAAGCAAATATTCATGTTCCAGTCACTCTTGCTTCTGTTGCAGTGATAGCCCTCATGGAGAGACTACCTCGGTTGAAGACTCAACCCAGGATGTGACTGCAGAGCACCACACGAGCGATGATGGTATGAGGCCCTGCTTCCTGGTCAGTGGGGACGCCAGCGGGGAGGCAGAAGGAGAGTGATTATATATCCTGCACATCTGATGAACCTGTCTGTCCAGTAGTCCCCTGAGGACAGGCAGGAAGCTCCCCTGTCTCAATTTCATTCCCTTCCTTCCTTGGAAAGGTAGCCCACCTTCTCAAATAGAATGGTCTCTGCATTAAATCAGAGGCGAAGAACTAGGCCTTCCATAGCCCTTCAGCCTTCTTGCGCCACCTCCCAGCTCCTTGTCTGGCCTGAGTGATGCTGGTCCCTTATCATAGCCTAGACTCCTGCCAGGCAGCTGGAGAACAAAGTGAAGGAAAGTTCATTTGAAAAACAGCAATTGGGTGCCGTGCCTCACGCCTGTAATCCCAACACTGGGAGGCCCAAGTGGGAGGATGACTGAGTTCAAGAGTTCAAGACTAGCCTGGGCAACATGGCCAGACACTGTCTCAAAAAAAACAAAAACAAAACCCAGTCTGGCATAGTGGGTACACGTCTGTAGTACCAGCCACTCGGGAGGCTAAGGTAGGAATATCCCTTAAGCCCAGGAGTTCAAGGCTGCAATGAGATATGATTGTGCTACAGCACTCCAACCTAGGTGAGAGAGTGAGATACTATCTAAAAAAAACAGCCTGGAGTGGGAAATAGCAGAGCTGGGTGCCCAGAACCCAATAGAAGCAAGCCAGAGGGAGAGGGAATGAGGATGCAGAAACCACATGCTTTCACGCCTACCAACTGGAAAAACTGACCCTTTCCAAAGTACAGACATGCGAGTGCTGAGCAGGCTGGTGGGCGTGCATCAAGGGGAGGAATGCTCAGCTGTCATCCTCAGGCCCCTCAGCAGTGCCCATGCTTTATGAGGGTCTGTCCAGCCAGCACATTTTCCTCCTTCCAGCAGCTCCACACCTCCTTTTCTGGATCAACTGGGCTCTGGAAGTCTCAGCAGCTGACAAGGGGCCTCAGAATTTTCTGGGCACAAGAATGAAATGCCACAGTCTGTGGAGCTTTCCCTGTTCCCTGCCTTGCTGAGAATTCTGCAATTCTAGCCAGCTTTTAAAGGAGAAAAAAAAATTAGGACTACTTATTTAGATCCTGATGTCATAAGGATCCATATAATCATCTGCTACATTTGAGGAGGGGGGTAGGTGAACTAGGGAAATGAGTAGTGGGTTAGAGCCTATCTTGCGGCCAGCTCTGTTAGAGGTTTTCTATATATTATCTCTTAATCCCTAGTGAAAGAGATATGGCCGCTATTTTACAGTTGAGAAAATGGAGGTCAGAGAGGTCGAGTAACGTACCCAAGGCTGTAGAGAATTGACATGGGTATATTTAGACAGGCCTTCTCTGACCAGCCTCCTATCATGAAATCTCCAACCCCTCCTATTCGGGAGCAGACCCACCAGCTAGGGCTGTCTAGGTATGGTTTTATTTTTAAGCAGCCTTTCTCTCTGCTACCCAGAATAGCTGACTTTCATCTCAGGATCCAGCTTTCAGGGAGCCTTCTTTTTGCTCTTTGATCTCTGCCTGCAGCCTAGCACAGATGAAGATAATGACAACAATAACTCATGCACACATATCACTCACTATGGGCTGGACACTGTTCTAAGCACTTTTACAAATTGTGATTCATTGACTCTTCATAACGACTTCATGAGAAAGACACTAGTATTGTTTCCATGTTACAGATGAGGAAACAGAAGCCCACACAAAAATAAAGATACACTGCATCTGTAAACCCTTTTTACTTTTTCAGATGACTTTCATGTGCATTTTTTCATAGGTCGGTCACAAAATATATTTTCACATTTTGCTCCTTGGAAAGTTGATTGCACAAGTTATTTTCTCTTTATAGAGATGAAATGCCTATATTCTACATACTATGTACAATGGATAACAATTTAGAATACAGTATGATATGTTCTCTACAATTATTAGAATTATTACATAAACAGAAAAGAATGCTTAAAGATATAGGATAGTATGGCAAGTTTGAGAATAGACATCAAAGCATGAAGAGCTTTGGAAACACCAAAGAAGTTACTGTAGAAAACGGGATGCTTGAGTTGTGTTTTGATGTGTTTCATCAGGCAGATAAGAGAGAAGGGGATTCCAGGTGGAGGGAACAGTGTGAGCAAAGGCAGGTAAAAGGTGATACCAGTGCTTTCAAGATAATGGCACAGTCTCCATGTGAATTACTTGCTTTATAGATTATCCATGACTTTGTTTTCCCACTAAGTTATCTTCCCACCGCTATAAGTTCAGCTAATTCAGCTTTTCCACCCAGTTTCCTGAGTCTGCAGGTCCCAAGAACATGTGTTTACTTCTTTTCCACCCTTCTCAGAATGTGAGCCCATCGAGGCCATTGCCAAATTTGACTACGTGGGCCGGACAGCCCGAGAGCTGTCCTTTAAGAAGGGAGCATCCCTGCTGCTTTACCAGCGGGCCTCTGACGACTGGTGGGAAGGCCGGCACAATGGCATCGACGGACTCATCCCCCATCAGTACATCGTGGTCCAAGACACGTACGTTGGGCCCCTGGCACCTTGGGGGTAGTCCCCAACTACTCTGTGGGAATGAGACTTCATTTGTGGAGCCATAGGACTATGAGAGAGACCAGCCCCTGGGGGTACCAGTGCAGTCCTGAGGCTCACACAGTTCCTTGAAGAAGCCTCCCTCTCCACTCCCTGCACTCAGTGGAAAATTTTTTTAAATCTCTCCACTACCTGTGCCCCCGCAAATCACTCCCTGATCCAGTCATTTTAGAAACCTGCCAGCCAGCCAGTACTCATCCACATTTATACCTGATGAGTGATAACAAGGGGTTTTTATTTGACCACCTATATTTCTTTTCTCAAAACATCAGGCTGGGAAAACATTTTTGCTTCTCTGCGTTTTTTTTAAACAACTGTGCCCACCCCAACCTGTTGAGTCACTCTTCCACTTGCAAATTGAAATGACTAGTTTTCTAGGAGAAATCTGGCTTAAGCAGCCTTATGGAAGTGACCTAGTTCATTCAACTCAGAGGAGGTTTGATTTGGGGTGAGATGGGGGGAGGAGGGAAAAGGATGTCACGGAACAAAGGAAACCTGAACTGGTCCCAGAGAGATCTCATCTGATAGGCTGTTGGTTGATTCTCACACTTTGAAGCAGTTGTTCCGTGGGCCCACCCAAGCCTGCCCCCTGTCCCTTTGCCCTGCCTCTGTCCCCAGCTCCCTTCCCCTGGATCCAATGCTGCCAGTGTTTTTAGTCCTTCCCTTAATATTATTTTTTAAAGGTTGATATCCTGAGTGAGTCTGCACCCTCCCAGCCTCTTCCCGGCTCGTTCTGCAGGGAAATCCTCCCTCTGTTGATAGCATCGAAAACCTGGTGGCAATCTGTGCGTGGACAGGACCCTCCCAAATTTAGCATTATGACTTCACTACAGGATCAAGAGAAGATGAATTGTGGGGGAGAAGGGGCTTTCTTTGTCATCAGTAGCCAGAGGGGCCAGGAGAGCAGTGGAGAGACCTGGGACCGGCTTGGATGCTCTGAGCGGGGCTAGAGGCGCTACGACAGTGTGTGGCGGTATCCTGCCTCCACGCCACCATCTCCAGAGCCACCACACAGTTGACTGTGCTCAGGACCTCAGCTGATAAACCACAACCTGGACTTGGCACCTCCTTCTCCAGGAGGCCGCCCCAGCATGGCCTCCCCGGGAAGCAGCATGGGGTAGAAAGCAGATGCCTGGAACCCAGGTGTCCCCTAGCCACGTTTTCCTGAGGAGCTGAGGAGCCTGCAGAACTCAGCAGATTATTTATTTTTATTTAAACGACCCTTCAAAGGCCCTTAGGTTTCCTTGCCTCTGCTCACAGAACTAGTCCGGCCAGGTGTCGCTGCTGCCTCAGAGCTGTGTGGGGTCGCGTGTGTGTCGGGGGGCCATCTTGCCGATTTAACGCTGCTTTTTGTGTTGTTGTTGTTTTCCCTCCTCCCTGCCTGCCTGCCCCTTCTCCCCCAGCGAGGACGGTGTCGTGGAGAGGTCCAGCCCCAAGTCTGAGATTGAGGTCATTTCTGAGCCACCTGAAGAAAAGGTGACAGCCAGAGCGGGGGCCAGCTGTCCCAGTGGGGGTCATGTAGCCGATATTTATCTTGCAAACATCAACAAGTAAGCTCTGCTTTTCATTTTCTGCTCCCCTGAATGACTTGCAACACCCAGCCTCACCCTCTGGCCTAACCCCCATCTCCATTCCTGTGCTGCACGTAGGGCGCCCAGCTCCCCAGCCTAACAGTTTGCACGTGGTCATTGCTGCTGCAGGGCGGACGGGGCTGAGGATGCTGCTACAGGCCTCGGGGCAGGTCCAGGTCTCCAGCTAGCTGCCCTCACGCTGTGGAAGGGTGCTTTACTGTGTGTTCCCGCAGTGTCTGTCCACCCAGACCTTTGTGGCAGTCTTACAGCGAAAACTTGGGCCAACGCTTTGGTCACTTTATGCAACCTGGTTTTGTACTGTTTCTCAGGGGTGCCTTCTTTTTTCCAATCCATATCAGATAAAGTCTTTGATGTCTGTCTTCCTTTATCTGTGTTCGTGCAAAGATTCAAAGTCTGTGTGTGGCTTCTACTAGGCTGATGTTACCCCAGGTGGGTTTATTGAGATATCATGTGTCTGTTCCTCCCGCTGTCCCGCATTCACTCCCGTGGAGGAAAGGAGGTCACAATGTCCCTAAGGAAAGCTTTGTCCTGAGCTCTTCATTCATTGCCTAACCCCTAGCTCCCTTTTCTTCTGCCCTTTCACACCAGGAGAAATAATTTTCCATTTTGTTCCTATTGCTTTGGCCCTGTGTATTATTCTACCCCCTTAGTCCCTTTGCAGGTCCCCACTCCTGCTTAGCAGGCTCTTACCTCTGACCCCCAGCTTTCATTGTGGCTGTTAGCAACATCCTGGGGTTTTAACTCCACCCACGCCTGATCTGGCTGTCTAGAGGGATTCTACGCCTGCGTGCTGCCGCCTCCCCAAGAGGCATTCAGGTTATTGGAGAACTAATCTCATCTCAAGGGGCCAGACACCAAGTCCCAAAGCCTACAGACCTCTTTCTGCCAGACCCTGAAACCTGGCCCCGTGCCAGCAGGATGACAAGCCCCAGGGCGCTCCTGATGAATATGGATTGGAGATGATGTACAGTTTTTATTCCCCTCTGGCTTTGGAGGAATGAAATGATTTGCACTTTGAAAACCTGTTAACCGTAGCCTCTGGACACTGAGACTGGAAGGAGAATAAAGGATGCTTGTTGTTTTTAAACTATACCAGGTTTCCCAGATCTCTTGGCTTTTTTCCACTCAGATGGTAGCAGGGGCAGTGGTTGGGGCACGTGGCTCTTTTCCATCTCTTTCACCCTCAAGTTAGTAAAGTCGTTTATTCAGATCACTTACCCAGTGTAGTTATAATTTAATTCAGACCAGTTTTTAAAAATATTGAGGCATTTCTGTTTCCCTCCAGCACACTACCCAGCTGGGAGGGCAAGCCAGTATCAAGTAACTGTGGGCTAATCACATTTTTTCCCTTATTTACGAGCGTATGTTAATTATAACCCTACAATCTAAAGTTGTAAGCTTATAATTAACCCGGAAACCCAGGCGGGGTTGGTGGAGGAAGTCAGGTAATTAGTTAGTACATATTTTTAAGCCAGCATGTATGTGACGCCATTTGTGCCTAGAAATTGTAGAGTAATAGCTGAAATGGTTAAAAAAAAAAAAAAAGTTCAGGTGGTTCCCTGGAACTCCTTGCTTGCTGGTGTCAGGAGTCTTGTAATGGGTTCTTGAGGGACAAACTTCACAGCTGGTTGGTGGGTGAGCGGCAGCCCCTGGTCATGTCTGGCCCTTAGGAATGAGTCGGCCTTTCAGTCTTGCCTCCTGCCCCCTACACCACTCCTCCTCCCAAGCTCCTTCAGTTTCCTGAGTGCCCAGGTTCTCTCACCACTAGGCCCTCACGCCTGCTGTCTCCTCTCACCTGGTCACCTCCTCCTCTCCCTTCAAGACTCAGTCCAAAGACTACCTCTTTGGGGAAGCCCTTCTAACATCCCTGAGTTCCCCAGGCTGAGTGAGGTACCCTTATGCTATATTCCCAAGGCACTTTGCATACCTCTTGGTACTCACACTGTACTTGGATCCCTTACCAGATTGAGGTCCTTGAACCCAGGAACTATGTGTTCCTTGTCTTCACATCCCCAGAGCCTGGCCTGGGACATGGCACACCACAGCTACCCCATCAATCTGCCTTCTCAGCAGTTTCAGCCTGTGAGTCAGCCAACCTCAAGCGGAAAAAGGAAATCAGCAAAGAGCTATATGGGTGTGGCATTTCCATTTAATTCTACACATTTAAGTATCTACTGTTGTGCCAAGCACTGCTGGTGGTTATTCAGAGATGAAAAAAATGGGATCCCTGATCTCAGAGCTCACAGTCTGGCAAGGTAAAGACCCTATAGACAGGTAACTGAAAGGTAGTGTCAGATGCTCTGAAGGCACAGAGGAGGGAGGGGTCCATTGTTCCTGCAAAGTGGTGTAGTGGTGCCAGTGCATTTGGAGTAAGTGGTGCCAGGGAAATCCTTGCGGGGTGGGGGATCATTTCAGCAAGGCCTTAGAAGACTCTGAGAACATTCTTTTTCCACTTGAGAAGGCTGACTCACAAGCCTAAAACTGCCAAATGGACAGATTCATGGAGTGGCTGATACATGCAAGGTCCTGGGCCAGGCCCTGCAGGCAGAAAGATGAAGAAGACCTCAGCAGTGAACAGGACCAGGACTGGCTTAGAGCACTGTCCCCACTTCATAGACCAGCTCGTTATCTTCAGAGTCTGACCCCTTCCCTCCTTCTACCTCAGCTCCTGCCTCAGTCCCCATCTCCCTTAGATTCAAGATCAGAGCTGTTTAGTGGCCATGTGAATCAGAAGTTTCATTGCCTCTTAGATTAGATCTTTTCAAATCTGATTCCAAGAGAAAATGAAATTATCCAGCAGCAGGCAACACCCATGTAACTGGGATTCTGCCAAGCCATTTTGTAGGAGAGCCCGAAGTGGTCTGAAACAAATTCACCCAGATCCAGGGTTCAGCCCAGTGCTCGGTGACTCGGGAGTCATGTAGAGGTATTTCCACACTAAGAAAATGCACAAACTGGGCCCTAACTCTGCAGCATTGCTGCCTCTTGAAAGCTATTCTGTTCCATGCCTACAGAATAAGCAACAACAGCCGCTTGCCAGAGCCCAGAATAGTTCCAGTCTTGTTGGAAGAAGAGACATGCTTTAATTTAGAAAACTTTACTGTCCTCTTACAGCAATTCCAGACCTCCTTGATGATAGTGAGATTTCTCCTACCTGGGGCCTTAGGTTTCTCTGCATAGCAGGTCACAGAAGGGGCCTTTCCAGGAATCTCTTTCGCATTAGAAACTTTCGCTTAATCAGACACTTTTTTCTGACAGCAGCTTACATCTTGACAACACAAAGCCTGTGACCAATAAGTAAGTATCCATTTCTCCTTTGCCCAGCTTGGGGGTGGCAAGGGAATGAAGACATGGAGAATGTGGGAGAAGATGAAGCCGAGGAGAGAACGTGTTCTGTGTCCCTCTCCTTCCAGAAGTCCCTGGGTGCCAACATCTGACCCCTCCCACTTGTCCTAGCTTCCTTGGAGCCAGGGCTCCCTGATCACACTGCCCTTTCTGTTTGTGATTGAAGGCAAAGGAAGCGTCCAGAATCTGGGAGCATCCGGAAAACTTTTCGGAGTGACAGCCATGGGCTGAGCAGTTCCCTGACTGACTCCTCCTCCCCAGGGGTGGGGGCTAGCTGCCGCCCATCCTCCCAGCCCATCATGAGCCAGAGTCTCCCCAAGGAAGGGTCAGATAAGTGTTCCATCAGTGGGCATGGGAGCCTCAACTCCATCAGTCGCCACTCATCCCTGAAGAATCGGCTGGACAGTCCACAGATCCGGAAGACTGCCACAGCAGGAAGGTCAAAAAGCTTCAATAACCATCGGCCCATGGATCCTGAGGTCATTGCTCAGGTAACTGTGGGCCCCTGGACAGACAGCATGAGTCTACACTCATCACCACCTCTTAGTGCCACCTACCTAATTATGACAGGGCTTGAAGCAGAATGATTGTTTTGTACATCATGTACTGAGTACATGCCCATTCTGGACATGTGGACCTGGTAAGGCAGCTTAGTAAGCAGTCTGCCTGTCCCTCCCTCCCCGGGAAGAACCTAAAGACAGAATAAAAGAAACCTAGCTTCTTGCTCATACACTGGCTATCTGGAAGGCTGTTGTAATTTTTGAAGCCAGTATTAAGGGTATTTTGATAGCCCAAGTTTTGGGTCTCAAGACCCTGTTAGACTTTAGTGAAACTGTCTGACTGTTGAGGCTCAGATGTAATCCTGGCCACATTTTCATATTTCTGTGCCCATCAGCATCATCTCAATTCCTAAGGCTGGTCTCTGGTACTAAGTGGGCAGATGATCAATTAACAACCTGCACCTGGTCTTAAAGACTTAAAAAAATACTCTGGCTGCAGAGAGCTCTGGTACCGAAAGGATTTGCAGCCCAAGCCTCCAGAGGCAGTGGAGATGGGCTCCCTGGTTGCAGGGTCTTCCTTCTGTGTATGCACCACACTGATGCCTCTCTGTTTTCCATGAAATATTAGAGATCCAACCCCACCTCTAAAAATCCAACTGCCGGGGCCACTCCAAGCAGTTCATTCAGACGTCTCTCCCAACTATATTCTTTTCATTAGACCAGGTAGGAACTAAGGGCTCGTTGTTGCCCCCTTGTCTCAACTAAGTTGAGATTCTCCTTATCCCCGTCTTCCAGGGGGCAATAGAGGCTGGGTATGGTCTCTATTGGCTTAATTGTGGTTCTCTGCTTAAGGAGGTGTACCTGGCAAGCCCTGTATTGAGCTACAGGCCTGAGATGTCTTGCTTTGCTAGCCTTCTATTCTGTGCTTCTACATAAGCTCTTGGCTGCAATCTGGCTTGCGCTACGGGAATCCTCCCAGCTCCCTCCTTGGCCCGGTGTTAATAGGAATGTCAGGAAAGGCAGACAGCTGGGACAGACTAGCTGCAGAGTGCAACTGAGGAGAGAGATGGAGTTCTTCCTGGGCATTTTAAAGGTTTGAGAGTGTCATAGGGATGAGTGAAATTGAAAGCATGCATCGCTCTGTAGGACAAAGAAACCTTAACCAGAGGACTTTGCTTGGAATATATAAAATCTTTCAATGTGAGTCTAATTTTAAGAAGTCCTTTGGTAGTTTAGGGTGCCAGACACAGGTTTATGGGGAGGGAGCGGGGAGCTGGGAAGTCTCACTGGGAGGCAGCTGGCTTACATACAAAGGTTCTTTGGTTCTGCCTTGAGTCCCTGGGCTAGGACTGCTGTTGGCTACGATCTAGAGTGTTCCATTGATTTGCAGGCGATTGATTCACCTATGTGGGCTTTGGCTCCCCCTCCTGGTCACTCTTTGGTCCCCTCGGTGGTGATGGCTGGAAACAAATAGTTTCAATTTGGACGCTGCCCAAAGATGGGGAGGAGGGGCTGGAGAAGGGGTCCTGGGCTCCTGAAACTTTCCTCAGCCCCTGAGGAGGAAAGACTAACCCTCTTAACTTTTGGCCTTGAAACCCAAGGGGATAAAGACCATACATCATCTCTATCACTTTTTAAAAAAATGTTTGTTATGTGTAATTTCAAACCTGCCCAAAAGCAGAGAGAACTGGATAACAAATCCCTGCGACCAAACTCCTGGCCACTCTTGTTCCATCCACGTTTCTCCTCCCCACTAGATTTTACGTCACTTCATCAATAAGTATTTCAATATCTCTCTCTAAAACCTAGGGTTTCTAAAAACAAAAACAAAAACAAAAACAAAAAAACCTCTACTTTTTCTAAAGGAAAAAGAAAAAAATCTCATGACAATGAAAATCCCTCTGTCCCCTTCTCCCCCCTTTCTAAGCATTTATATGTTAGAGGATTTGGGCCAAGTACAATAATCTGGACATCTTCTTACTGTCGGTTTCTTCATGCCTTGGCCTGTGTTGTTGAAACTGGCCCCTTGGGGACATCACCCTTCATTTGCCTCACCTCCTCCTTTTTCCTGTTTTGCAGGATATTGAGGCAACAATGAACTCAGCCCTGAACGAGCTACGGGAGCTAGAGCGGCAGAGTAGCGTCAAGCACACCCCTGACGTGGTTCTGGACACCTTGGAGCCCCTCAAAACCTCCCCAGTGGTGGCCCCCACGTCGGAGCCCTCCAGCCCCCTGCATACCCAGCTCCTCAAGGACCCCGAGCCCGCCTTCCAGCGCAGCGCCAGTACTGCTGGGGACATCGCCTGCGCCTTCCGGCCTGTGAAATCTGTCAAGATGGCTGCCCCGGTCAAACCACCAGCCACACGGCCCAAGCCCGCTGTCTTCCCCAAAACAAATGCCACTAGCCCTGGTGTCAACTCATCAACTTCCCCACAGTCCACTGACAAGTCTTGTACTGTCTGAGGGATATAATTTAATTGTTGTAGACAAGGGGACTATAGGGACTGACTGTTATTAAAATCTTCCTATTTAACTAGCTTGGGGACTTCAGTTGAAAATTAGGTTCTAAGTTGTTCTTGCAGGAATTAGCCTCCCCGTCTCCCAAAACCTTGAGAATGAAGCCCTTGGTATCGCCTCTCCCTTCCCACTGCCCTCTGCTTCCTCCAGTCATCGTAATTCAGCCAGCTGCAGTCCATACCGTTCTTAGGTTAGCCAGAGACAAGTTTTCATTATCAGGTCACTGTGAAATCTGGTAAGGCAGTGCTGAGGACGTGGGCTCAAGTCTCAGTCCCCTCAGACCATGTGGATGCCTTGACCAGATGGTTGGCTACTGCCATCCAGCTTTCAGTGGCGTCTTGTTTTGGGTACTGACTATAGAGAATCATATATAGTCCAGTCTTCATTTTACACACACACACGCAATTATAGAGAATCATATATAGTCCAGACTTCATCTTCATTTTACACACACACATGTTTTTCTAGTCTTTGGCTTACTGAGCCTCTCCTGGTCATAGACCAGTCTCTTTGTAAGTTATTGTGGCAGTTCACACAGCAGCCACCAGGGGTCTCTGTTTCCATTACAAACTTTGTCCTGTCTGGGCCAGAGAACCTAGCCTTTGAAATCTCTCCATCATATGAAATACTGCGGGATGGTACAATCTCGTAACTTCTTTGGGGTTGGGGGCTTTCTCTCTGTGTTCTTTCCATTGATGTGAATTGGTCATTGGTGTTTGCTCTTGGTGTCCTCCATCCTCTAGAAATACACCCCAGTCTTATTAAGAAGGTTTTCAAGTTTTTCTGAATGTATAGACATTTCTCGGGTTCCTACCTTTGTCTCTGATGGACCGTTTTCCATTTAAGACATTTTCCTGTATAAGACCGTTTTATAGCTGGTTCCTTTAAGGGTAAAGAGTCTTAAGAGAGTTTTATTGTGTCTGTGGCAGGTTTGGAAAAGGTAAGAAATGGGTCCTTTTTCCTCCTAATGTTTTTGGCACTTATAAAATTCATTATCCTATTAAAAATTAAATTCAGCTTTGCTAACCCAAAAATTGTTCCCAAACGGAAACGTGTTTTAAGTCCACCCCTTAGTTTGGTTATTTTAAAGGTCTCTCTTCAGGGACCAACAGGGACTTAGAGAGCCTTGGTTAGACTAAGGGGAGACGCTGCCTCTTAAGACCAGTTTTCATTTATCCAAACAAGGACAACTAAGGGAGCTCTGGCCCCACAGGCTTTCGAGTCTTCCCGAGGCCAGAATCTAAAGAAAATTAAAATTTGAACACTGAATATTTTAACTCTACTCTGGCCTTTTTCTGGTTCCCTTCCAAAATGCACAAATGATACCCTTGTCTGCTCCAATCCAGTCTCCAAACCTGGTGCCCCTGGTCCTGGCCCCCCTGGCATCGTGTTACCCCGGGAGTGCCAGGACCAGAGTCATCCACAGCCAGGCTCACGGGCGTCAGACTGCAACTCAAGTTAAAGCTGAAACTCATCCTTCTTCTGTATGTTTTCTGGTTTAAAAGCTGCACTTACATTTTAGCCTTATTGTTTTCTATAGTGCAGGAAAGATGGTGGGTTGCCATTCAGGTAGAAAAATCTGAGTTTTCTTATCTTTGACCTAGAAGAGATTCTTTTGGGACCAACATGCGAAAGTGGTAGTTGGATCTATGGAAAGTGTAGGATTTTTTTTTTTAGCCTGTGCAAAGGAAAAGAGCTTTGTGGGAAATTACTCATGAGAAGGCTAACCTGCAGGACCAGAGGAACGTTTCCAAGTGCTACAAGGGAGGACTGAAGAACCCCATCAGTGAAGCGAGTCAGCCTAGAAGAGGCAACCCACAGTCTTGGATTCTCGGGTTTTGTTGCTCTGTTTCCTGATCCGTTCTTGTCTGTCACCTGGGCCTACACAGGTTCTGAGCCAACAGGGGGCTTTCATACCCAAGGATCTGTTTCCTTGCTGAAAATGGAACCCCATCTTTCATTTTACATTCCTTTCAGTCCAACTTATCAAAACTGGTACCCACACTTGCCCTTTCTCCCTCTCTCCGGCACACTCCCCTCTAAGAAAGTCAAAGCAAACCTTTCTTAATGACAATGCTTTGGGCCTGTGGTGTTGCTCCTGCCTTATTTCTCTTTTAACCCCGTACATGACTTGTGTTCACCATCCCCTGATCGGTGTCCATCCGCGCTAATTTGCATCATGAACTGAACAGTGTGTGAGTGGTCACCTACTAAACCCAACTCTAGGGGCAGAGCTGTCTTCCCCATCTCTGGTGCTCTCGACACCTGTGAGATGGTCCTGTCCAGAGGACTAGGAACCGATAGGAGGAGAGTCCTTCTCTGCAGAGCTCACTGCAAACAACTGGAATTGAGGTTGCACACTGATTTTTACACCGAAAAGCCAAACGGAGCTGGCCACCCAGGGCCCAGGGAGACCAGCCTTCCTCAGCTATGCTTGCCGAAACCAGCATGATGCTTCAAAGAGCCCTGCTCCGCCCCTCATGGCATGGATCCTTTTCCTGGCATGGACTCTGAAGGGTCAGTCTTTGGGGAAGAGAGGTGGGGTGGGGCTACCAGCATCCCCATTTAGAAAATAGAGGAGTTTGTAGCCAGCAGCCTGTAAACTGGAAACACTGGTCTCAGCCAACCTCCTCAGGGCGCCCTGGCTTCTCCCCAAGGAGATGAGGAGCGGTGATGCCAGCACTGGGATGCGCAGAGCACTGGAAGGGCTGGTGTAGACCTACTTCCCATGCAGAAGAGAAGTCAGATCTTCCAGGGAATCGCAATGTTGTGGCGTCCGACTTGTATGTCACATTTGTGTAAAATGGTATATTCTTTAAAATAGTGTTGATAACTGGAATATTGTATGTATGCTTGGAGATGCTTTGTGTGAACCTAAGACTGTCACTCAACAGATGTTGGATTGAGGAAAATCCAAAGCACAACTTCAAAATAAAATACATTTTTAGGTTTCAGTGCTGCAGTTCATATCCCTTCTCTCCTCTCTAAAATCTCTGATTCAGGACTCCCCCTGTCCAGGAGGGATTTTGATTCGTCTGTGCCGACAGAGCCCTACCTGGCAACAGAGACAGCAACGAGACGGTCTTACAGCCAGCCACCTTCTCCTTCCCCACCGAGGCACAGCACACTTGCATTTAGAATGGGAAGTTTTTCGCCAGCATTTCTATTTAGCCTATATGTGGATTCTCGTAGGTTTTGTGGAGAGTCTTCCAGCTTACCGTTGAGCCACCTGTTGCCATGAGAACCACTTCCTTCACAGAATCCACCTTCCCTGTTTTCAATAAGGACTGTTCTCATTTCTGTGTCTAGTCAGATTTCCCCACTTCAGGGAGTGGGGCCTAAGAAGTTGCTTAGAAACTTGGCAAGATACAACTGAGGATGGCCAGAGGTTCTCTTTCTTCCACAACCAATGCCCTGAGTCATTCTGTCCTTGGCAGCCCCCTGCCTCTGGAAGAAAAGCTGACCAATATGCTTTGCTGTTGCTGGGAGTGGGGGACACAGGTGATGTTTTTCTTCTACAGATTGTGAGTCTAGCAGACCTTAAAGTTAAAAGGGTGAAGTTATTCAAAGGTAACAACTTCAAACAAACCCTAATGCTCCTAGGGCCCACACTTACTTGTAACAGGCTGTTATAATACCAGATGCCCCTGGGGATGGATCAGCCTCTCCAAGTGGGTACCCTGTGTTCAGTGGCAATGCAAGGAATCCTACCCCCAGCTCTAGACAGGACACTTCACAACCCTTATTAGGTCGATCACTCCCATCTGTTATTAGTAAATCTTACTCAGCTCTGCCATGTCCTTTCAACCTACTGTCTCTTCCCTTCCCGTTTTCAAGGAAAAGCTACATCTTGAGCATCTCTTGCTGGGCCCTTTGCCTCAGGTAAGTCAAGGCCAAGGTTGCTATGCCGCCCTGTGATAGCAGTGAGTTCTCACTCCCTGAGTGCAGGGAGAATGGGGATGACCGGGAGCACCCCATAATAATTGTGACATGGAGCCAGTTCGTAGGCCGTGAGCAGGGGACAAAAAGCCCCTTTTCAGAGGGTCCTGAGGCAAAGGCAGGCTGTGCTTTTTAGGTCTTCTTTATCCATATGTGGTCCTCTTTATCTCGTATGTCCTGATGGGGGCTGGATGGAAACTAGTGGCAATGACACTCAAAACACAAGCCCATCCCATCTAGATCAGAAACCAAAAATGGAGACCAGATGTATGTGAATTTAGGAAACAGTCTTTTAAGATTATCTAATCTAAATGTTCATATCAAACTTGTCCAACATGCAGCCCAACACAAATTCATAAACTTTCTTAAAACGAAATTTTTTTTGCAATTTTTTTCTTTTAGTTCATCAGCTATCATTAATGTTAGTGTATTTTACGTGTGGCCCAAGTCCGTTCTTCCAGTGTGGCTCAGAGAAGCCAAAAGACTGGAGAGCCCTGGTTTAAATTCATAGGTATATGATGTTTCCTTTTACTCACGAGTTAGCAACCATGGTATATTAGATATACCAAAGACACTCATTTAGTCAATCAGCAAACATTAAGCCTCTTTCTGTGCAAGCACTGACATACAGTATTGAACAGAAAAAAAACAGGTAATGGAGCTTTCTAATCAGGGATGACGTAAAGCAAAATAAGTATCACTCTGAAAATGAAACTGTAATAGGAGTTGTTCAGGAAATGAAGAATTCTGCTTGATCTGGCAAGGCTTAAATGACTGGTAGACATCTAAGTGGAAATATCAGGTAGACGCTTGGATGTATGAATCTGGAGTTTTGAGGAGAGATAATGCCTAAAAACCTATTAGAAGCTATTACATTATAGATTTATTCAAACCCAGATTCCTGGGAAGAACATGGAGATTGGAAAAAGAGAAGGTCCTGATCATTAGAAATGCAGCAGAGGTGCTGGGCACGGTGGCTCATGCCAGTAATCCCAGCACTTTGGGAGGCCAAGGCAGGCCGATCACTTGAGGTCAGGAGTTCGAGACCAGCCTGACCAACATGGAGAAACCCCATCTCTACTAAAAATACAAAAACATTAGCCAGGTGTGGTGGTGAGTGCCTGTAATCTCAGCTACTTGAGAGGCTGAGGCAGGAGAATTGCTTGAACCTGGGAGGCAGAGGTTGCAGTGAGTTGAGATCGTGCCATTGCACTCCAGCCTCGGCAATAAGAGCGAAACTCAATCTCAAGAAATAAAAGAAAATGCAGCAGAGGAAGGGGGCCAGTGAAGAAGGTGGAATGAGCAAGTAGCAATGAGGTAGGTGGTTGGGAGAGCACAAGGTCACAGACAGCAGGAGATGGCAATGCTTCAACAAAGCGGGGAATCTGCTGTTGAATGCCAGTGGGGTAAGGTGAGGCTGGCGTAGAAAGGGAATCTGGTGATCTAGACAAGAGCATTTTCAGCGGACAGGGAGTGAGTACAACTGGAGCGGACTAGGCGGCAAATGGGAAGGTAAGAAGAGGCAGTAACTCGACAGCTCATTGAATGGGGAGCGTGGAGAGACAAGGGTAATTCAGACAGCACAGAGGCGCATTTCCTCCGTGGGGTGGGCAGGATGCAGTAGAACGGAAACAATGAACGTGCAGGAGAGGAGAAGGGGAGCTACAGGGCACAAGCGGGAGGGTCAGCCATGGCCACTAGAAGAGGCTCAAGAAGAGGCACTTCCTGCTGTCACGTGGGAGGGAAGGCCGGTGTGTGCAGACACAGGGCAGGCAGTGGATGTGGGAGAGGAAATGAGGGAACTCCCTTCTGATTGCTTCTTTTATCTCAGCAAGGTTTAAGACAAAGTCCCTAGCTGACAGTGTGGGAGGGAATGGTGTGGAGGAGGTTTGAAGAGTGAGGACAATGAGTGAAACACTTGCTTTTCCTCGAAGAGAGGCGATGCTGGCACAGGCGCCGACTTCCTTCAGTGGCCTGGATGCTGCCCCACAGTTTGTCCCAGTGCTTGGGGCCATGGCAGCAGGCCTGGCGGCAGTGTTTGACCCTCCTTCCACATGCAAAGCTCTTGGCCAGAGCTGACTCCTGAAGGTGACAAGGAGCCGGGCTCCGAGATCTCATCGCTCAGCCCTTCACCCTTGTGACTGAGCATAGCAAACACACATTGCCTGGCAATGCCCTCAGCCTCTTCCATATACACCCCCACCAGCACCCTAGTCCCTCCCCTTTAAGGCACTGGGCAGGCCCTGTAGGGGCATCAAAAACAACTAATACCATTTCAGGTCAGACCAGGTGCCAGGAGCTTCATCTCATTTTGCTTTCAAACCAGCCCTGTGAGGAACGTTGAGTGACTTGCTCAGGGTCACCGTCAGTAGTGGTAGAGTCTGAACCCATAGCTCCACTGTGTTGGAGCTAGCCCCTGCCCTTCCCACTATACATTCAGCCTCTTTGTAGACGTCACAAGAGATTTTCTTTCTGGCAGCTGCTGTCAAGAGCCACCCTCTTCCACCTCTGGTCCTTGCACTACGCTTAGATTGCCACTTCTGTTTCTAGGGCTCCTCAGAGCCGCTTGGGAACATGTGGTAGAGGCTTGTACAGACTTCCTCTTCCCTCTGGAGCCCACCAGCCCCCTGCACCTTCCCGAGTGAAACTGGCTGTGCTGCCTGGCTGGGACACAGACAAGACATTGCTTCACTTTGTCCACACAGAGGATGTGACCTCACAGAGGATGCTCAAGGAAACTTGATCTGTCACGGCACATGGCTCCAAGCCACCTCTGCCTCTCTCCCTTTTCTCAGCCTCAGTCTGGCTCTTCTTGTGCTTCTGTGCCTCGGCACATGTGCCCACAGCCTGGAATTCCATTCCCCCAGCCCCGTCTCCTCTGCCTAACTCCCCTCTTTCTAGAGTCTGGTCGAGCAACCCTTCTAGCAAGCACTTCTTGATCATCTTCCTCCCCGCTGCCTGCCTGCCACTCATAGCATCTGCCATGCTGTCCTGGACCTCCAGGCTCCTGGTGGGATGCCCAGCCTTTGCATCCTTAGCACACAGTGCCTGCCTCATAGTAGGTGCTAGACACATGTTAGTTGCCTTTGAATGTGCTAAATATACACTGGGAAAGAGATTGCTGGGGAGAGGAAAGTGAGAGTGCTAGTGAGGACCCAGCAGGTTCATCAGGGAAAAAAGTGGGTAAACATTATGGATCGTCTAGGTTCTGTAGCAAACCTCAGTGCTCTAAGGCCGAAAAGGTTGCTTTCTCACCAAAGCCAAATGTCCTTTGTGGACCAGCAGGGGTACTCTGTTCAGAACAGTCACTCAGGGACCCAGACTAACAGAATCACACTGCCAGAAAGCAGAGCTCTGGGAGGGTCTTGCATCAGGAACTAAATGCTTTGGTGGGGAACTCACGTGCTCCCCCATCACAAGGTAACTAGGATGTGAAGTTGTCCCGTGTGCCGGCAGGCAGAAAGCTGTGACGGCTGGGTAGAACACCAGGATCTCGGGCACCTTCCTCCTGGTTCTGTTATGAGAAGCTACAGCAATGCCTTCAGTTGCCGGTGTTATGGGCAGGTCTCTCTTTCTGGGCACTAGGAAGTTCTCAGCTCTGCTGCTGTTCTGTGTCACTGTGGGAGGAGCAGGGCTGGCAGAGGAAACCACCAGGTGTGGCCATGGGAAAGTCCCTCCGACGTTCTAAAGAAACATGGAATTTCCTGGTTTTAACCATTTTACTTCCAACCTGCCATCTCAGAGCTGACCAGAGCAGCACAGACCCCTCCAGCCTCCTAGGACATTTGATTTGGGGCATCGAGTCCTGGCTGGGAAGTTGGCACCTGAGTTCCAGTCCCAGCAGTCTCTGAAGAGCATGAGTAAATTATTGAAGTGTGTGGACCTCTATGCCTTCAATGCCTGTCTGTAAAATGCTTTCTAGGGTCCCAAACACTTCCAAATACATTCATGCCATCCAGTCAACCCATGGAGTAGCTGTTCCACTCCTCCTCTTGCTCCTTAATTTCAGCGTTCTCTGCTCCAGCCCCAGACCCCAGCCCCTGCTGGCTGGCTCCAGCCTCAGCGGGGAAAACCTGACCTCTTCATTCATGCTGAGTAAGCTGGCTGGGAGGGGCTGCGTGCTGTGCTCAGGTCACACTGGAGGGCATCAGCTGGGTCCCTGCACTTGCTCTTGGACCTCTGCAGTCCTCCTGGGAAGGTGAGTCAGATCCAACTTCTAGGACTGGATCGGCATAGCTCCCAGACCTCCTTGGGGCTCCTGGGTGTGGGAGCGTGGACTTCCCAGGCAGCTTTCCACTTAGTTAACTTGCCCAACCTGCTCTGTCGACTCTGGGCAGAGCCCTGCCTGAACTTCCCTGCTCCAGCGAACTGTGGGAGATGCCAAAACAGCACCCGGCTGCCCACCACAATTACCAGAAGGGCCCCAGTTCCTGGCTTCTCTGTGGCTCAGACTCTGGTCCTATCGCCTACACTTGGGAACTCTGTGCATCCTCTTTCTCCTTTCTGCTGAGGTGGTGGCTGCACTGAGTTGCCTCTGTCTCTTTAAGAGAGAAAGAGAGAGCAAGAGACGGAAATCAGGAAGTATAAGAGAGCCGAGAGCCAGGACTCAGGACTGAGCTTGGTTTTTCACCGCCACAGGGAGGCAGGGAAGAAACCCGCTAGTCCCAGCTCCTGCGGTGGCACAGGCCATCGCAACTGGCCCTGTCTGTGGGTCCTAGGGGCCCTTGGCCACCAGGAGGCTAAGAATACTGCCCATGAATGACAGCAAGCCCTGAGGGCTCTGGGGGTGCCACCCAGTTCCACAAGCCTGCATCCCCTGCAGTGGAGATGGGGTGAGTGTGCATCGTGTGGAGGGAGCGGGGTGGAATGAGGAGGGCAGGCAAGGGGCAGCTGCAGGGCAGCTCAGCCGGGCACAGGGGTTTGGGCAGGCTGGCAGCAGTGCTCTCATATAGAGGGTTGTGTGTGGCATAGAGGTGAGCCACCTTGGGCCAACCACAAGCCCTCCCTGGGCTCCGCTTACCAACACCCGAAGCCAGCGATCAGCTCCCAGTGTCTGCCCTCACCTTTCCCAGGATCCTTCTCCCTGACAGGAATCTCAGGAGTAGGAGATGCCAGGAAAGTCTCCCTGAACAGTTTGGGGATAAAGCTGGAAAACCCCAGCCCTGTGAGGGAAGTGATAAACAGGAAAGGGTTAAAGGGCTAGGGCCAGTGGCCTTTGATGGAGGCTGAGAAGCAGCTGCACTGAGGGGCGCCTCTCATCCGCCCTCCTCTTTCCGGTGTAGCTCTGTGCCTGGACGTGCCACAGACAGAAAACACAACACACGCTTGCCAGGAAGAGCCTTTGCCTGACTCAGGGCGGCTCAGAGTGTGGGGTAAGTGCATTTGGCCACGGCAGAGCCCTGAGGAGAGAGGGGAGGGGTGTGTGGGTTGGTGTCGGCTCACATGCTTCACTGTCCACTGCTCATTCATCCAACCCCTAGCTGAGGGCCACTGAGCCCTTCTAAGCACCAGGTGCACGGGGTGGTACTGGGAAGAGGCCAAGCGTGCAGAGTTGAGCCAGATGTGTCACAACCAGAGCTTGCAGGCACAGAACCCAGGGGCACGCCGCCTGTCCTTTGCACCTCACTGCCTATTACCCCAGAGTCTTCAGCTGTTCCTCGCCCCAGTATCAGAGCCCTTAGCCTTGATTTCAGCATGCTCTGCTCCAGCCCCAGCCCCCAGCCCTGCTGGCTGGCTAAAGCCTTGGAGGGGAAAACCGGACCCCCTATTTCATGCTGAGCTACTGGAAGCCTATCAGTACCTCATTTGCTTCTGTGTAAGATACACTCCGACTTGGCCTGAAACTAGGAGTAGACCACCAATCTCTTCAAGGGGCCTCTGGATCAATGAACTGACATTCTCAAGGATTTGCTTTTTTTTTTAAATTTGTTTCTTTTTTCTTGTTGATTTGTATTTTTAAAAAAGATTACACAGGCTGGGCATGGTGGCTCACCCCTGTAATCCCAGCACTTTGGGAGGCCGAGGCGGGAGGATCACAAGGTCAGAAGATCAAGACCAACTGGCTAACATGGTGAAACCCTGTCTCTACTAAAAATACAAAAATTAGCTGGGTGTGGTGGCACGTGCTTGTAGTCCCAGCTACTCAGGAGGGTGAGGCAGGAGAATCACTTGAACCTGGGAGGCAGAAGTTGCAGCGAGGCAAAATCACACCACTGCACTCTAGACGGGTGACAGAGAGAGACTCTGTCTTAAAAAAGAAAGAAAAAATAAGATTACACAAAGTAAAGTTTCACAGGGAAGGAATGTAGGATTCCAGGCATGACAGCCCTCAGTTTGAGAACTCTAGGTCGTTATAGGTCTACAGAATGTTAGAACAAGAAGACACCTTTTCTAGTCTAGCATTATTTACAAGTACTTAAGTGGCTGGGCATGGTGGCTCACACCTGTAATCCCAGCACTTTTTGGGGGGGCCAGTGTGGGCAGATTGCTTGAGCTCAGGAGTTCAAGACCAGCCCGGGCAACATGGCAAAAACCCATCTCATCTCTACAAAAAATAGAAAAATCAGCCAGGTGTGGTGGCACATGCCTATGGTCCTAGCTACTCAGAAGGCTGAGCTGGGAGGATTGCTTGAGCCCAGGGGGTGGAGGTTGCAGAGAGCCATGATTGCACTACTGCAATCCAGCCTGGGTGACATGTCGAGAGACCTTATCTCAAAAACAAACAAACAAACAAACAAACAAAGGAAGTATTTAAAGGATGGTGGCCCTTCTAATGCTTCTGTCCCCAGGTATCCCAAAAAGGCCAGCCCTGGCCTTATTTTTCAGAGAGAAATTGAGTGTAACTTCTGAGGCTATACTTTCTGATACTAACTGCTGTGGGAGAATCAGGGTTTGGAGAAAAGATGAGGACAAACATGAGAAGCAGAGTTGTAGGGGGTCCAGCCTCTCCCAGCGGCCGAGCGATGAAGTTCCCTCCCCAATACCCTGCTCTCACACACACCCTCACACCCACACCCACACCTTCCTCCCCAACACACACAGGCACACACACGCACACTCACACCCACACCCACACCTTCCTCCCCAACACACATGCATGCACACTTACACACACAGGCACTCACACCTTCCTCCCTAATCCCCAACACACGCACATGCACACACATGAACACACACACACACACTCACTCTGAAGCAGCCCTGTCCCTCTTGGAGCAGCAGCAGGAAGTGATGGGCCTGGCAGGCAGGCCCTGTGTGGGCTGGGGGAGTGGTTCCAGGCTCATGTTGCAATCCTGGAGATTTGTTGTGGTGTGAGAGATGCTGCCTGACCCAGGGCCCTTCCTCCTATACTGTTTCTGCTTTCTGGGACAATCACAAGCCTGGATGCCAGAACTCCAGAATCCTCAGGGCTGGGGAGAGGTGACAAAGACAAGAGGTTTGTCTCTGCAGAATGACCTGCCTGGGGAGGGGCCCCGAGGGGACCTGGGGAGCCAGGACAGGCAGAAGGCCAGGCCCCTCAGGTGGAACAGGTGCAGCTGTGGGCTGAGGGCTCAGTGGGGGCTCGCTTGTGCTGTGTGTCCTTATAGGGAAGTTACTTAACCTTTCTGTGCTTCACACGTCCCCCGCTCCCTTGCGTGTGGAATTTCTACATGGAGCCCTTCTTAGGGTGGTCTTGGGGGACAGTTACAGTCAGGCCACCTGTGGCCACCCCACACCAGGAATGGAATCCGGGGCCCCAGCATGCTCTTTTTCTAGGCGGAAGGTGACCAGCCAGGCCAGGGCAGGAGATGCAGAGCACCGCCAATTACCTGTGGCACACAGATGACCTGCTGGGGCAGGGGGCCACTGCCAGTGTGTACAAGGCCCGCAACAAGGTAGGGAGCAGCCCCGGCCAGGCCCTGCCCAGCCCAGCCTTGGCCCAGTCAGCGCCCCGTGGGCCTCGAGGGTGGTGGGACAGGGACCTCTGGGCGCTGTGCGGCACACTCACACGGTGGGTTGAGCAGAGAATGGGGAGCTGAAAACGGCTCCCTAAGGAGGGGAAGAGAAAGATGAAGTCACAAGACACACATCTGAGGGAGGTAACAGCAAATGGGATCTAGGAATAGCAGGGGGGTAATTAAGCCTTGTTTGGATTTATCCTGTGGGAATATATGAGATGATACCCACTCTGCCTTACTTAAGAGTGGGAGCCAGACACACCAGGTTCTAATCCCTTCCCTGCTGCTCGCTTCCCCAAGGAGTGCTAGCTGCCCCTGGTGATTGTCAATAGGGATTGTAGTAATAACGACGAGCCGTCCCCTGCAGGAGGTCAGGGTGCCTCGTCACCTCCCAGTGCTGGACTGTCTACCCTTTGAGAGGGGAAGGAGGTGTGGGTGGGAGCCGCCTCCATCCAACCAGGTTCATCTCTGGGGTTGGGTTGGCCAGAGAGGCTGAATGGAGGCCCAGGAGAGGTTGGCTGCTGCCCTGCGGGAGTGGGACTTGCCCTAATCCCCGTGCTGTCTCCCACTGCTCCCTCCCCAATGGCAGAAATCCGGGGAGCTAGTTGCTGTGAAGGTCTTCAATACCGTCAGCTACCTGCGGCCCCGAGAGGTGCAGGTGAGGGAGTTTGAGGTCCTGCGGAAGCTGAACCACCAGAACATCGTCAAGCTCTTTGCAGTGGAGGAGACGGTGGGTCTGGTGCTTGGTCAGAGGATGGTCTTGTCCTTTACCCTTATGGTCTGAGGAGTGTCAGGCCACACGATAGCAGAGACTTGGTCCCATGCTCGTCAGTAGGTCAGGCAGAGCAGGCAGACTGCCGAAGGAAGCAAAAGATGCACGGGGCTGGAGGCAGTGCACAGGAATGGAGTGATGGACAGAATCAGTGCCTAAGCAGAGAGGGCTTCTTGGAAGAGGTGACTGTGTATTCAGGTGTGTGGGATCACTATGAGGCCACGGAGCAAAGGCCACGCCAGAAGCTGAGACCTGGAGAGTGGGGGCTTTGAGCTCTAGGCTGAGCCACTTCTTTCTAGTGAGTGGGGAGGAGAAGTGCCGTCCTCCCGAGCCCCTCTCTGTCCCACCACAGGGGGGCAGCCGGCAGAAGGTGCTGGTGATGGAATACTGCTCCAGTGGGAGCCTGCTGAGCATGCTGGAGAGCCCGGAGAATGCCTTCGGGCTGCCGGAGGATGAATTCCTGGTGGTGCTGCGCTGTGTGGGTGAGCCCCTCCCCTCCCTGCCTCCCCTCTAGACCAGCAACAGGCCTGCGACAGATGCTCATGGGCAGGACACAGGCATCTGACTCCTGCTAATCATTCCATTTAAAATTCCAACTTAAAAATTCAATCTAAAAAAGAACACAGTGTTCATAGCAGCATTATTTACAATAGCCGAAAGGTGGAAATAGCCTAACTGTGTAAAAAAAAAAAAGGTGGGAAGAACCTAAAACAGAATATTATTCAGTCTTCAGAGGAAAGAAGTTCTGACACCTGCCACAGCATGGATGGACCTTGATGCCATTGTGCTAAGTGAAAAAAGCCAGACACAAAAGGACAAATAACTGTGTGATTCCGCTCATGCAGTCACAGGGACAGAAAGTACAATGGTGGTTGCCGGGGGCTGGGGGCAGAGAAGAATGGGGTTGTTTAATGAGCACGGTTTCAATTTTGGAGAATGAGGCCAGGTGCAGTGGCTCATGCCTGTAATCCCAGAACTTTGGGAGACCAAGGTGGGCGGATCATTTGAAGTCAGGGTTTTGAGACCAGCCCGGCCAACGTGGTAAAACTCTGCCTCTACTAAAAAAATACAAAACTTAGCCAGGTGTGGTGGTGCATGCCTGTAGTCCTAGCTACTTGGTAAGCTGAGGCGTGAGAATGGATTGAACCTGGGAGGCAGAGGTTGCAGTGAGCCGAGATCAGGCCACTGCACTCCAGCCTAGGTGACAGAGTGAGACTCTGCCCCCGCCAAAAAAAGGAAGAAAGTGGAGGATGAGAAAAGTTCTAAGATGGATGGTGTGTTGGTCACACAGCAGCATGGCTGTGCTTAGCACCACCAAGCTGTACACTTAACATTGATTGAAATGGGAAATTTGGTTATGCATATTTTACCACAATTAAATACATAATAAAATGAGGTAATAGACAGAGGGGTGCCACCCTTGGGGAGGCAGAGCCACCATCCCTCTCAGTTTCCTAGAGAATCCAGATGGCACCTCCATACCCTAGTGTCCTTGGAACGCCCTCCTCAGCCATGCCCATCTCTGCCCTTCTGCTTGTCCCACGGCTCTGTCAGCCCATGGGACCTGCTGTCTCTCTAAACGAAAGGACACCCTTCCCACCAAGATGAGCCTCAGACACTAGACTGTCCCCGGCCAGAGCCAGCTAGTGCCCCCCCCCCCCGCCGTCTGTCCCCAGTGGCAGGCATGAACCACCTGCGGGAGAACGGCATTGTGCATCGCGACATCAAGCCTGGGAACATCATGCGGCTCATGGGGGAGGAGGGGCAGAGCATCTACAAGCTGACCGACTTCGGGGCCGCCCGGGAGCTGGATGATGATGAGAAGTTCGTCTCGGTCTATGGGACTGAGGAGTACCTGGTGGGTGAGCTGCTGGGGACCCGCTGCCCCACGCTGAGGGCTCTTGTTGCCCTGTGAACCCCTCAGAGCCCCCATGTGAGGGCCTGGCCACCTCCTGCTTCCAACAGGGTTATGTCTCTCCCCTGTCCCCCAACCAGAAGAATGCATTCTGTTCTCTATGATGGAAAAGGCAAGGCTGCAGCCTGGCCAGGCCACCCGGGCTTGTGCAATTAACTCCTTGCCGGACACTGGGGAAGATGGGGCGTGCAGGTCTCCACCTTCCCCAGGGCACAGGGTGGGCCGATGGAAACGCTCTGGGTAGGGTGAACGCAACACCTGTTTTTAAGATGACAAAGGAGAAGGATTTGAACAGTTCTGTTTTCACCTGCAGGTGGTGGAAGGTGGTGTGACGGGTCTCAGGCCCTTGCCAGCCCTCCCCCTCCATGACCACATTCTGGTCCTCTCTGCCAGCACCCGGACATGTATGAGCGGGCAGTGCTTCGAAAGCCCCAGCAAAAAGCATTCGGGGTGACTGTGGATCTCTGGAGCATTGGCGTGACCCTGTACCATGCAGCCACCGGCAGCCTGCCCTTTATTCCCTTTGGTGGGCCACGTCGGAACAAGGAGATCATGTACGTCAACTGCGGGGCAGGGAAGTGGGGTGGATTGGCAGTCACCTGGCTCTTCCTCACCGGTCCCTGCTGTGTCTCCTGGCCCCCTCACAGTCCATGGCCCCCCTCTGGTCCACCCCCGCCCAGGCTCTTTATAGATCTTTTTTTTGTTAATTGGATCAGACAAGCAGCTGAGCTCTGCCCAGGCTGACGGGAGTCTGCCAATACTCCCCGTCTTAGTTCAGTGCTTCGCTGTAGCCTCTGCTCACTGCTCTCCTCTTCTCAACTGAGGCTCAAAGAGCGACTTGCCCATGGTGGCAGAGCCTGCCAGGGGTAGAGGTGGCCGCTTCCTGTTCCCAGGTCCAAGGTCTCTCCATGGTTTCCTGCTGTCTGACAGGGAAGTAGCAAGTGGCTGGAGGCAGTATTGGCTCCCTCTAAGCTCACTGCCCAGAGCAGAGGAGGTGTCAGCTGGCGTAGCAGGAACATTGCTGCACCCCCACTCAGCCCAGGGGTCCCGCTGTATGGAACCTATATCAGGCCTGCAAAAGGGGAAGGAGACCAGTATGGACGGGGGCTGTCAGGGAAGGCTGGACTCTTGGAGGGAGAGAACGAGGAGGAGAGGATACTGGGTCCACACACAGCTTGGGCAAAGGTGTGGAGGCTGGCCAGGCTGGGGGAAGTATGGCGGGGGAGAGGCAGTGGACAGGGCACAGATGTCTCTACCTGAAGCAAAGAGCTCTGGGATGAATGCTGAGGCAAGGTGCTGTCATAGCTGAGAGCCAGGTGGCTCACATTCCCTCTCTCAGGCTACCTTGGGGTGGCTGGGTGACTTGAACCTGTGCTCCCAGCCCTTTGTGCTGAGTGTGCCATGCCTGGCAGTGTGATGGCTGGGAATCCCGCTGACCCAGTCTTGCTCCCCCAGGTACCGGATCACCACAGAGAAGCCAGCTGGGGCCATTGCTGGTACTCAGAGGCGGGAGAACGGTCCCTTGGAGTGGAGCTACACCCTCCCCATCACCTGCCAGCTGTCACTGTGAGTGGGACCCTACTGGGTGGGTGATGCTGGAGTCTGGGCTGGGTATCACTTCTCTCTGCTGAGTCAGGACTTCTGAGGCCTGTTCCAGCAGGTTCTAGGCATGCCGCGGGCTTGGGTACAGCACCTTCCCATCTGAATGCTGGAATGAGTTCTTCCAGCTCTTCCCCAACCCACCTTGCCCCACCGCCTTGGCCCTAGCTCTTCAGGACATTCTCCTAGAATGCCCCTATTGCCTGCTTATGGAGGACAAGTCTGGGCCTGACCCTGACAGTCTCCATGTCCTGGGAGGGCAGGGGGCTGCAGAGCCAGCTGGTACCCATCCTGGCCAACATCCTGGAGGTGGAGCAGGCCAAGTGCTGGGGCTTCGACCAGTTCTTTGCGGAGACCAGTGACATCCTGCAGCGAGTTGTCGTCCATGTCTTCTCCCTGTCCCAGGCAGTCCTGCACCACATCTACATCCATGCCCACAACACGTAAGCAGGGGCGAGGGAGGGAAGCAGTGAGAACCTTCTCTTCCCAAGCAGCATCTCCCAAAGTATGTTCTGAGGCGTGCGTACGTAGGAGCAGTTCTGGGTCCAAACGCAGTCTGGAAAAATACTAGTTCAACACAGTTAAAGCTAAACAGGTTTTCCTGCACGTACTTCAGAGAGCGAGCACCTTCTCTATGCTGATATGCATTACACATCTGAGAAGCGTGTGCACGGTGCATGTTGGCCACACATTCCTAAACGTACTGCTCATGGAACCCCTGATTCCTGAAGAATTTTAGGGAACAGGTAAATTTCAGTGGCAGTGTGACAGGAAGAGGTGCAGAGCCAGAGGCTGGGTATTGGGACTCCTGGGACCTGTTTCCATGCTGTCTCCATCCACTATAAGACAAGAGTTCACAACCTCTCCCCTTGGTCTCTCTACCCTTAATGAGTGAGAAAACCACCCACATCCCTCCATCTGCAAAACAGAGCCCTGTCTATGGGCAACACTTGGCTGGGGCTTAGGCTACCCTGGCCCCTCGTCCTGCCTGCTGACACCCCCTGCTCTCTGCCCCCACCACCGCTGTGTCTAGGATAGCCATTTTCCAGGAGGCTGTGCACAAGCAGACCAGCGTGGCCCCCCGGCACCAGGAGTACCTCTTTGAGGGTCACCTCTGTGTCCTCGAGCCCAGCATCTCAGCACAGCACATCGCCCACACAACAGCAAGCAGCCCTCTGACCCTCTTCAGCACAGCCATCCTCAAGGGGCTGGCCTTCAGGGATCGTGAGTAGAGCCACCTGGGCTGGATCTTCCTCCTCCCAGCTTTTTCCTCCGAGAGACAGGGGTTTGCAATCCAGGGCATGGGTTACTTTTCCTTGTGGGTGTTTCTTCGGGGCTATAGGGAGCCGGAGGCAGATGTGGGTTCTAATTAATTCTGCAGATGCCTCAGATGCCAGGTGACGTGGGCTGGTGGCTTGACCTCCCTGGGGCTTCCCAGCATCCTCAGAGCTGTGGAAAGAACTCCAGTGGAAACAGGGAGATCTGAATTTCATACAGTTTCCATAATCTCTGATTTGTGGGGAAGCCTTAGGCAGTTTGTGTTGTAAGAAGCGCAAATATGAGCTCGTGGAAAGAAGGGAAGGGGGTCAGGGGTCCAGAGCTTTGGCCTTTCCATAAATTCTCATAAAAGTGTCATTTCTTCTCATTTGAAGAATGCCAATTTTATCCTCCTTCTCTGAGGCTAGGAAGAGATATTAACCTCAAAACCTGTGGGCAAGAGGATAGTTTAGTTCATTTTCAGCCCGTGGACATGAGGATGTAGTTCTCAAAAGTGGCCACAAGGTGGCAGTGAGGGATCACAACCTTAAGTGTGGTTGAGGCTTGCAAGGTTCGGGGCTCAGGGTGAGTTTCGAAGCCTGAGGTGGGAGATGGGCAGTGAGGGGTGAGTGTGAGCTGGAAATAATGAAAGATGGGCTCTGAGTCCACCCAGCACCATAGAGGCAGGTCCCTCAGACAGGGTCTTTGTTTGCAGCTGCTCTGGATGTCCCCAAGTTCGTCCCCAAAGTGGACCTGCAGGCAGATTACAACACGGCCAAGGTGAGGGGCAGCCCCCAGGTGGCAGGGAGGAGTGTGGCCTAGGGAAGGAGGTGTGGGACCTGGTCCTGTGCACCTCTGTTTTAGGGCGTGTTGGGAGCCGGCTACCAGGCCCTGCGGCTGGCGCGGGCCCTGCTGGATGGGCAGGAGCTGATGTTGCAGGGGCTGCACCAGGTCTTGTGAGTACCATGAGGGCCGGGCACAGAGCAGGAGGTGGGCAGGAGGTGGCGGCCGGCAGGAGGGGAGGCAGGCACCCTGGGTCTCTGTCTGCATGCACGGTGCTCTGAGTCCCCTGATCAAAGCAGCTCTGATTCAGTCTCCCCTTGGACAGGGAGGTGCTCCAGGCCACATGCAGGCGGACTCTGGAGGTGGCGAGGACATCCCTCCTCTTCCTTAGCAGCAGCCTGGGCACTGAGAGGTGGGTGTCTGGCCCGGGCCAGCCGGGACCTCTCAACACTGCTCTGTCTGCTCCTCACTCTCGATACTTCCAACAATGCACCTCTCCTCTCCAACCCAGAGCTCCTGCCTTCTCTGCCCTACTAGAATACAGGGCACACCCATCCTATCCCTTCTCCCCACTCACCAAATAACAGCAATGGCTCCTCCTAAACCCAGTCCCTCACCTGCAGGAGAAGGGGCCCCTTGGGGCATGGACTCTCCAGGTACCAAGGTGGCTGCCCTTTCCCAGGAAGGGGCTTATATCCTGCCAAGTCCTTCTCTGAATGATTTAGAATAATCACCCTATGCCAAGTGCCAGCAGAACTCGGGAAGGACTCACACCTTGTTACACAGTCCCTGCATGTAACCGGGAATGGGAATCCAGTATTCTCCTGCCCCATCTCCTGCTTCCTCTGAGTCTTCAACTCACCCTTGCCTTCCTTGGGTTCCCTGCCCCAATCCTTGGAACCCCATTCCCTCCACTCCAGGCATATTAGGGAGGATGGGTTGGAAAAGGAGAGAGAGTAGGGAGGAGGAAGCCAAGTGGAAGCATCTAGAGATGGGGAATGTGGGAAGACTTCATTGGCCAGAGCATGGCTGAGAAGTGGGCATCGCACCCCAAATCCTGGAAGGCATGAGGCCATGGTATGGCTGAGGCAGGTGAGGAGTGGGAGCTCTGCAGCCTAGAGATGCCACTGGTGGCAGAAGTCTTTGGAGACAGAAGATCAGAGCCTGCCCATATATGCCGGAAGGCCCCATCCTCCCACCATCCCCCAGTCCTTGCCCTGAGGGAGCTCTAGGGAGTTTCCCAGCTGTGCGTTGACTTATGCAGCCCCATACGCCTTCTGCTTGGCAGCAGCAATGCAGATGATAGGGCAGCTTGGAGGTGGAGGAGCAGGGAGGGGGAAACAGAGCATCTCCAGATGACAGGGATGGAGTCTCCATCCAGGCTGAGCTCCCATCAAACGGTGACAGAGAGCAGGGTGCAGTCAGCAGAACTGCAAGTGACTCACCTTTGAGCAGGGCTCTGTCCAGGGCACAGAGGGGGTTCCAGGGTAGATGTGGCATTGTGTCATACAGAGAGGCCCATGCTTCCTCTGGAGCAGCTAGCCCTTCCTGGACATGTGAGGGCCGATGGGATTGTTGGGGAAGGGGAGACTAAAGATGGATAGAAGCAACCATGGAGGCCTTCCTGAAAGATGAGGTTTTAGGGCCAGAAGGAAGGAGACTACCTCAGGCAGGAAGGTCTGTGCAGAGACAGAGATTAGGGCTCTGTTCATGGGGAAAGGAGAGGTGCTGGGGAGGCTTACTGAAGCCACAGTCATGATGGCAGATACCCCAGAGTGAAGTCAGAGGGGACACAGGTGGGGGTAAAGAGGGGAGGGAAGAATGCATAGAGGCCCTGGAGGGGTCCAGCTAGAGGGAGGTTGGACCCCAATAAAACAAACAATAGAGAGGCATTGTGGATGCTTGATCTGGAAAAATGTGTTTGAGAAGCTTTCTGGGTGTGTCTGCCCACTTGCCCAGGTTGGACATGCATGAGGCAGGTGGAATGGCATACTGGCCTGGGTCTGGCATCCTGGCATTTGCTGGCTGCTGTTCCCATTTGGCTCTGCAGCCTCCTCCAAAGTGGCCTCCATGGTGTGTCTGTCGAGCACGGGTCAGACAAGCAGCTGCTTTGAAGCCCATTTCAGCCTCCTATCAAGGAGGAGGATGGGAAGCAAAGAGTTGAGAGCAGGCAAGCCAGAGGGCATGCGCAGCCTCTTCTCTTCATATGGGTGTGACTCCAGCCTGTTGTTACCTTCCCCTACCTGGGTCTCTGCGTCTTCATTTTCAAAACCAGAGGGTTGGATGATCTTGGAGGCCTCTCACATGTTGCAGTTCCATTCTTGCCTGGATATCCTCAGGCCTGTAGATTCTCCTAAGGTCTGAAGACACTAGCTCCGCCCCCAGTGGGACCAGGTATTTCCATTATCTGAATGTCACATTGGAGGAGGCCAGCACCTTTGCCCCACCTGGTGACTCGCCTCTGCCCCGGTGTGCTCCTCCTGCCTCAGGCTCCCCAGGACAGCTCCCTTGACAGAGCAACTTCTGCCTTTGTCCCAAAGCTCCCTGGCCCTCTTTGGCAGCTGCTGCCATCCGGAGGCACTGCTCAGGCAGCCAGGACTGACTTCAGGGATCCTAGGGCTTTCCCTAGCCCCATCGCCAGGCAAGACTTTGCAGGCAAGACTTTCTCTCTGAGGTCCCTTTTGATCCTTGTGAACACCTTATTAGGTCGCAGGAAGGAAATTCATCTTGTTTTATGGATGAAGAGCCTGAGGCCTGGTGAGCTGAAGGACTAATCCAGGATCATGCAGATAGCAAGTGTGGCTTCAGCACTAGGGCTTGACCCAGGTCTCTTGACTCCCTGTGGAGATGGGCTGGGTTAGCCTCACCCTCTTCTGCTGTCAAATATCCCATGCCAGCTGGGCACGGGGGCTTACGCCTGTAATCCCAGCACTTTGGGTGGCTAAGGTGGGCGGATCACGAGGTCAAGAGATAGAGACCATCCTAAGTTGGTGAAACCCCATCTCTACTAAAAAAATACAAACACTAGCCAGGCATACTGACACATGCCTGTAGTCCCAGCTGCTCAGGAGGCTGAAGCAGGAGAATCACTTGAACCCGAGAGATGGAGGTTGCAGTAAGCTGAGTTTGTGCCATTGCACTCCAGCCTGGTGACAGAGCAAGACGCCATCTCAAAAAAAAAAAAAAAAAAAAAAAATCCCATGCCTTAAAATCCATTTGTACACTCAGTAACGCCTTCAGCATCTGTGCACTGCAGAACTACTGTGTACTGAGCAGGTGGCTGGGCACTGGAGAGGCAGGAGGAGCAAGGCGGCAGCACCCCGTCTTCAAGGAGCCTGCAGTTCATTCCCGATTCTCTCCTCGCTCAGCTCCTCTCTCCTCCCCTGCTTCTCCATTCCCAAGCCAAAACACACAGGATGCTTGTAAAGCATCGTGACTGTTACTAAAAACGTGTATGCTAATGGTAGAAAGTTAGAAAACGGATAAGCAAAAATAAGAAAATTAAAATCCCGTATCTACTACCCAGAGATAGGTTATCACACCTTAGGAGTAAACATCCTTCTAGATATTTTTCTGCTGTGAGTAAACAATAACCAGCGTAAGAGTATAGCGTATCTGCTGTTTATAACCTGTTTTGGGATCACGTCCACTGTCCCACCTTCCGGACTCATCTAGAGCTTCCCCTCGAAGTTGTTTGTCCTTCTTTATCAGCATTTCCTGTAAACTGGGAGGTTTTAAAAAAAATTTTTTAGTATTTTACTTTCTTTCTTTTCTTTTTTTTCAAGACAGGGTCTCTATGTTGACCAGACTGGTCTTGAACACCTGGCCTAGTGATCCTCCCACCTCGGCCTTCCAAAGTGCTGGGATTACAGGCATGAGCCACCGTGCCATGCTTTTGTTTTTTACTTTTATTTATTTATTTATTTATTTATTTATTTATTTATTTATTTATTTGAGACAGAGTCTCACTATGTTGCCCAGGCTGAATTCAAACTCCTGGCCTCAAGCAGTCCTGAGACTTCTGCCTCCCAAAGTGCTGGGATTACAGGCGTGAACCACTGTGCCAGGCCTAAACTGGGAGGGCACAGGCTAGATGGATTCCAGCCAAATGTTTTTTGTGAGAATACATTCCGGCTGATGCCGGGTACTGCATGTTGACATAACCATTGGCTGGTGGCAGCCGGAGTCAGTTGTACAGTTGTATTTTCCTTGTAGAAGAAAGAAGCAGAGTGCTGTGGCCTTGTCACCGTGCAAATGGCCACCCCTTTGTCATTCATCATTGCTAGTAGTGCTGTGCCCTAGGGAACAGTTTCAGTGGGCCGCAGGGTGTCAATGCTCTCACCTCTGACACATCATTGCCTAGTAGTCTACCAAAGATATCTTTTTCCTCATCAGAAAGTTATTGGTTATCAAGAAATACAGATTCTACTGGACAGAAACTGAATTCTTTCCCTTTAGTTACAAATTTTCCTGGTAAGGAGATCATTAATAGCAGCCTTGCATCACGGGCCCATGAATTTTCATAGACTCAAGGTGTTACAATCTGCCTCAACCTTTATTCTTTGCAGTGCTCAACCATGTCACAACTTTGGGTGAGTGGGGCCCTCTTCAGGACGGTGCCTCTGTCCCAAACACAAAACTCCCCAGGGACCCGGAGAGCCAGCAAGGCTGTCCTGCAGATGCTGTGCCCAGCAGGTGCCCACAGAGCTCACTGCCTCCCACCTTGGCTGTTCCTAAGCCCCCAAATATGGCTTTTCTCCTTGCTTCTCTCAAGGTTCAGCAGCATGGCTGGAACACCTGAGATCCAGGAACTCAAGGCAGCCACAGAACTGAGGTCCAGGCTGCGGACTGTGAGTGAAGCTGGAGGGCAAGGGCTTAACAGGATCAGAGCTGGGGCCTGTGGTCCAGCCAGCCTGCCCATCTGTTCCCAGGCTGAAGACTCCATGGGGGTCTGCTTTTTTGCCCCACAGCTAGCTGAGGTCCTCTCCAGATGCTCCCAAAATATCATAGAGACCCAGGAGAGCCTGAGCAGCCTGCGCTTGGAGTTGGTGAAGAGCCGGGATCAGGTACATGAGGAAAGAAGGTCTGTGGGATTTTCCTTCTTTGTGGGGTGGGAGCGGGGGAGCGTGCGGCTCAAAAGGTCCAGGAGCCTTTAGCTTTTATAGACATCAGCTGGCATTCTCCTTTCTCTTGGCAAGAATGTAAGGGCATGGGGGCATGGAGGGAGATCCTGCAATGAACCTCCCCACCACCGCCGCCGCCCCAGACACCAGCCAGGAGAAAAGGATCTGGGGTCCTGCCCCCATCTGGGAGTTTGAGGAACGCCTTGGGAATCATAGCAGGTGCAACAATTCTGAATGAAAGAAGAGTTTAGCTCCCTTTCCCTGTGTCGGTCCTCTGCGTAGGTCCTCTCATGTACAGCATCTCGTTGAATCCTGAAAACAATAATAATGCTACGATAATGCCCTTTTATAAAATCAGCTATTTTTATTTTATTCTTTGAGACGGAGGCTCACTGTCACCCAGGCTGGAGTGCAGTGGCGCGATCTTGGCTCAGTGCCATCTCTGCCTCCCGGGTTCAAGCAATTCCTGTGCCTCAGCCTCCCGAGTAGCTGGAATTACAGGTGTGCACCACCACACCAGACTAATTCTTTTTTTTTTTTTTTTTTTTTTTTAGTAGAGACGGGGTTTCACCATATTGGCCAGGCTGGTCTTGAACTCCTGACCTCGTGATCTGCCTGCCTCAGCCTCCCAAAGTGCTGGGATTACAGGCATGAGCCACCACACCCAGCTGCTAAAGCCCTTTTTATAGAAGAAGAAGCCGAGTCAGTGAGGTTAACTTACCCAAGTCACAGCCAGTAAAAGACAAATGACAGAAGTGGCTTCAGGTCAGGTCTGTCCACCTCCAAAGCTGATGTTCTTGGCCTACACCAGTCAGGGATTCACAACCTTTAAAACGCCACTCTCCCTTTTAACAGACACGAAAAGCCCCACCCACCCCCAGCTGACCGTGTGGAGCTGCTGCCTCCCTTGCCACCTCTGACCAGGGAGAGGGTGGTGCCCAGAGCAGACCTCCTCCCATTCTCTTTGGTGCCTGTTGTAATCTGGGCCTATCTGCAACCATCATCCCATTCCCTCAATTCTAAATTCAAACAGCTCTGAACACCACAGGAGTTTTTCTTAACTGTTTTGGCCATAAAACCTGACCTAAACCGAATGAAGCTTTTTGTAGACTTTATTCCACTTAGAGTGAAGGTTCTTGTGGTTCTTTGGAGACGGGAATGTGTTTGATTAGAAGCTGTTGCCCTGCTCGGGGCGTTGCACAATACACTGGGCGGGTACCAGACTGCCTTTTAATATCAGAAGACAATCTTGAATTTGGAGTACATTTGGCCCCATGCCTTTTGGATGAAGGCTGAGAATCCGAGGCCCCGTCCTTTTGGATGAAGGCTGCGGATCCCAGACCCCAAGCCTTTTGGATGAAGGTTGAAGATCTGAGGCCCCGTCCTTTTGGATGAAGGCTGCGGATCCCAGACCCCATCCTTTTGGATGAAGGTTGAGGATCTGAGGCCCCGTCCTTTTGGATGAAGGCTGCAGATCCCAGACCCCAAGCCTTTTGGATGAAGGCTGAGGATCCCAGACCCCATCCTTTTGGATGAAGGTTGAGGACCTGAGGCCCCGTCCTTTTGGATGAAGGTTGAGGACCTGAGGCCCCGTCCTTTTGGATGAAGGTTGAGGACCTGAGGCCCCGTCCTTTTGGATGAAGGTTGAGGATCTGAGGCCCCGTCCTTTTGGATGAAGGTTGAGGACCTGAGGCCCCGTCCTTTTGGATGAAGGCTGCAGATCCCAGACCCCAAGCCTTTTGGATGAAGGCTGAGGATCCGAGGCCCCGTCCTTTTGGATGAAGGCAGTGGATCCGAGGCCCCGTCCTTTTGGATGAAGGCAGTGGATCCGAGGCCCCGTCCTTTTGGATGAAGGCTGAGGATCCGAGGCCCCGTCCTTTTGGATGAAGGCTGAGGATCCGAGGCCCCGTCCTTTTGGATGAAGGCTGAGGATCCGAGGCCCCGTCCTTTTGGATGAAGGCTGAGGATCCGAGGCCCCGTCCTTTCGGATGAAGGCAGTGGATCTGAGGCCCCATCCCAGCTACCTCATCTTCCACCCGCATGTTCCTGGCGGGCAAGCTCCTTCAACTGACAGAGCCCTGGAACGAGCTTGTGGTCTGTTCAGAGTCCAGCTCCAGAAATAGCAGAGATGGGGTCACTTGGAGGTGCTGCAGGGAGGAGGTGGAGCTACATAGGCCTGTGGGTAAGGAAGAACTTTCCGCACACACCACACTCCTGACTTCTCAAACAAAGTGTTTGTATCCAGCCTGAAAAGGGGAAGGAAGAAATAATAATGACCTTCAACCCCAGACGGAGAAGGTCCTTGGGAGAACATTTCCCTGGTTCTCCTGCCTCTGGGCAGGGCTGAGCCTGTTGATTCATTCTTGTTTTCAACAAGGATTATTGATTCATTATTTATGTTAAGTTTCTGCACTGTGCCAGGCATTGGGTAAACCAAGAAGCTATACTCTTCTGCTTTTTCCAGATGACCAGAGAGAGATTTCAGCTCCTCTCCATCCCCAGCTGTCACAGCCAGACATGCTCTTAGGTTTCAGGGGCCTAGGCTCCTTCCCCGGGCCTAGTGTCACAGCTTCTCGCGTAGTAAAGGCCGCGTGCCTGTTGCCTGTCCTGCTTGGCTTCCTGTCTCTCTTATCTCTTGTTTAACTCATGCTGTGAGTGCATGTGTGTGAGAGAGAGGGAGAGTAAGCCATGAGAATGAGAGATGGCCGGCTGATGGCAAGGTCTCAAATAAACCTGGAGACAAAACAGTCGCCTCCACTCCCAGATTGATCCCCCACAGTTGTGGCAGTGAGGCTCCTCCTGCAGGGAGACAGCTCCTCCCCCATTTCACTGCCACCCCTCCCCTCGCTTCCTCTTTGCTCTGTGCTGTTAGATTCTTCTAACACCTGCTCTCTGTCCCCTGACCAAAGCATCCAGCAGATTCAGTGCTGTGTGGACAAGATGAACCTCATCTACAAACAGTTCAAGAAGTCTAGGATGAGGCCAGGTGAGCCCGGGAGGGCAGGATGCCCCCACTCTCTCCTGTCTCCCTTCTTTCTTCCTTTTCTCTGGTTAGTCATTGCTACTCCAGCTGGTATTGCTGGAAGCCCGCTAAGTGGATGGTTCTGCTCAGCTGGTCCAGGGCAGGGACCGTGTCTGCAAGCTGCCTGCAGGCCAGTGGGGGATGTGAAACCTTCACACACCTGCCTGGTGCCACGTGAGAGGCTTGGATCACATGAGTGGGGGATGCAGTGGGCTGGGGCCTGGGTGCTCTAGAAGAAGTTGCCCTGGAAAGAGATCCCTCACGTTGGCAGGGCACTTTAAAATATAGTGTCCCTAACCACGGTGTCCTTGGGAAAAGTGGGGAATCAGGAGAGGTGCCATTTTGAGTCACTGAGCCAGGGATTTTGGCTGCATGATTCCTTCATTCTCACAAGGACACTGTGGCAGGGGCTTGGAAGTGAGAAGCTGCTTCGAGAAAGTGACTGTCATTGTGGGGTAGTGCAAGGGCGGAACCCAGGGAGGGCCAGTGATGGGGACTGGAGCGAGCCTGTGGAGGACCCGGTTGACTCTTAGGTTGAAGAACAAACACACTGGGAACCAAACCCCCCTCTCCCCTCCCAGGCCCCAAGCATTTCCTAATCCGTAGACTGAAGTTCTTGGGCTTGATTGTCAAATTCTCTTCTCTCCTTGGGATTATCTAAAAACCACTGTCCACTAGAAATAGAACGCCAGCCACACAGGTAATTCTAAGTCTTCTAGCAGCCAATTTTTAAAAAGTAGAAGGAAACAAGTGGAACTAATTCTAATGTGTTATTCAACCCAATATATCCAGTGTCATTTTAGCATGTAATCAATATAAACAAAATCACTACAGAAATACTTTGTGTTCTTTTTGTGTGGCGTCTTCCAAATCCCATGTGTATATATACACATAAATACATCAATTATTTCCTTAGCGATCTGTTCATAATGATTACATGCTAATATATATATTCGAGACAGGGCCTTTCTCTGTCGCCCAGGCTGGAATACAATAGCAGGATCACTACTGCTCACTGTCACCTCAACCTCCTGTGCTCAAGCCACCCTCCCACCTCAGCCTCCTGACTAGCTGGGACTACAGGATGCTTTCCCATTGCTTTCTTTTATTTTTTACTTTACTTATGTTTTTTAGACAGAATCTCACTCTTGTCGCCCAGGCTGGAGTACAATGGCGTGATCCTGGCTCACCGCAACCTCTGCCTCCAGGGTTTAAGTGATTCTCCAGCCTCAGCCTCCCAGGTAGTTGGGATTACAGGCGTGCACCACCTTGCCCAGTTAATTTTGTATTTGTAGTAGAGATGGGGTTTCTCCATGTTGGTCAGGCTGGTTTTGAACTCCTAACCTCAGGTGATCTGCCTCCCTCAGCCTCCCAAAGTGCTGGGATTACAGGAGTGAACCACCACAACCAGCCTGCTTTATTGTTTTATATTTCTTTTTGGCAAAAATTTAGTTTCCCAATTGAGATGTGTTATAAATATGTGTGTGAATACACGTACACACACATATACATATACATATACATGTACATGTACATGTACATGAGGCTGGGTGTAGTGGCTCATGCCTGAATCCCAGCACTTGGGCCCAGGAATTCAAGACCAGCCTGGGCAACACAGCAATACCCTGTCTCTACAAAAAATAAACAAAACTAGCTGGATGTGGGCACGTGACTGTAGTCCCTTGGGAGGCTGAGGTGGGAGGATCACTTGAGCCTGGGAGCTGGGAGTTTGAGGCTGCAGTGAGCTGAGATGACACCATGGCAGGACTCCAGCCAGGGCAACAGAGCCAGACCCTGTCTCGAACAACAACAACAATGACACCTCTAGGCATCGTTACCCTCCCCATTTTATAGATGAGAAAACCAAGGCACAGAAAGGTTAAGTAGCCCAAGTAATCTAGGTCCAACTGCTCTTAACCATCCCATTTTACAGCCTCAAAGGAGTTTTCCTTCTATTGGTCTTTCAGAGTCCTTTATTAAAATTAAAAATGAACCCCTAACTGTTAAAACCCTGTGTGTTGAAAGATACCATCTTTTAAAATGCCTAGTGGTCTTCAGGGCACTGTCTTGCTGAGCCTCATGGGACTCCCAGGTGGCACCCGTGATGGTTGAGGAGACAGGCTGAGCCAGGTGAAATCACTCGCCTAGCGCCACCTGCCAACAGGAGGAAGGGTTGAGGTTTGTCCTAGGCCTCTCGGACTGCACACATGCTCTCAGCTGGCCGGGTGCAGGGCCCAGGAGGGGGCTTCTGCCATTAGGGGAGTGGGATGGGGAGGCTCACAGAGTGAACCGGCATCATTTCATCTTGGGGCTGCTGCCACGCTGGAGGCCCATTCCTGCAAAGACCAGGAGGGGGCAGCATCTCTCTAGTAAATGAGCCTTAGGGCCCTCAGGACGCAGCCAAGGCCATGAAAACCTCAGCGTTTTTGGCTAAAGCAGCTGGGCAGAGTGGGTAGGTAAAAGGTGGCAGCCTGGTTTCTCTAGCTCATTGCAGGCAGAGACCATGAATATTCAGGGATGGGACCACCCACCTGCAGGCATCAGCCTCTCTGGGAGGGTGATGGATAAGGGGCTATGACTGACCAAGCTTCCTTCCAGGCCCCCTAAGCATCCCCCCCCTCCCCACCCTGGCCCTGCACTGCAGGCTGCCTTCCCCCAGGGGACCTCACGCAATTTCCCCACAGCTTCTTGAGGTCCCGGCCTTGTCCTAATCAGCAACTTGGGTGCTGGCTTTCCTCTTCTGCCCTTCCTACCTCCCCTGGGCCATGAGTTCCCCTAAAGCAGCCTGGGCTGTCTGTCTTTGTAACTCTCTCCAAGCCCTTGCAGCACTCTGTTTCACTGACATCTTTCCTATCTGTTTCCTCAGGGCTCGGCTACAACGAGGAGCAAATTCACAAGCTGGATAAGTGAGTTGCCTGTCTGCCAGCAGGCAGGTGGGCAGGAGGGTGGGTGCCCGCAGGGCAGAGCTATCCTCAAGGCCAGAGGAGAGGTGGTGAAGGGCCCTGAGCTCCGGCTGCAGCTGCGCAGAGTTGGGGCTAACAGGTTATCTGGGGCAGGGGAGGGAGTGTAAATAGCTTAGTGGGAGGGAGGCTTCTCAGATGCAATCTTGATGTAACTGGATTTACTTCTGGTATGCATGAGGCTGTTTGCAGGGGTTTTTTTTTCTAACTGTACTAATTGACCACTTACCACTTCCTGCTTCCGACCTCTGCCTGAACCTTCCCCGAGCCTCCCCACTGCTCCTCTGTCTCCCATGCTTCCCGGACACTCTCACATCCAGGAGGCCCTCCCTGATTTAATGGTTATGTGGGAACTCACTCCCCCAGTTCTACAAGTCCGCTGATCTCTCTCTCTCTCTCACTGACACTCACACTCACACACACACACACACACACACACACACACACACCTCTACCTGCTTTCCATGGCTGCCTCACCTTCCTCCCGTTTCCTGAGGACTAAGCGTGAGCACGTGTGTGTTTCTTGAGGACTCGCTGTGCGTCTCCCATGTGTCCCTGCTAATGTGGGCTTTGCTGGCCACATCGGCCTTTACAATCCAAGTGTGTGACCATCCTTCCTCCTTTCCCGGAGACATAGCCCTGTTGTGGATGCAGGGCTGGGCACTTATGATGAGGTGGTGATGGAGACCGAGGGATGGTGGGCTTATGCACAGGTGGTTCTGGCGGTGCATCTGTACCTTGGTCCCTGTTGTTCTAGGGTGAATTTCAGTCATTTAGCCAAAAGGCTTCTGCAGGTGTTCCAAGAGGAGTGCGTGCAGAAGTATCAAGCGTCCCTAGTCACGCACGGCAAGAGGATGAGGTAACAGCCCCTCCTGAGCTCATGGAGCCCAGGGCCTGGCCTGGTACTTTGAAGCTTCAGAGGACTCATGGCTTTGTGGGACCCCAAGGGAGAGGGAGGAGTGAGCAAATGGATGTGAGAAGATGAGTGATTTTGTGTCCCTGGGTGGACCAGGCAGGGTCCACCAGTTGGCTGGGAGATTTCTTTTTTTTTTTTTGAGACGGAGTTTCGCTCTTGTTACCCAGGCTGGAGTGCAATGGCGCGATCCTGGCTCACCGCAACATCCGCCTCCTGGGTTCAGGCAATTCTCCTGCCTCAGCCTCCTGAGTAGCTGGGATTACAGGCACGTGCCACCATGCCCAGCTAATTTTTTTGTATTTTTAGTAGAGACGGGGTTTCACCATGTTGACCAGGATGCTCTCGATCTCTTGACCTTGTGATCCACCCGCCTCGGCCTCCCAAAGTGCTGGGATTACAGGCTTGAGCCACCGCGCCCGGCCTGGCTGGGAGATTTCTCTACCTTAGCTTTAATCCCACAAAATCCGCCCTATGCAGGAGATATTATCCACCTATTTCTTAGATAAGGAAACTGAGGCTCTGAGAACAGGCCTCTCCCGCACTGTCACAGGGCTAGTAAGTAAGTGGCAGACCCAAGATTCATATGTGGCTCTTTCTGCCTCTACAATCTGGATCCCTCAGGGCTTCTGAGGGTAAAATCAAATCAAATCTGGATGCTTTCCACCATCCAGCTAGTTGTGTTGAGGAATCTCTTTAGGAGAACACAAGCCCCCCAGGATAAGGACAGTGGCAGTGACCCTTACATAGAACCCTCTGTCACACTGTCCCCTTCAGGAGTTTTGGGTTCTGCCTTCTCAGATCAGGCCCACCCTCCGTGATTTGCCTGTGTGAACATCCGTCCCACCTGAGAAGAGAGGACAGTTTCCCACGTGCTGCCATGTTCGGTGGCCTGTAGGACCTCAGCTTGTTATGGGCCTGAGACCTGGCACTCACCTGCCCTCATATGAGAACACTGATGCCTGCCTCTCCTACTTCAACCCACCACAAATCCTGGTGTCATTGCTCTGGAGTAGGCTTGGATATTGGGGTTTTACAGCTCCTCCAGCTGATTCTCATGTGTGGCCAGGGCTGAGTACCAACCCCTGGTGGAACAGCTCTGGGCCTTGGGGAAAACGTTCCTGCTCCTTCCCTCCACTTAGAGACAGAAGAGAATTCACACTGGAAATGAGAGTGTGGGCATTTCCCCACATGGAGAGTCCTGATGTGGGCTGCCTCTCTACAGCCTGACTGGTGCCACACTCACCAGAGTTGGTGTGCGTCACCCAGCCCCAGCCACAGGCACGATGGTGGTGCTTTCCACTGTGGCTCTCAAGGGCCCCTCCTGGCCTCAGGCCCTTGTGTGTATCTGCATTATTGCAGTGGGGTGAGCAAGCATGGAGGGCACAGCTGGCAGGGCAGAGGCAGCGAGGGAGGCAAATACCCAGGACCCACCTGTGTCTGTGTGCAGACCCGACATCCTAGGGGAGCCCTGGGAGCGGGCTGAGTCCTGCTGTGATTCTAAGTCTCTGTCTGCTCTCTAGGGTGGTGCACGAGACCAGGAACCACCTGCGCCTGGTCGGCTGTTCTGTGGCTGCCTGTAACACAGAAGCCCAGGGGGTCCAGGAGAGTCTCAGCAAGGTGGGCAGGGCAGAATTCCAGGTGCTTGGGGGATGCAGGCTGGGGTGCTTGTTACCCGTGTCTTCCCCTCCTCAGCACTCCCCTACCCAGCCACACAGAAGGTGGCTACTACTTGCTGACCAAAGCATGGCTTCCCTGCAGATCCTGGAAGAGCTCTCTCACCAGCTCCTTCAGGACCGAGCACGGGGGGCTCTGGCCTCCTCACCGCCCATATCTCCTCATCCCAGCCCTACACCAAAGGACCTGCTTCTCCAGTAAGTGCTGGGGAGAAAGGGGGTGTGTATCTGTGTGGAAGGGGGTTTCAGGGAGCATGCTGAGGTTGGCGCCTGAGGAGTTTTGCCTCATGCCAGGCCTAGGAGGCAAGAATAAAGAGACTGGCCAGGTGTGGTGGCTCACACCTGTAATCCCAGCACTTTGGGAGGCCAAGGTGGGTGGATCAGCTTGAGGCCAGAAGTTTGAGACCAACCTGGCAAACATGATGAAACCCATCTCTACAACAAATACAAAAAATTAGCCGGGTACGGTGGTGTGTGCCTATAATCTCAGCTACTCGGGAGGCTGAGGCACGAGAATTGCTTGAACCCGAGAGGCAGAGGTTGCAGTGAGCCAAGATGGCACTACTGCCCTCCAGCCTGGGCAAGGGAGCAAGACTCCGCCCCAAATAAACAAACAAACAAGAATAAAGAGGCTGCTTCCGTGGGGCTGCAGAGGAGGGTGGGCCTCCCAGGAAAGGGGTCCAGGCATCGCCACCTCCAGCCTCAGCTGCTTCCCCTGCCTCTGCCTTGGCAGCATGCAAGAGCTCTGCCAGGGGATGAAGCTGCTGGCATCTGACCTTCTGGACAACAACCGCACCATCGAACGGTGAGGGGCCTTCACCTTGCGTGCGGCAGCGCTGCGTCTTCAAGCTCCCTCTGCCTGGGCGCGGAGAGTCCCCAAGCCTGCCCATACCAGTGTGATGGCGCTTGTCCATTTTCCGAGCAGCCCTGTTGAAGGGCCCTGTCCACAAGTGAGCTGACATCCTCAGGAGGTATAGGGTTCACTTTGAGGTTTTAAGGTGAATCCCCGTGCTGTCAGGGAGCTGGGGGCCTTGGAGGCGTGGCGTTTGTGCCTGTGTCCAGCTCTGTACTCCACATGGACTCTGTCCAAGCTGCCCCAGACGTCCTTGACCTACAGCCATCATCGGGGTCAGTGCTGTTTTCATCCCCATGTCCTACCCCAGGAAGCCACAGCACACACCGCTTGGGTAGGATGACCAAGGCCGGTGTTTCTCTGGCCTTGTGGGGCTCCCGTCTTCCTGCCAATGCTCATGGGCCAGCAGCAGCTGCAGGATCATCTCCTGATTTGACTCCCCTCCTTGGGGTGCTGAGGGGTCGTGAGAGGTTGGTGTGGGAACACAACAGGGCTCAGACTCTGGGATGTTGCATACCAGTAAAAGATAAAAGAAAATTGGAGGCCGGGTGCGGTGGCTCACGCCTGTAATCCCAGCACTTTAGGAGGCCGAGGTGAGTGGATCATGAGGTCAGGAGTTCGAGACCAGTCTGACCAACATGGTGAAACCCCATCTCTACTAAAAATACAAAAATTAGCCGGGTGTGGTGGCGCATGCCTGTAATCCCAGCTACTCGGGAGGCTGAGACAGGAGAATCGCTTGAACCCAGGAGGCGGAGGTTGATGGCTCCACTGCACTCCAGCCTGGGCGACAGAGTGAGACTCCATCTCAAAAGAAAAAAAGAAAAGAGAAAAAGAAAACTGGAAAACCGTGGAGTTACTAGCTGCTCACGTAACCAAGCAGGCACATTAGAAGTGGAAAAGAAAGCCCTGCCATCTAGTAACCCCACTTTTAAAAGCGCCTTTTACCACCCAAGAGATAATCTCGGGATAAAGAAAGGTCCTTGCTTGTCCCGAAGGCCAGCAGCCCTGTTTACAGACATGTACACACGTGCACACATCTCCCACTCCCCTGTCATCCTCGTGTCTGTCATTTTCCTATCTGGGAACCAAGGGCAAGGTAGAGTCGGCAGAGATCCCTACAGGACTTCAGTCCTGACTGCGTTTTACCAACCGCGTGACCCTGGGAGATGCGTTCCACTTCGAGCTTCAGTTCCCTCCCCGGGAGACAGGAGTAATGATTTCTACCCCATGGTGTTGACGTAGGGGTTGAATAAAATGAGATATGCAAGGTGCTTGCAGGTAGCGGGGTGTGGAGGGAAGGACTCACTAAATGTTACTTCTTCTCCAGGGGCCACTCTAATCTGAGATACTAGCAGTGGGGCCAGGCAGTAGAGACACCAGGAGCAGAGTTTGTGGTCTGTCCCCAGAGTTTCAGAGGGTCCTTGGGTAGGGGAGGCAGCTCCTCCCTGTTCTGTTCCGGCAAGAGAACTCATCCTCTTAAACACCCATAAAGAGGACGTTTGACAGCTTCTTGGAAAGATTTTCCAAAACAGCCCTCTTGGTCAGGAAGTTCTAATTTTAGTGCCAACATAAATTGTTCTTGCTGTGATATGTAATCTATTTATAGATAGCTCAAAACTTTAGTGAATTTTCACTTTCTTATTCAAAGCTGTAGCCAAAGGGCCAAATGAACCAATTGAAACTCCTTTCCCCTCCTCCTAAACCTTGGCTGGACGTTGGAATCACCAGGGGACCTTTTAAAAGTACAGATGCCTAGGTCTTGCCCCAGAGACTCTGTGTGCAGCTTGGGGTTAGGATTTTTATAAGCTTTCCAAGTGATTCTAATCTATAGTCAGAGGTGAGAGCCAGTGGGTTCTTGGCAGGGAACGAGGGTGCTACAAGGGGAGAGCTGAGGACTTGAATGGCTCAGTGCTCTTGAGAGCTAATTGTGCTGGGCCCTGGAATGCGGTCTGCAGCTTCTCCAGCAGGTGTGCACTGCTAGCCTGTACCTTTTCCTTGTAGGCTAAGTAGAGTCCCAGCAGCTCCTGATGTCTGAGCTCCATGGGGCGTGTGAGGCATCCTGAAGCATTAGAATGACTTGAACACTGCTCTCCCGCACTGTGAGACCAACCCAGGACAAGATCCTGTCCCATCACATCAGCCTACCTCCCTCCTGGCTGCTGGCTGGGATGTCGCCAGCATTACCTTCCACTGCCTTTCTCCCTGGGAAGTGGCACAGCTGAGATTGGGCACCAGGCCACCTCTGTTGGGACCCACGGGAGAGCATGACAGACACTGCCTGGGCTGACCTTTCCATCTCATCCAGGCGCAGGTATTGCTCCTCCGTGCCCCTGGCTTGGCCATGGGAAGAAGAGGCTCCCATACGCCCTCCCATTCCCTCTGGTTTGTAGAGCTTCACTCCGTAGCCAGCAGGAGAGGTGGCCCCTGGGGAGTCCCCAGGGTACTAGGTCAGGTGACCTCGTCACAATCTTCCTTCCCCTTCAAGCGTTTCATGTTGAACACAGCAGTCTCTGTTCCCCTGTGATTTCCGAGGGTCACCCTTCTCAGCCCCAGGCAACATAGAGCCTCCTGTTTTTTCTAGGCTTGGTCTGATGTTGAGAAAATGGGTGGCCAGGGCCAGTGCCAGGGCCGTGGGCTCCCCCTTTTCCTCTCCCTCCCTCCCTGAGGCTCTGGCCAGTCCTGGGACATGCAGCCAGTGGCAAAAGGCCTGTGACTTCAGGCAGATCCAAGGCCTGCACCTTCAAGAAGTGGAATAAATGTGGCCTTCATTTCTGTTTCTGGTGGCTCTCCCTGGGGTGTGTCTGCAAGTCGGGGAAAGCTCTCAGCTGGGTGTGCTCAGCAACCAGTGAGGCCTGGGTGGGGATCTGTGAGGAGTGCTGGGAAATGGGGTGGGAATTGGTAATGTCCTGGTTTCTGCCGTTTCCCTAAATGGGCCCTAATTTCAAGGAAGAACCCAAGGGGTGCCCTTCCCATTCCTTCCATTCTCTTGCCCTCCCCCACCATCATTTTGAAAGCCATGTAAGTGGCCTGGAACTTAGGGAAAAAGAAGGGTGTTTTTTTGCTTCAAACTCACCATCTCAGTGGCTACTGCCTTTTCCCCATCTCCACCACTATTCAAAACCTACGCTGTGTCCTAAACAGTGGATTTGAATAGTATTACGGGTTATTTATTTTTATTTTTTTTCTTTATTTTTGTTTTGAGACGGAGTTTCGCTCTTATTACCCAGGCTGGAGTGCAATGGTGCGATCTTGGCTCACCACAACATCCGCCTCCTGGGTTCAAGCAGTTCTCCTGCCTCAGCCTCCTGAGTAGCTGGGATTACAGTCATGCGCCACCATGTTCACAGCTAATTTTTTGTATTTTTAGTAGAGACGGGGTTTCACCATGTTGACCAGGATGGCCTCGATCTCTTGACCTTGTGATCCACCCGCCTCGGCCTCCCAAAGTGCTGGGATTACAGGCTTGAGCCACCGCGCCCGGCCTATTATGGGTTATTTTAAGCATTCCTTCATTTTGTCTAGAATCCAGAGTGGTGCCTGAGCAAGGCATTCTGATTTTTGCAAACTGCTTGCAAATTTACCTCCAGCCTTCCCAAAACCAGAGCTGGACTACCCACCTGCCTGGGTGAGTGAAGGAAAGGGAAGGAGAAATGTAGTAAGGTAGCCCCAGTAGGAGAGAAAGATGAGTGGGGAAGTCCCAGTATGTGCTTTGAGGCATGAAGATAGCATTATGCTTGACCAAAGATAACCCCAGAGATCCTTCCTGCCCATCTTCACGGGAGCCCCCACATTCTGAGGCCACTCTACTGACCTGGAAGGGTCAGAAATGAGGAAGGGTGAGTCCTGGAGGCTGATGTCCTCTCTGCTGCTTCTCTGTGGAAAGACCAGCACTCTAAAGGCCCAGGGGAAGGTGGCTGGAGGCTGTTTCCTTGCATGAGGCCTAAGTGCCTTCATGTTTGCTATTTGGGCTTCAGGCCCATGGAGTCACTTAATCCCATGTGTTTACGTCCTGTGGCCTCAGACACCTGCTGCAGCCTTGAAGTGCCTGGGTACTAGACTACCTCTCGTCCACTCTGCTGGCCTGAATTTCTGGCCAACACTTCCGGCCCATGAGTGGCCCTTCAGGGAAGTCCCACAGTGGGTTTTCCCTGGCAACAGCAGCTGCTCTGGACCCTACGTGCTTGGTGGAGCTCAGTGAAAGCGCCAGGGATTCATGAACGCCAAATGCAGATTTTTGGGAGATGATATGATCCAGGCTGTATGATCTCATGAGCAAAGCCCATGAGATGTGGCGGACAAACTCACACAAAGGCTTCAGTTCAGGTTTTTTTTTATTCTTTTCTTTTTGGAAAACAAGGTTTTGCTCTGTTGCTCAGGTCATGGGCTCACTGTAGTGACTGCTCACTGTATGACCAAGTAATCCTCCTGCCTCAGCCTCCCAAGTAGCTGGGACTATAGGCATGTACCACCACACCCAGCTAATTTTATATTTTTTTGTAGAGATGAGGTCTCACTATGTTGCCCAAGCTGATGTTGAACTCCTGAGTTCAAGTGATCCTTCTTCCTTTGCCTCCCAAAGTGCTAGGATTACAGGCATGAGCCACTGCGCCCAGTGCCTCCAGTTTGTTTCTACACAGGGCAGAGCTGCTGACATCCGTGCCTCCCCGGATCTGAGCTTCTGCAGAGCTGCTGATTCCATCTCAGTAGAAAATGAGGGACTGGACTATGGCCCAGAATGACCCATAAGATCTTCAGGTGTCTGAAGACGTCTTAAATATACTTCTCCATTCTCTGCAGTGATTGCTAACATAACACTTAAAATGAAGAGAGCTCATTCGGTTCATCAGATGTGAACTGAGGCCTTGCAGTGTGCCAGGCCCATGGAGTGTGGGAATTACAGAGGCGACTAAGCCACCTTTCTGGCTCATGGGGAGCTCACCTCTATGGGGGAAGGCAGGTATGCCACAGGTAACTCCCCACCACGGAGGAGGTGCCAGGATAGGAATGCAAACCTCAAGTGTGGCACTAGGTGACCCTCCTCACAGGGGAAGGTGTCAGGGAATGAATGACTTTGACAGCAGGTGACTCCTGCTGTCTTAGCAGGTGAGCAGGTGATACATAGCAAAGACGACTTGGGAGGCATTCCTGGCTGTGGGAGCCGCAGCAGCACAAGGGTGGGAAGAACTACAGGTATTTCTGTATTACTGGAGAGTAGGTTAAAGTGGAAGTTAGTGTTATGGAAAGGGAGGAGCCAGCCCAAAAGATCGTTGCAGGCCACACTAAGCAACTTGGGCTCTACCCCAGGGGACCACAGACAGGTTTAAGTCAAGTCCAACTGGTATTTTAAAGGCACTACTCTTTGGTGCCCTATGGTGAGTGGAAAGTTATGGGTAGTAATAGATTAGCTAGGTCCAAAAATTGCCTACAACACAATATTATTAACACGATAGTTCTCTGCAGACTCTGCTCACTTTCCCCGCCCCCTCCCCACCTCATTTAGCTGTGCCTGCACAGGGTAGATAGAGGAAACAGAAGTTCTTGTCTCAGATGAGGCAAATCAGGGGCTCAGATCAGTCACAGATATCTGGGAAGATTCCACGTGGCATTCAGATTCATGGCTGGCAGCCTCTTAAAACAGGCCGATCCAAGAGAAAAGGGGGCCTAACTGGAAGGACGAGGGGGCCTGTCGGAAGTAGTCAGCTCTGGAGGGCCTGGTGCGCAGGGCTATCTCTCTTTCTCTCCCAGAATCCACACAGTTTCCTCTTTTGAGACTGGTGTCCTGGTTTCAAAACACATATTCTGGGACCCCACTCAGCGCCTGAATCAGTAAGGGTGTGGCCAAGGAATCTGCATTATCGATGAGCTTCCCTGGTGAGTCTCACACCAGTTCAAGTCTGAGAACACCAAGGCAGAGTTTACAAAGATGCCACAGAGGGCGTGTGAGTGCCCCAACAGAGGCCAGTTGGCAGTGGGTGGTACACTGGACCAGGCACCCCACCCCACACCCACCCTGAGAGCTGAGCCCAGGGGAGCCAGTCTAACGACAGGAGGGATCTCAAGCATGGCCTGGCCACCCTCCTACTGGAACCGCCATTTGCTTTTGTGGAGCCACCTTGCTTCAGTGTCCTCAAAGGATTGCTGCAACTGGTCATTTTGGATTCACTTCCAAACTGCTTCATTGATTTTTTCTTTATGTTTATTTATTTGAGACAGTCCCACTCTGTCACCGAGGCTGGAGTGCAATGGCGTGATCTCGGTTCCCTGCAACCACCTCCCAGGTTCAAGCGATTCGCCTGCCTCAGCCTCTAGAGTAGCTGTGTCTACATGTGCCCAACACCACAACTGCCTACTTTTTGCATTTTTAATAGAGATGGGGTTTTTGCCATGTTTGGCCAGGCTGGTCTCAAATTTCTCACCTCAGGTGATCTGCCTGCCTCGGCCTCCCAAAGTGCTGGGATTATAGGCGTGAGCCACCACACCCAGCCATGCTTCATGATTTTTTAAAGGGTGGAGTTCTGGCTTCTTTTCCCTCCATCTCACAAAGGGTCCTTAGTCAGGCAACCCCCATAGGAAGTGTTAAGGGAAGAGCCAGGCTGACCTGAAGTAGCTGCAGTTTATGTTCCTTGGAAGCTCAGAGTGACTGCCGCTGGAGCCGTATGGGTTCCTTCCCTTCACTCTCCACCAGAGACAGAGGAGGGGTGAGACAGAGGGAGCGGAAAGGAGAGTGGCAAGACAGGGAGACACAGAGGAGGAGACAGATGGGGGCCGAGGTGGGGCAGGGAGAGCCCATGAGGTCACCCAGGCCACCCTGCTCTTGCTGGTCTGTCATAATGCAGTCCATGGCTTCCTGCCACTGCAGTGGGCCCAGAGCTGGCTTAGTGCTGGAATGCAAGTGGCCATGGCTTGGAGCCTCCCCCCTGGCTGAGGGGAAAAAATTGCTGACAAATCTGCCTGGAATATCTGAGTTTTTCCAACACGGAAAGAAAACACACACACACACACACACACACACACACACACACACACACACACACACGCAGTCTTATCATAAGCCTGGCAGAGCAGCTCAGGATGGAAAAATTTTATAATTGAGATGTAGATGGAGGAGGTGCCATTAAAACTGGTGGAAAACAAGCCCCACCTGCCCCCACTCTACATGGTGACACCTTTCCTGGAGCCCTTGTATCCCTCCCTGCTTTTGTCCTCACCTTGATCTGCCTTTCTTGTCCCCAAGTACTGTCAAGGACCTAGGAGATCCCCTTGGGGACACTAGAGTTTGGTGACACACAGAAAGCCCATCTCACCAAGAGTGGAGATGGTGCCCCATACCTCAGCCCTGGCCAGCTACAAACATCTGGAGGCAGGAAATTCACCAGCATCTTGGAGGAATTACATGAGTCTTAAATGGAGCTCCCAATACTACCCCAACTTCTACCTAGCAGGTCCTTGGGGACTTTCCATGGTCCCCAAACCAAACGATTCCTCCATCTCCCCATCCCTGGATACAGGGGCCATGGCTTGAAGAGATGTGAAGAAAAAAATCCTGGAGTAGGCACAGGTTAATGAGCACCTCCAGTTAGCCCTGCACAAGGGGATCAGAACGACCGCTAAGACACAAGCGAGGGAAGCGAACGTGTACAAACTGAACGGCAACTCGTGAGGATGATCGAATGTCAGAGGCACAAGTGACTTCTTGTGGGATCCCAGGGAAGGAGCCATGAGTGAGGTCTGGATGATTCTGGGAATGCTCTGGAGGGCCTGGTATTTGGACTAGAC